TGCCCAACCTTTCTTTTTACGAAAAGAGGTGTCCATTTATACACCTTTGATGTCAATGTAATGAATGCTTTTGCAAATTGCCTTGAAACATAGAGAACTCTCATTCATCCTTATTTTAAAATGAGATAGGGTTGATATAAAATATCTTTGAGGTTGTATGGGCTTGACAACTAGTATACTTTATCTTTTAGGCACTTGTTGAGCTGACATCAATATCATTTTTTAGGCATAACAATATTTTTCTAAGAATAGTCATAGAAAATAGTGTTTTCTTTGTACACGTTTTATATAATGATCAGTATATATATATATTCTTTTTGTCTGATCTCAAAAGTATATTCTTAGTCAAATAAATACAACTATTTAGGTGTAAAGATATGTTTTTGCTCATTTTATAGAGTTGCTTGCATATTTGTATCTGATTTTCAGAAAATTTTATTCAAAGAGGGATATAACTAATACAAAAGCTATAAGTTCTATTAAGGATATAGAATTAGATATAAGTTTTATTAGAAATAAAATATTATTTAATCATAGAAAAGAAAGGAAAACACCAGTATTGAAAACTATAGTATTATAATATGTAATTATGTTTGTCGATCTCGGTTTACATTATTATTGTAGACAATTTATGCATCAAGCGATGTTAAATAGATATGTTAACTTATCATATCTTTTTGTGTAATGTGATTTATTATTTACACTTAAAATCTCGATAGATATTTATTATATACTTCTGCATGTGATTTCTCTGAACATTAAAAACAATTAATATTAACTCTTGAAAAATACAAAAAATGCGTATCTAATTAAGTTAACACCCACCTTGTTCAAATTATATATATATATATTATATATATATATATATATATATAAAACATGTTTTGAGAGTTTAATACTTTGGAATATCAGTAATAACAAGATCTTAATTTTCTCATATATATAGTGTTGGTATTAGCTATTAACTATTAATAATCCAAGTGTTATTAATTATAAACAGTAATTAATAAGGTAATAAGGAGAAAGAGAATTAAAAAGAACAAGTAATAATTAGATAAATGGCACGAGAAACATAAGTAATATTGCTTTTTACTATTTTCGTGTGCTTTTGGTTAATTGCTACAATACATACATACATACAATAGCAGATCCAGAAATTTCTGTTAAGGTGTGTCAAAATAAAAACTAATTGTACATTAATATTTTTGTTCATTAATATTTTATCCATTAATATTTTGTTAGAATGAGTCAAAATCTAGAATTTGTACATATATTAGTATTTAAAAAAAAAAAATTGAGCATGGGCCATGACTAGGCTAGATCCACCCCTGCATACATACATAACCCTAATTCATTTATATATATATATACTCAATTGTTTTCTCCTACTTTTAGTTATCGTCACGTTGTTAATATTTGACATTCCGAATTCGAAACTAGAACTTTCTTCAAATTCTATAATTTGGGAAGTGAGAAATAATAACCAAATTAGATTTGAATCCCGAACCTCTTGGGATTAATTCAAGGATCTTGCTATCCATCCCTCACAAGTATATAATTATTTATTAATATAATCTATCATATGTATAATAATGTATGTATTACTCTATAAAAAGGAAAAAAAATCACCATTTAAGTTTTGGATATATTTCAGCTTAATTAATTAATTAGTTTTTTTTTTCGGAGATAAATAGTGACTTCTAACAAAACTCGAAAGCCAGCTAATTAATTAATATGTAACAAGTAAATATAGAGAGGAGGTAGCCCAAGTTTTGACTTTGCATTGGCCAATAAGTCCCCGAGCCTAAGCTCAACTAAATCAATTAGGCATATATTACTTTGAATAATGACTGAAATTTAGATGACCTATTTAACAGGGTAGATAAAAAAAGTCATTTTTGGTCACATGTTCTTGCTAATTATCGTAGAGGCATCCTAAACATGTCTAAGTCGGCTCTCTCTTTACCCTCTTAAAGTCTTACTCCTGACAAATTTTCAATCAACTTATTGATTAATTGACATAATCAAGAATACAAGATATTAACTGTGCACTTATTGATTAATTTGGTTTGATTCAACGACGCCTAAATCATGCGTATAAAATAGTCGACATGGGATATTGCTTATTGTCAACTAAGTAATGCCCTATTGTAAAATAGTCAACAAACTACCACAGGATGACCTGATGGTTTCCTGAGTTCGAGTCCTCTAAGCATTAATAGGGGTGGTTATTGAGAAGATCTATCCGATCGTTCACTTTAAACCTCAGGAGATTAGTTGAGGTACGCACAGAGTCGTTCACTTTAGAGTCTCGAGGGATTAGTTGAGATATACATAAGCTGATCTTAACACTCCCGATCACCCAAAAAAAACTAAAAAAAAAAAGAAGTAGTCAACAAAGAACATTTCGTATCATCGATTAAGTAATGCCTACTACGGTCGACTATTCTATTTTATACTACTATTTTCAATAAGAAAAACAACAACAAAGAAGTATTAAGTCCTTTTAAACCCTAAGTATAAAATTCTATATATATATAAATAAATCGTTTTCATATCGTTTTAACTTGAAATAATAACGAATCCACGATTTGTGGATTCGAAAATATTTTTCTTTTGACTCTTAAAATCGCTAGCTTTTGTTGATTAATTTCAACTGAAAACAGAAGATCCTTTCAACAATTACAATCAAATTTACTGTAGATCATGTGAATCTCACAGCTTTCAAAAATCCAAATCCATTAGTAAATAGTAATTTACAGCTAATGATAAATTAAATTTTCAAATATAGCAGCTTCCATTCATGCATGCACGAAACTAACATTGAAATGGTCAATTTCCAACCACGATCAATTAATCTAGAAAATTTTCTTTCTGCTGATCCCAAAAATGAAAAGCTACGTATAATCATACCGCTAACAGTAAACGAAATATCAGTATTCAAGTTGGTGTAAAATTCAAGTCTTATACACAGTCTGCAGAGGAGTAGACAAAATAATAACTGAAGGAGACCAGACTACACATGAAATTTCGTGATTAGCTTTTTACAGATGAAGTTTGATTTGAACATTATTATTATTATTATTACGAGATGAGAAAGGAAAAAGTATGAAGATTATTGATCGTGACTATAAATACTTTTTTTCTTTATATATATTTATAAGATAAGATGATAATAATGTTAACGTGACACAATCTCTTTTTTTGTAGTATTTCATTGACTTTATCTAGAAGAAATTTTTCTACTGTTACTTTGAAGATAGACACCAGGATTACGAGAGACCCAGACAAAAGAGTCTTTTTAGTTTTCTTATTAGGGTTTGCAGTATAAAAAAAACACTGACCATAGAACCTGCCCAATAAGTGGACTACATTAGTTGTCCAGTCTCAGGTTAGATAGTTAAGGGTCAGAAAATAGCAATTACTCATTCTTAAAATCAGCGGTCGAACAAGGAGTAATCACTCATTCTTAAAACCAAAGAGTCGGGGCAAAATCTGTAGCTGGATCTTTCGAAACCACAAGAATCCTTACTAAATTAATTTTTAATGGCTTTTCCAACACCGTTTCAACATCAAAAAAACTAAAAATGTGTCAAATAATGTAAATACGGGGTTTTCTTGTGACAGGAAAAAGTTTATGATACTATATTAGTGGTATCACGGATCAAAACATACATGTCAAATAATTTTATTTTCTTTTTAATTTAATTTTCACGGTCAACAAAGATAAATTAGAGAGAAAAAATATTCACGTAAGATACGTATTTGTGAGATTCTAAATTTTCTCTTCAAGCATTAGGTATTTAGTTGAGTGATGGGTGTAAAACAAATTTTATTTTTATTTTCAATTACAAGTTATAGGAAATAAAGGAAAAATTGTTTTGTTTATCCTTTTATTTGCTTCTTGTTTATGGTATAACAAACGTGGGCGTTCTAAGTATGTGGTGGTGCTGTAGGTGAGAGCATAATGGTCGGAGAACCCTGGCCGTCAATCCATTGACTTTACTCTCTTCACCCTGAATCAGTCAAACTCACGACTCTCAATTTTTTTTTTTTTTTTTTTTTATACACGACTTAATTGAAATTACAAACTCTTCAATTATTCTATCTTATTATATATATTCTTTAATTTGAACAAACTAATAAATAAATAAATTATTTGAAATAAATATTAGATTAATTTTTAAGATGCTTTAATAAAAACCTTTTTTATTTATTAAATATATTTTAAAATCATTTTGAAATCATCAATCTATTATAATTTAGTAGTTAAAAATAATAATCTTTAATTAAGAAATATAGTTGACAAACATTTCTCAATAACTTTCTTTTATAAACGTAACGTAATAATTTGTAAGAGGTTCGACAAGACCTATTGTTAGTTAAATATTACTTATTATAAACTGTCATTTCACTTTTGTAAGAAAAAGTTAATAAGAAGTATTTGTCAACTTAATATTATTCATCTTTAATTTCTTTCGAGAATATATTAGTCATTAGATTATTCTAAATCTATGGTCAATAATCAATGTCGTCTCAAACTAATTATAGATTTCAACACTTAATAATTAAGTTTTTAATTTAAGAAAAAAAAAAAATCTTTCTTGTGTTGCTAAACTTTCTGTCACAATTTGTCTCAAATATTAAATATTAAAATTTAAAGTTAAAGATCTCTCTTTGATTCCATCTCTCTTTCTATGTTTGACATAAACTCATAAAATCTCTCTCTCTATCTCCTTTGACTTTATACTTAAACAAGCCACGTGTAACCTTGACGCACTACCTTACCTCATACATTACAACTAGAATCTTGTTTCACATATGCACTCTTTAAAGACTTCACACAATTTCTTCCTTTTTACATTATTAATTACTTCTTCTTGTTCTTGTTGTTCTTGGTCTTAGTCCAAACCCCTTTTATTTGCCGAGTCTTTTGCATTTCTTGTTTATATTATTATTATTATTTACACAAGTCTTCAATCATCTCTCTCTCTCTCTCTCTCTCTCTCTCTACAGAAGCAATAACCCTTTTATGGACAAACGACTAGGACTCTTCTTTGATACTCTTTCTCCTACTTTCTTCCATCCCTTCACAAAACCACAGCTCAACTCTAATTCTTCTTCGTTTCAGTTCAATACCATCAAGAAAAATTTGACCATGGACGTCCACGCTGCTGCTCCAGATCGAATTCTCATCAATTCAGCAGGAGGAGATGGGGATTCTGAGAAAAGGGTGGTCAATGAAATGAACTTCTTTGCTGCTGATGATCATAAAGAAACGTCGTTCTCGCTTGATGTCAAGAAAGAAATAGCTTCTGTTCCTGATAGAGATGCGCAAGAAATCAAACTCGATATTAATGTAAGTTTTCGACCTGAGATTTTTTTTTTTTTTTTTTTAATCATATTAGTAATTCAGTGTTATTTTTCTTTCTAATGTGTATAAATTTCTTTTTTTCTTTTTTATTGTAGACTGGTTTAAATCTTTCAACAACCAGCACGAGTAGTAAAACGGATCAGGTTTGTGTCTGAGACTGTGATAATTAATATATTGTTATTCGTGATGACCTGTGTATATTGTTTTGTGTTGTTGATCAGTATATTTTCTTCTTCTTCTTCTTCTTCTTCTTCTTCTTGATGCTACAGATGGCAGTTCTCCGAGCTGACTTGAACAAGATGAACGTCGAGAATCAACGTCTAAAGAGCCTGCTTAATCAAGCCAACAATGACTATCGTGCTTTACAGATGCATTTGTACACATTTATGCAACGCCAACACCTTTTAAAAGCCGGAAACTTACAATCTCCTGAGGTAATTAACTTTACTGCAATTACGCCATTAATAATTTTGTACGCCTTTATTTACGAAGCTAGTTTTGATATGAGGCCTGTTGATTAATTAGATGGTGAAGAGGAATGAAGGTGTCACTGTTGCAAAGCAGTTTATGGATCTGGGTCAAGCTGAAAAAGATAATCATGAACTTGTTCAATCTTCTTCAGAGAATACAAGATCACAGGAATTTCCTATATCGCCTGAAAACATCATAGTTGAGTCCATGAAGACACCGAAGATTAACAACAACAGTAACGAAATTGTTGCACTTGATCGTTTGGATAATAGAGAAGAAAGCTCAGAGCGAGCTCATACATCTGGATGGATTTCAAACAAAGTTCCCAAGTTTAATTCTTCAAGAGATGTTGAACACGCCTCAGAAACCATGACTTCCATGATCAGAAAAGCTCGAGTCTCAGTTCGAGCTCGATCAGAAGCAGCCATGGTGAGTTTTAATTAAATTAAGTTTGAAGATCAAATTTTTCATTGGAGGTTTTACAACTACTATTTAGAAATCATCATCTCATTTGACAATAATTGCAATATAAAAAAAGAAAACAAATGAAAACACATGGGCCATGGCAGACATAGATGCACGAGCACACAATTACACCGCACACAATTCTAGGTTTATACCGCGCCTGCTTTTGTTGAAGTAAAATTCAAGAAAGAGACAAAAAGGAGACTGACTACTGAGGCTACATTGTATACTATTCCTCCCTAGTTATATATAACTTTAGCAGCCTTAATTTAAACCCCATTTATATTGAGGTTGAATAATTTTTGAACTCATTTTGCTCTTTATTTATTGCTATATAACAGATCTCTGATGGATGTCAATGGCGAAAATATGGGCAGAAAATGGCTAAAGGAAACCCTTGTCCTCGCGCTTACTATCGTTGCACCATGGCCTCTGGTTGCCCCGTTCGCAAACAGGTGCATACTTGTTAAGACCTTAACAAAATGAGAAATTTATCAATAGATTAGCTTAAATACTGATTCATTTTTGTGTTCGAAATAGGTACAACGATGTGCGCAAGACCGAACCGTTCTTATAACGACTTATGAAGGTAATCACAACCATCCACTGCCACCGGCTGCCGTGTCGATGGCATCGACGACATCTGCCGCGGCGTCGATGCTGCTTTCGGGATCAATGCCGAGCGCTGATGGAATGATGAGCTCACATTTCAGTAATCTAGCTAAAACTGCACTCCCTTTTTCACCAAGTTTGGCATCACTTTCTGCTTCAGCACCATTTCCTACTGTTACATTAGACCTCACTCGTCTCAATCCCAACAATCCCTCACAGTTTCAGCGCCCACTAAGCCAAGTCCATGCCGCTTCTCAAAACTTGCCTCTCAATTCTGTCACCATGCCACATGTTTTTGGTCAGGTTAATAACGAATCAAACAATTTTTTGGGTCTTCTTAGATCATTGGGAGTTGAGACTCCTCATTCACCGCAAAATCAGATGCAGGCGCCTGCGGCAAATGACACCATTAGCGCGGCAACGGCTGCCATTACTTCGGATCCGAGCTTCACTGCAGCTCTAGTGGCCGCCATCACTTCTATCATCGGCAATTCTCATCAAAACCAGCATACTGGTAACAACTCTACAAGTACAAGAAACAACAGCGACACCAACTCGTGACACCATCAGCTTGAAGAGATTTATATATCTAGGGTTAGCTACTTTCTTTTTCCTTTAGAAAACCTGCAATCTTTTTTATTTTATTTTAATTTTTCTTTTTTCACTACTTTGTCAAGGATGATAATCAATAGGCACAATCCTTCATGTTTCTCCTATACATATGTAGGACATGAAGCAAAAGAGAATCAATAGGATTTGTTCTAACACTTTGATATTGTTGAATGAATTAATTACCTTTTGTACAAAGTAAATGGTGAGTGTTTTGTTTACTGTATTTTGCAAATTAGGCATGCAAATTATATAGGTACTCTTTTATGTGGGTAAGACTATACTTACCGATTCTGCATACCGACTCTCCATCTCGACTGACATGGAGTGCAACGTGGTTGGGTTGGGGACTCCCCACGTGTCAGAATGGGGAGTCGGTATGCAAAATAGGTAAGTTCCTAAATAATTTTAATGATTTTACTTACCTGTCTTTTCTATCAAATTATTTCCTATGGTGATGAAAATTTTGGTGTGTTTGTTTTATTATTTTGAATAGTATTTTTGAAAAAGTTGAGTTAGGTTATTATTAAGAGGATAGGATTTAAATTTGAAAATGTGTTTGGTAAGACTCTTTTTTAATCCCCTATATCTGTTAATTTAGTTAAACAGCTCTTACAATAAAAGTTTTAAAATTAAAAAAAAAACACCCCCACCCACCCATTAAATGTCGGCAACCAGCCACTGGCTGTTGGGAATATGTGGAGATGTTTTTGTCAAATTATAAACTTTTTTTGTTGGGGGTGTTTAGTCAAATTAACAAATTTAGGGGGTTTAAAATTATTGAATATAATATAATTTGATTTTAGAATAAGGAAATAAATATGTATTTTGGGTAGGATAGGAATATGATATGGTAGAAATATTAAAACAAACATAGCATATAATATGTTATTTATGCTGTATGAATGATGATCCCTTTTTTTTTTTCACAAGGTCAAGTGATATAAAATTAGCCTGTGATTATTAGTTAAACAGCCAGAATTATACAGGTACTATATTATGTTTTATTTTATTATTATTTTTTTTTTTTTTTGGGAGACTACACTTACCGGTTATGCATATCCGAATCTCCATCCCTACTGACAGGGAGTGCGACGTGGTTGGGCTAGGGACTTCCCACGTGTCAGGACGAGGAGTTAGTATGCAGAATTGGTAAATTTAGTATTTTCCTTTTTTTTTAGCTAATTTTTACTGTATAACACTATTTAAATTCTTGAGAAACTGTTGATGAATAATGAATAGAATTTGAGACGTGTTATAGAGTTAAGCTAAAGGTATATAATCTCACCTACTTATGTATACATTCAAAGAATCTAATCTCTACTAACATAGACAATTAATTAAATTAATTAAAACATGCACTAACTTCTACACTGGACAAACAGTATCCCATTATTTAATTATTAATACATCAACCCTCTTGTTACAAGATCAATTAACAGATCTCAAATAGTTATAAAATAGAACCAATTAATTTTAAATCATCTGAATTCTGCTCATTTTTATACATAAATAAACTGATCATATATATCTTGTGAAATATTTAGTTGCACTTAATGTAATGTTAGAAAATAAATGTGATTCATATTATATTACTTTTTTTTTTTTTTTTAATGATCAAGGGTGTCCGTATCAGTTTACATGCACCTCAATTAATCTTTTTGAATCCTAGAACTATCAGCAGAGTAAGAGATATAATGATTATCTTTATTAGCAATCGAGGTGAAACTCGAACTCATGACCTTTTAAGTAATATACTTTAAAGTCTCTATCGAACCATTCGATCACTCAGAAGTAGTTTATATTATATTATTCGGTTCTAAGATTTATCAAACACAATATGAATCTCCTCTTATGCAGAGACAATTCAATTGTGTTCATTGAATGAATGAATTATTACTGTAATTAGTAATTAGCTTAATTAATAAGAAACCAAAGGGATCGATATAACATGTATAAATCAATGGTGGAGGTTGCTTAAGCTAGTTGAGAAAACAAACGATTTAAACGTTGTCGTAGAGCTGAAAGATCAGCAGCCCTAATTTTTTTTCTTCGTCTTTTCAAAGTATATATCAATATTGGTGGAGGTTGTGAGTTCTTCTGCAGTTAACTGATCACTGAGATAATTAATTACTTCTATGGAAGGTCTTTAATTAGTTCAATTATAAATTAATAAGGTAGGTCGCAATTGCCGGCCTATTTGTATTAAGGTTTATCTGTCTTGCCTTGTATGATCTTGACCTAGAAGGTGTTTTGTAAGAGAAGAACATGGAGGAAGTGCTTTTTTCAAAAGCTGTGCCTGTACCCACCTAATCTAACCTGATTTGTAGTTAACACAAAGTGCTTAAGCAATTAAGCTTGCTTAAAGGCCAAAAATTAGGCTACTGTAAATGGCCTCTTTGGATAGCTTATATATATATATATATGAAAATATCATATATTTCTTTGTTTCATTTACTAAAAAACTAACAATCATTGACTTATATCAACTGAACCGTTCAATATAGAGAAAAGACTAGGAGATATTTTGATTTCCATCATAGCAAATTAAGATGTCCTCTTAGCATGTAGTAGGGTTTATGTGGCTTACATTGATTTCATACTATGTTTGAATAATTGTTTTTTTTTTTTTTTTCCGCTTTCCTCAAGGTCCACTTTAAGCCGAACTCGAGAAATGCCAAACCCATCTAGTTTTTTATATCAATTGAATACTCTACAAACCCAATAGACCGGGTAAGCAGTGACAAATGTGATAGGTGTGGTCACTCCTTTGGTGAATCAAACAAAATATCTCCAGGTCCATTGATAAGCTAAACCCAATGGTCCACTGTCCGACCACAAGGGAATTGGTTGAATGATTGTTTTTGTGAATAAAGAAAAAAAAAATAACAGATATTAACATGGCTGATCTTGAAGACAAATTCTCAAAATAGTTGTTGGGCAAGAAGTCAACCAATTCATAGGTAGAGAATCTGATGTTACTAACCTAGCAACTTCATGCATTGACAAATTAGCTTTCCTTCTTGTCCATTGAAAACCAACTAAGGAATAACTGTGGGCTATATCTCTCACAATTCCGTCAATCTCCCAAAAAGCTTTTTCCATCTTGTAAACCTTAATAAGATCTAAACAGCAATACATTAGTCAAAACCGAATCGCAAGTCAAAGCTAATAAACAAGAAATTATATAGGCTGCATTTGTTTAGTTATTTTTTATATCCTATTCCCATCCTACCCAAAATACATATTTGTTTCATTATTCTCAAAATCCAATCTTATTCTATGTAACTCAAAATATTTAAATTTTTTAATCCCCTGGGTTTGTTAATTTAACTAAACAGCCCTCAATGACCATATCTACTTATATTTGACTAGAAAAAGCTAGATCAGTGTACTATCGACCAGATCCCGTCGGTAGTATGCCATTACGGTGAATTTCTACCACCTTTTAATGCTAGTGACTGGAATCTAGCAAATGCGGGTGGGTGGGGTTGTTTTTGTTAATTTATAAGTTTTTTTGGGGGGGTGTTTATTTAAATTAACAAATGTAGGAGATGTTTTTGTTAATTTTCAATTCTATCATAACAATCCAACTCAACTTTTTCAAAAATATTACTCAAAATAATAAAGGGTGCATTTGGTTCATTATTCTAATACTTTTTAGAATAATATTTAAAAAAAAAAGTAGGCTCCGTTTGTTTCACAATTTTTCACTACTCTATTCCTTATTCTATCCAAAATACACATTTATTTCCCTATTCTCAAAATATTATTCTATATTATTTAACTCTTTTTAAACCCCCTAGATTTATATTCTTTAAACCCCCTAGATTTGTTAATTTAACTAAATACCCCCGAAAATTGTTTTTTCTAGAAATTCAAAAAAACACCCCAGCAACCCATATTTGCCAGATTCCGACCACCACTGTCGGAAGCTGGCCGGAATCTGGTATAATGGCGCACTATAGGATGGATCTGGTCGGTAGTTCTCCGATCTAGCCTTTTTTGGCCAAATCTACGGCAAAAAATCTAGTCATCTTTGGTCGTAGCCAGTCGTTGATGACCAAATCCATAGATCTGACCTTTTCCAGCCAAATCAACCGTGGATCTGGCCGAAAAAGGTCATGTTGACACACGACCGGTCAGATCCAGTCGATCGTGCGTTGATACGGCGACTTTGGCCACCCTTCGGTGGTGGTGGATGGCTGTCCGTACTTAATGGGTGGGTTAGGGGTGTTTTTGTTAATTTTTAATATTTTATTATAGATGTGTTAGTAAATAAACAAACATAGGGGGTATTTTTATTATTTTTCAAATCCTACATCGTAATGAACCAAACGAACCTGTAAAATTGGGTGGATATTACGATGTAGGATTTAGAAATTAATAAAAATACCCTCTATGTTTGTTTATTTACTAAACACCCGTATAATAAAATATTAAAAATTAACAAAAACACCCCTACCTACCCATTAAATACGAACAACTAGCCACAATCGCCGAAGGGTGGCTGGAGTCGCCGTATCAACGCATGATCGGTTGGATCTAGCCGATCGTGCACCGATATGGCATTTTTCTGCCAGATCGGTAGATCTGGCCGCCGCATTTGGTCGTCAACGATGGCCAAAGATATGGTCGTCGTTGACGACTGGCTACGGTCAAAGATCTGGCTGTCAACGTCCAGATCTTTGGCTGTAGATCTGGCCTTTTTTGGCCAGATCCATCATGGATCTAGACAAAAAAATGCTAGATCGACGTACTACCAGCTAGATCCAACCAGTAGTATGCCATTATATCAGATTCTGATAAATGTGGGTATTTGGGGTGTTTTTGTCAATTTCTAAATTTTTTTTTTTTTTTTTGGTGTTTAGTTAAATTAACAAATCTAGGAGGTTTAAAAGAAATTGAATAATATAGAATAATATTTTGAGAATAAGGGAATAAATATATATTTTAGATAGAATAGATAATAGAATATTGAAAAATTGTATACCAAACCGAGCCAAAACAAATACAGTTATGACTTTTGAAATGTTAAGTGGCTTGGACCCATGGACTTAAAAGAAGGGTGGGTGGACTTCTTTAGCCCAACTTATTAAAATTTCAAATCAAGTACTCCTGAGCCCAACCCAAAGGTGTATAAACATATGAAGCCAATTCATGCACTCCTATAATAATGCTGCCTTCCAATAATGAAGTTTGCGCGTGACTCTTTAATTTAATTTTGAATAACAAGTTTCTTATCAAACTCTTATATTAAAAAGAATAATATTATATTTACACCTTTCTTTACACCATTTTCATTATATTATGATTATTTTACTAATAAAAATTTTATTATAATATTAAAAATTAAAAATAATTAAAAATTTGTATGAACATGACATATATCACATCATGATATAATGAAAATTATATAAATAATGATATAAGGTAGTATTACTCATTAAAAAATCTGACCTAATTATTATTATTATTTTAATTGGAAAAACAAATGGTCATTTTAACGTGTCAGCGTCAAGTTTGGTAGTCACCGACTGTGGTTGGAAAAGACCAGATCTGACTGTCGTTGTTAGTAGTCCTTGACAGCCAGATCTAGACTTTTGAGACCGTCAACGATCAGATCTGGCTATAGATTTAGCCTTATCCGATTAGATCCGTGGTGGATCTGGTCAAAAAAAGTCATATCGACGTCCTCCTTGCCAGATCTGACCAGTCTGCATAGTAACGTTATTTTTCGACCAGATTTTGACAGTAGTGATCAGAATTTGGTATTGTGAGTGGATGAGAATATTTTTGTTATTTTACAAAATTTTTATATATTAGAATGTTTAGTTAAACTGGTAAACTTAAGAAGTTTTTTTATAAATTTTTAAATTTTACTTCGTAATATTCGTTTATTCAACTATCGATATAATTTCTAAAATTCTATTTAAAATAATAAAACAAACGGATCAATAACTACCAAGGAAAGAATATCCGATCATCACCTACACGTGAACGGGGTTCGTGTCCTAAAATAACCCGCTCAACCGACTCTCCAGCGCTTTAATAACTGCACCAAAAGTCCAAAACTGCAGTAATCCTTACCCCACAATTCTTACTCACTTCGACAACTCTCTCTATCGCTTCTCGACCAACTGCGCGGGTAATTTTAATTTTTTATTTAATGATCTCGCATTAATTTCTGATTGTCGTTTCGATTACTCATGATCAGTGTTTTTTTGCGAGTTTGACTTTTTTTTCTTTAATGTAATCGTTCTGTTTGGTCGCTGAGAAAATGCGAGAAAAAAAAGACAATCGGAAGTAATATGTGGAGGGGAAAACTATTTACTGTCTCTATTGATTGTGTTTTGATTATTTTGACGGTAGTTTTATGGTAGATATTGATATTTCGTGGAGTGTTGAGGTATTTTTTTTTTTGGGAATTGAACTTGCGGATAATGGAGTTATTATTGTGCTTGGTTGCTGAGAAAATTCGGTAAAATAAATCGATAGGAAGTAATGATTAGCGGAGAATATTAAGTACTGTCTCTACGGATTTTTCGATCATTTTGACTTTTATTTTTAATTTCATGGAGTTTAAGATTTGACCGAAGTTACATAATAGAGTTTATTTCCTATGGTTTGAATGGAATAACCTTGTGTTTTGTCAGCACTGTAGCTCTCGCAGAGATACGGTCTTAGTTATATGTGATTTAGTACATGCCAAGATATTGGGATTAGCACCCAAGTATGAGATCTCGGACCAGCTCCATGCGATTTGGCATCTTCCTGATTAGCTTTGTGGGAAGTCTGCGTGCTCTTTTATGCCGATTTGTGGCTTTGTGGTCTATGGCATCTTCCTGATTTGTTTTGTGGAGAGCCTGCGTGCTCTTTTATGCCAATTTGTGTTTTGTGGAGAGCCTGCGTGCTCTTTTATGCCAATTTGTGGCTTTGTGGTTTTCTTCCATGTGTTTTTTTGATTGAGTTTTATCAGTCTTTCTCTTCCTCTTGGGGTATGCCCCTCGTATTTGTACATTTTTTTGTCTCTTTTATAAAATTCTTACCATTACCCCAAAAAAAAAAAAAAAAAAAAAGTTTATTATTCTGTTTGGTTGCTGAGAAATAATGAAAGAAAATAGAGAATTGGAAGTACTAAGTGGTGGAGAGATGTACGGTCTACTCCTGTGTTTTGATCATCCTGAGTCCTGACTTTAATTTTACGGAAGATATTAATTTTTTATTTTACTCTTGTGGTGCTTCAAGAGTTCATGGGAATCAAACTTTTGGAAAATATTATAATTTTATTTTATTTCTTTAATAGGAAAAGTAGAAATGTATATTAATGAAAAAAACTTAAGACATTGGATCATAAATGCACTCCTACAAAAACTTATAATTTTAATTCTGTTTTGTTCGACATGTTTATTTGTTTGCTTTTCTCAGTAACTAAAGACCATGAAAGGAGGGTTTTGGTATATATTTTATTTAAAAAAAAAATTGCTTATTTTTTATCTGGAGTTTTGAATTCCTGTTTTCTGTCACTTCTACTTGTATTCTTTGCAGTCTCCGCAACAAAAAGTAGCTTAAAAAAAATGAACTTTTTTATAAGTTGGGTGTATTTTATTCAGGCTTGCCTGTTTCCTACAATTTATTATTATGAAATGCTAAACTGAAGTTGTTGACGCTAGATATTGAGGAGTTTTAGACCGTTGGTGTGCATGCTATGAGCATTTGAGCATGATACACTAGTGAAGCTTAATTTTTTGCTCTTTTGATCAGTGTTGATGTAAGCACATGTTTGTGTTTCCTCGTAAAATATAATAGAAGTTAGTATGTGTAGTAGCTCGTACAACAGAATGGAGTTTTCAGTATTTGTAATGCTAACCTCTGTTTATTTTAAATCAATAGAGTGTTGTTAATCCAATTATCTTGCTATGAAAACAATTTTCTTCAGTTGTGAATAATATTTTAGAAATTATTTGTTATTCTAGGTTATGTAAAACAATACTCAATTAGTAACATGCGCATCTTTTTTTACCTTGTAGTTAAGATTAATATAGTTAATATATAATGATTTTGCCTTTAAATTTACAGTTTTGTCAACATGGGAACAAAATTGAAATCCATTACAGCCAGTTTCTTCCTTTGTTTGCTGCTTTTTCCTGTGGTTTTCTCTACCCCAAATGGCGGGTTGTATAGAATTGGACTCAAAAAGAGGAAATTCGATCAAAACAACCGGCTTGACCCCAAGGAGGGAGAATCACTCAGAGCTTCTGTTAAAAAATATTATCTTCGTGGAAACTTAGGAGAGTCGGGGGATGCTCATATAGTAGCGCTTAAGCTGAAGAACTACAAGGATGCTCAGTACTTTGGTGAGATTGGTGTTGGTACACCTCCACAAAATTTCACTGTTGTGTTTGACACTGGTAGTTCAAATTTGTGGGTGCCCTCATCTTTCTCGGTGAGTATTCTGCTTTTCACTGGATGAATCTCTTAAGTGGGATTTATGTGTTGGGCAATGTATGTATAAATTTTTTTATCAGGGTAACATCATTGTGCATCTGGGTGCAGGATGTTTTCCAGAACCATCCCAAGTACAAATCAAGCAGCTCAAGTACTTACAAGAAGAATGGTTCGTAGTGCTTCCTATCAATTTGAATGTTGCTTAATTTTTTAATTTTATGATTGCCAAACTTTTTCCCTTGCAATCATACTGCTCATATGTGGGTTTTCTGTATGCCCTTTTGATGACCAAATGTATTTTATGGCTGAAGAATTATCATAGTTTGATTCCCTTTCTTGGGATATTTGCAGATGTATACATTCTAGTACTCTCAAACATGTTAATCATGCACATCGTGTAAAGCTCTTTTAATCGGTGTTTAAATATGTAGATGATAGTTGGCAGTATTATGGTCCTTTCTCTCTTTCCATCACTGTTTTTATGTGTGATTGTATGAATGTTCATGTGCATGGCAATTCAATAAGAAGTAGGTAGTAGGAGTTTGTCTATAGATGGCAGAGAACTTATTCAGTTTTGACCCTTGCACAGGTAAATCAGCCGATATCCATTATGGAACTGGAGCTGTTTCGGGGTTCTTTAGTGAAGACCATGTCAGAGTTGGTGATCTTGTGGTTAAAGATCAGGTAATTTTAAGGTCTTGGTCTTCTGTTGTAACTGCAGTAATAATAAAAATATCACTTTTTAGCTTTTGGCTTTTGCCTTTGCTTGATAGCTATGGTATGTTTCAGGAATTTATTGAAGCAACGAAAGAGCCTGGCCTTACATTCCTGATGGCCAAGTTTGATGGAATACTTGGACTTGGATTTCAAGAGATTTCTGTTGGACATGCTGTTCCTGTGTGGTAAAGTGCTGCACCTTAGCTCTTATTATTTGCTTTTCTCGATTTTTTATTTGAGTTTTATTGGTTAGTGTTATCCAATCAACCTAAAATGCAAACTGAAACAAACAAGAAACCAGAAAACCACAAACAATAAACACCGGATTTTTACCGTGGTTCACTTGCCCGATTTGAGTAAGTTACATCCACATTGAACTCTGGAAAGGGAGTTCGCTGATTAAAGAACAACCGATTACAGTCACGATTACAAAGAATGACACCCAAGAAACCCAGATCGAACAACTCTGATCTGAACCCATAATCTGCCCTAGGACTCCTCTAACCTGGAAATCCCTATAACAAGAACACAGTAGTTCTTCCCTTGATTGATTAACCCAAACCACTCAAGAAACCCACAGATTACACTGAAATCAAACCCAAAGAAAGAACCCTAGTTTTTCCAAAGAAAACGAAAAAACTGCTCTCGACCTTTTCTGTTTGATCTACTGTTACAATAGGAAACCCTAATCCTTTTATAGTGTTGACTGGAGGCTTGATCTCAGCCGTTGGCTTTTCCTCTGAATCAGCGGTCAGGATCATCCACGAACTGTCTCAAAACGACACCGTTCCATTAATTCAGTACGACGCCGTTTCAGCATTCACTCACAACAGTTAGAGATGAGTAGGTGGTGTAGAAATTCCATTTATGAGATGCCTAACTTAGAAGTGCTTCAGGTACAATATGGTGAATCAGGGTCTTGTTAGTGAACCAGTTTTTTCATTTTGGTTTAACCGAAATGCTGATGAAGAAGAAAGGGGTGAAATAGTTTTTGGTGGGATGGATCCTAACCACTACAAGGGTGAGCACACATATGTTCCTGTGTCGCAGAAGGGGTATTGGCAGGTTTGTGGTCTTCTTTTGCTATTTATTTTACGATGTGTCCATCTCAATTTTTTAAATATGATCTGCTTGTCTTTGTTGGCAGTTTGATATGGATGATATCTTGATTGATGGTAAAACAACTGGTAAGTAAACTATTTATCACTTTTTATATTTTGTTTTATGGAGTCACTGAGTGCAGTTCTTGGTCATGAATTGGTTTTCTTCCTTACTGTTGGCTTTCTTTTTCCAGGGTTTTGTGCTAGTGGATGTGCAGCAATCGCTGATTCAGGAACCTCTTTGTTGGCTGGCCCACCGGTGTGTATCAATATTTTTGTGGAGGATTTACGATTTTCAGCCATCGACTGCAGTTTTTACATACATAAGAGTACATACTGCTGTTACATGGTTGATTGAAGTACCTTTTATCTATTTAACTTGCAGACTATCATAGCTGAAATCAACCATGCCATTGGAGCTAAGGTATCTATAAGCAGCTGGGATGCCTTTACTAGAAATGGTTTAGAATAAATTATCGTGATCGTGTTTGGTTTTTAATTGTCACTGATATGTTTACCAGAACGGGACTCGAGCTGTTGATTGTGGCAGTTTGTCTTCTTTGCCTAATGTTTCCTTTACAATCGGTGGAAAGACATTCGACCTGAGTCCTGAGCAGGTATTTATTATAAATTAGTTTGGACTAGTGTTTGTGTTTATTGTATTTGTCATGATTATTAACAAATTTCATTTGGTCGATGGCAAAACAGTACATCCTCAAAGAGTGCGAGGGAGAAGCAGTCCAATGCTGTGGCGGATTTACAGATCAGGCGCCCGAACCAGGTGGACCTCAATGGTACGGCTATTCTTATAAATTGTTATTTTATCTGTATCTACGTACATTGTCATGAAATGCCACTTACTGGAACCTTGCCATTTGTATTTGTTGAAATGCAGGATCTTGGGGGATGTTTTTATGGGCACCTACCATACAGTTTTTGACTTTGGCAATATGAGTGTGGGATTCGCAGAAGCCGCGTAAGCATATATAGCTTTCTTTGTCTGTCTAAGGTGTCGGAGTGAACCTTAAATGACTGTCGCAGTGCAAATAGTTGTACTGTCTGTCTTACGTTCTATTTCAAGTTGCAATTTGGTAGACGGAGATATAATCACGGAATATCCGTGGGAAGTACTTAATTATGTTTAAATCTTTTTATAATGATATTTTTTATAGAAATAATTTTTATGCAGTTATAAAAAACTATAGTCTTAATTTAGATAGTTATAAATAAGAATAAATTTTATATTGTAATAGGTTAATATTTTTTTTTAATTCTTGACTTACAAAAAATTGTTTTTATATAATAATAATTATTTGTTTATTGTAAAAAAAAATATATTATATTATATTAAAGGTTTAAGATGAAATAAAATATTTATTTAAAATTATTTTGTATAATTATTTATGCTTAAAGTTATTATTTCATTTTTTAACTTGTGAATATGCAATAAGTTGTTAGTATAAACATTTTTGTTAAAGTTAAAATATTTTTAATTTTTTAACCATATTTAGAGTTTTCTAACAATAAATTTTATTGTAGTTATTAAAATAATAATTAAAATCTTAATACGTCCTACTAAAATATGAATATAAAAATAAAAAATCTAAAACAGTAATTATACTTTTAATTACTTTTTTATAGTAATAAATTAGTTTCATTTTAACATTATGACCGTAAAGGAGCTTTATTGTATAGCAGTGAACTTATTATTATCTTTACTTAACATTGGAATTTTTTGTCGAGAAGGCGGGATTATGCTTTCAGTATGTGACGTTCGTTATGGAACTTATGGTCACTATATTATATTCGTGTCCAAAAGGTAGTTATGTTGACTAACAGAAGTTGATTTTGTTGTCAATCAACAACGTTAGTATGGCCGTCAAAGCGAAAGTTATCCTTATCGGTATCAACAGACGTTAATTCATTAGTCAAATAACTTAACTCTGATGTCAGTTGATGGAAGTTAAGCGGGGGTCTACTCTATGGTTGTTAGTATCTTATTATATCCGATACATATCATACGATACAATTTGATACAGGTTATCAATAATATATATCAGAGAATATATTCTTAACCTTTTGATACATTAATATATATCTTACAATACAATACGTATTCGTTCGTGTCTTTAAAAATATCGATATGATTTTATTAATTTTGGCCAAAAGCTCAAAAAATATTTTGGATCAGAACCGGACCATCCAATCTAGTTCATTAAAACCTTTCCAAATTTATCCATTTTGCATGGTGAAAGTGAAGAAGAACATGTGTTGCCCATTTTGCATGATAATAATAATTCAAGTAGAGATATAGATATTGACATTGATCTTGAAAATGATATGAATGGTTGAAAAAAAATATTATAGATTCTTAATTTTGTGATTAATTTTAATTATGTAATACCATAATTTAAAGTCAATAATACCACAAAATTCTTTAATTAATTTTGGAGATAATATTAATTTTTAGAAAATTTTGATTATTTTATTATTTTTTTTTGAAAAAAACGTATCCTACTATACTATACGTGATATAAGATTCAAAAAATTAAGTTTTCCACATATCGACAACTATGATTCACCCTGCCACTGACAATGTACAGTTAAATAACGGACTCTTTGCGACAGTTGACAAACGCCGTCAGGGTCATACAAAACTTGTTTTTCATTCACTAGAGCAACCCATTTTCTAAAATTTCCCATCGAGATCTTACCCAGAATTCATCGCTACCCAAAATTTCACATTTCAGGATCTCCTGCAAAGCAAAATTCTAAACACCAGCACCTACGTGATTCGTGAAACCAATAAAAAAATTAGGCTACTGTAAATGGCCTCTTTGGATAGCTTATATATATATATATATATATATATATAAAATATCATATATTTCTTTGTTTCATTTACTATAAAACTAACAATCATTGACTTATATCAACTGAACCGTTCAACATAGAGAAAAGATTAGGAGATATTTTGATTTCTATCATAGCAAATTAAGTTGTCCTCTTAGCATGTATTAGGGTTTATGTGGCTTTCTTTGATTTCATACTATGTTTGAATAATTGTTTTTTTTTTTTTTTTCCTGCTTTCCTCAAGATACACTTCAGGCCGAACTCGAGAAATGTCAAACCTATCTAGTCTTTGATATTTATTGAATACTCTACAAACCCGATAAATCGGGTAAGCAATGACAAATGTGGTAGGTGTGGCCACTCCTGTGGTGAATCAAACAAAGTATCTCTAAGTCCATTGATGAGCCAAACCCAATGGTCCACCATCAGACCACAAGGGAAAATTGGTTGAATGATTGTTTTTGTGAATAAAGAAAAAAAAAATAACAGATATTAACATGACTTATCTTGAAGACGAATTCTCAAAATACTTGTTGGGCAAGAAGTCAACCAATTCATAGATAGAGATTCTGATGCTACTAACCTAGCAACTTCATGCATTGACAAATTAGCTTTCTTTCTGGTCTATTGAAAACCAACTGAGGAATAACTGTGAGCTATATCTCTCACAATTCCATCAATCTCCCAAAAAGCTTTTTCCATCTTGCAGACCTTAATAAGATCTAAAGAGTAATACCTTACTCAAAACCGAATCGCAAGTCAAAGCTAATAAACAAGAAATTATATAGGTTGCGTTTGTTTAATTATTTATTCCTATCCTACCCAAAATACATGTTTGTTTCATTATTCTCAAAATTTAATCTTATTCAATTCAACTCAAAATATTAAAATTTTTTAACCCCCTACTTTGTTAATCTAACTAAACGGCCGTCAACGACCAAATCTGGTTGTATTTAGTCGGAAAAAGCTAGATCGGCGTATTACCGACCATATCCAACTAATAGTATGCCATTACAGTAGATTCCGATCACCTTTTGATGGAGGTCGCTGGAATCCATCAAATGTGGGTGAGTGAGGGTACTTTTGTCAATTTATAAACTTTTTTTATTGGAGTGTTTAATTAAATTAACAAACTTGTAAGGTGCTTTTATTAATTTTTAAATCTTACCTCGAAATAACAATCCAACTCAACTTTTTCAAAAATATTATTCAAAATAATAAAACAAATATAATTATAACTTTTGAAATGTTAAGTGGCTTGGACCCATGGACTTAAAAAAAGGGTGAGTGGACTTATTTAGCCCAGCTTATTAAAATTTCAAATCAAGTATTCTTGAGCCCAACCCAAATGTGTATAAACATATGAAACCCATTCATGTACTCCTATAATAATATCGCCTTCCAATAATGATGTTTATTGCGTGACTCTTTAATTTAATTTTGAATAACAAGTTTCTTATCAAATTCTTATATTCAAAAATCTTACCTAATTATTTTTTTTTTTTTATTTGAAAAAACAAATGGTCATTGTAACGCGTCAGCATCAAGTCTGATAGTCAACTGAGGCATGGCATCAACTTTACTTATTTCAATCTCTTAGCTACCAAGAAAAGAATATCCGATCATCAACTACACGTGTACGGTGCTCGTGTCCTAAAATAACCCGCTCAACCGACTATTCAGCGCTTTATTAACTGCACGAAAACTGCACTGATCCTTGGCTCACGATCGTTACTCGCTTCGACAACTCTCTCTCTCGATTCTCAACCAACTGCGTGAGTAATTTTAATTTTAATTTTTTGTTTAATGATCTCGCATTAATTTCTGATTGTCGTTTCTATTACTCATGATCAGTGTTTTTTTGCGAGTTTGACTTTTGTTTTTCTTTAATGTAATCGTTCTGTTTGGTTGCTGAGAAAATGCGAGAAAAAAAAGACAATCGGAAGTAATATGTGGAGGGGAAAACTATTTACTGTCTCTATTGATTGTGTTTTGATTATTTTGACGGTAGTTTTATGGTGGATATCGATATTTCGTGGAGTGTTGAGGTATTTTTTTTTGGGAATTGAACTTGCGGATAATGGAGTTATTATTGTGCTTGGTTGCTGAGAAAATTCGGTAAAATAAATCGATAGGAAGTAATGATTAGCAGAGAATATTAAGTACTGTCTCTACGGATTTTTCGATCATTTTGACTTTTATTTTTAATTTCATGGAGTTTAAGATTTCACCGAAGTTACATAATAGAGTTTATTATTATGTTTGGTTGCTGAGAAATAATGAAAGAAAAAAGACAATTGGAAGTACTCAGGGGCCGAGAAAAGTACGGTGTATTGACTGTGTTTTGATCATCCTGACTTTAATTTTACGAAAGATATTAATTTTTTATTTTAATCTTGTGATGCTTCAAGAGTTTATGGGAATCAAACTTTTGGAAAATATGAGATTAGAATTTTAATTTTTTTTTTTTCAATAGGAAACGTAGAAATGTATATTAATGAAAAAAACTTAGAAAGTGGATCATAAATCCACTCCTACAAAAACTTATAATTTTAATTCTGTTTTGTTCGACATGTTTATGTGTTTGCTTTTCTCCGTAACTAAAGACCAGGAAAGGAGGGGTTTGGTATATATTTTATTTAAAAAAAAAATTGCTTATTTTTTATCTGGAGTTTTGAATTTCTGTTTTCTGTCACTTCTACTTGTATTCTTTGCAGTCTCCGCAACGAAAAGTAGCTTTAAAAAAAATGAACTTTTTTATAAGTTGGGTGTATTTTAGACAGGCTTGCTTGTTTACTACAATTTGTTATTATGAAATGCTAAACTGAAGATGTTGACGCTAGATATTGAGGAGTTCTAGACCGTTGGTGTGTATGCTATGAGCATTTGAGTATGATAAACTAGTGAAGCTTAATTTTTTGCTCTTTTGATCAGTGTTGATGTAGGCACATGTTTGTGTATCCTGGTAAAATATAATAGAAGTTAGTATGTGTAGTAGCTCGTACACCAGAATGTAGTTTTCAGTATTTGTAACACTAACCTCTGTTTATTTTTAAATCAATAGAGTGTTGTTAATCCAATTATCTTGCTATGAAAACAATTTTCTTTAGTTGTGAACTATATTTTAGAAATCATTTGTTATTCTAGGTTATGTACAACAATACTGAATTAGTAATATGCGCATCTTTTTTACCTTGTTGTTAAGATTAATATAGTTAATATCTAATGATTTTGCCTTTAAATTTACAGTTTTGTCAACATGGGAACAAAATTGAAATCCATTACAGCCAGTTTCTTCCTTTGTTTGCTGCTTTTTCCCGTGGTTTTCTCTACATCAAATGGCGGGTTATATAGAATTGGACTCAAAAAGAGGAAGTTCGATCAAAACAACCGGCTTGCTGCCCGGCTTGACTCCAAGGAGGGAGAATCACTCAGAGCTTCTGTTAAAAAATATCATCTTCGTGGAAACTTAGGAGAGTCGGGGGATGCTGATATAGTAGCGCTGAAGAACTACATGGATGCTCAGTATTTTGGTGAGATTGGTGTTGGTACACCTCCACAAAATTTCACTGTTATATTTGACACTGGTAGTTCAAATTTGTGGGTGCCCTCATCTAAGTGTTATTTCTCGGTGAGTATTCTTCTTTTCAGTGGATGAATCTCTCAAGTGGGATTTATGTGTTGGGCAATGTATGTATAAATTTTTTTTATCAGGGTAACATGATTGTGCATCTGAGTGCAGGTTGCTTGCTATTTCCATCCCAAGTACAAATCAAGCAGCTCAAGTACTTACAAGAAGAATGGTCGTGTGGTGTTCCTATCCATTTGAATGTTACTTAATTTTTTAATTTATGATTGCTCTTAGCTATGATGCCAAACTTTTTTCCTTGCAATCATACTGCTCATATGTGGGTTTTCTGTATGCCTTTTTGATGACCAAATGTATTTTATGGCTGACGAATTATCATAGTTTGATTCCCTTTCTTGGCATATTTGCTATGTATACATTCTGTACTCTCAAATATGTTAAAATGCACATCTGTAAAGCTCTTTAACCGTGTTTCAACATGTAGATGATAGTTGGCAGTATTATGGTCCTTTCTCTATTTGCATCACTGTTTTTATGTGTGGTCGTATGCATCACTGTTTTTATTGTGGTCGTATGAATGTTCATGTGCATGGCATTCAATAAGAAGTAGGTAGTAGGAGTTTGTCTATAGATGGCCGAGAACTTATTCAGTTTTGACCCTTGCACAGGTAAATCAGCCGATATCCATATGGAACTGGAGCTGTTTCGGGGTTCTTTAGTGAAGACCATGTCAGAGTTGGTGATCTTGTGGTTAAAGATCAGGTAATTTAAGGTCTTGGTCTTCTGTTGTAACTGCAGTAATAATAAAAATATCACTTTTAGCTTTGGCTTTTGCCTTTGCTTGAAGCTATGATATGTTTCAGGAATTTATTGAAGCAACGAAAGAGCCTGGCCTACATTCCTGATGGCCAGTTTGATGGAATACTTGGACTTGGATTTCAAGAGATTCTGTTGGACATGCTGTTCTGTTGTGGAAGTGCTGCACTTAGCTCTTATTATTGCTTTTCTCGATTTTTATTTGAGTTTATTGGTTAGAATGAGTAGGTGGTGTAGATTCCATTCTGGGATGTCTTAACTTAAAAATGCTTCAGGTACAATATGGTGAATCAGGGTCTTGTTAGTGAACCAGTTTTCTCATTTGGTTACCGAAATGCTGATGAGGAAGAAGGGGGTGAAATAGTTTTTGGTGGATGGATCCTAACCACTACAAGGGTGAGCACACATATGTTCCTGTGTCGCAGAAGGGGTATTGGCAGGTTTGTGGTCTTCTTTGCTATTATTTTACGATGTGTCCATCTCAAATTTTTAAATATGATCTGCTTGTCTTTGTTGGCAGTTTGATATGGGTGATGTCTTGATTGATGGTAAAACAACTGGTTAGTAAATATTTATCACTTTTTTTTTTTGTTTATATGGAGTCACTGAGTGCAGTTCTTGGTCATGAATTGGTTTTCTTCCTAACTGTTGGCTTTTTTTCCAGGGTTTTGTGCTAGTGGATGTGCAGCAATCGCTGATTCAGGAACTCTTTGTTGGCTGGCCCAACGGTGTGTATCAATATTTTGTGGTAGTTTTTACGATTTTCAGCCATCGACTGCAGTTTTTACATACATAAGTGTACATACTGCTGTTACATGGTTGATTGAAGTACCTTTTCTATTTAACTTGCAGACTATCATAGCTGAAGTCAACCATGCCATTGGAGCCTCGGGGTTGTTAGTCAGGAATGCAAGGCTGTAATTTCACAATACGGAGAAACTATATGATATGCTTTTAGTAAGGTATCTATAAGCAGCTGGCATGGCTTTACTAGAAAGTTTTAGAATAAATTATCGTGTTCATGTTTGGTTTTAATTGTCATTGATATGTTTGCCAGGAGGGCCTAAAAAATTTGTTCACAAATTGGTTTGTGCACATTTGACGGGACTCGAGGTGTAAGGTGAAACTCTTAACATGCATCTTCTTGTTGGATGTCTTAAAAGAATTTTTGTTTTAATTGCTTATGAATGTTTCTAAATGTGATGTGATCAGTATGGGAATTGAGGCGTTGTTGATGAGAATTCGAAGAGATCATCTGGTGGTGTGCGTGATGCAATGTGCTCTACATGCGAGATGACAGTTGTATGGATGCAGAATCAGCTCAAGCAGAACCAAACACAGAGCACATCATTGCTATATCAATGAGGTGAAATATGTTGTTTTTATTCGGTATATTTTCTGAGTGTACCAGTTTTGTTGTTCTCCACAACTTTCCTTCGATAATCCAGCTCTGTGATCGGCTGCCTAGTCCAATGGAGAATCAGCTGTTGATTGTGGCAGTTTGTCTTCCTTGCCTATGTTGCCTTTACAATCGGTGGAAAGACATTCGATCTGAGTCCTGAGCAGGTATATATTATAAATTAGTTTGGACTAGTGATTGTGTTTATTGCATTTGTCATGATAAACGAGTATTAACAAATTTCATTTGGTCGATGGCAAAACAGTACATCCTCAAAGTGGGTGAGGGAGAAGCAGCCCAATGCATTAGCGGATTTACAGCTCTGGATGTGCCCCACCACGCGGACCTCTCTGGTAGGCTATTCTTATAAATTGTTGTTTTATGTATCTACGTACATTGTTATGAAATGCCCCACTAACTGGAACCTTGCCTTTGTATTTGTTGCAATGCAGGATCTTGGGGATGTTTTTATGGGCCCCTACCATACGGTTTTTGACTATGGCAATATGAGAGTGGGATTCGCAGAAGCCGCGTAAGTATATATAGCTTTTCTTTGTCTGTCTAAGGTGTCGGAGTGAACGTTAAATGACTATCGCAGTGTAAATAGTTGTACTGTCTGTATTACGTTCTATTTTAAGTTGCAATTTGTTAGACGGAGATATAATCACGTAATATCCGTGTGAAGTACTTAATTATGTTTAAACCTTTTTATATAGAATACCTTATTTTATATAGAAATAATTTTTATGCAGTTATAAAAAATTATAATCTTAAATAAGAATAAATTTTATATTGTAATAAGTTAATATTTTTTTTAATTGTCAACTTAAAAAAAAAAAATTGTTTTTATATGATAATAATTATTTTTGTATTATAAAAAAAAAAATATTATATATTATATTAAAAGTTTAAGATGAAGTAAAATATTTATCTAATATTATTAAACACAATAATTTATATTTAAAAGATATTATATTATTTTTTAATTTATTAATATGTAATAACTTGTTAAAATAAATATTTTGTGTAGATATCTTTTATTGAAGTGAAAATATTTTTAATTTTTTAAGCATGTTACGAGTTTTTTGACAGTAAATTTTATTATGATTATGAAAAAAAAAATTGAAATCTTAATTCGTCTTACTGAAATGTGAATATAGAATAAGAAACTAAAGCAGTAATTACATAATAACTTTTTTATAGTAATAAACTAGCTTAATTTCAACGTTATAACTGTAGAGGAGCTTTATTGTATAGCCGTGAACTTTTTGTCATATTCACTTAACATTGGAATTTTTTGTCGGTAAGGTGGAATTATGCTTTTCAGTATGTGACGTTCGTTATGGAACCTATGGTCACCATATTATATTCGTGTCCAAAAAGTAGTTACGTTGACTAACAGAAGTTGATTTTGCTCACTCAACAACGTTAGTATGACCGTCAAAGCGTAAGTAACCTTTATCGGTATCAACAGACGTCAATTCATTTGTGTATAGTTAAATAACGGACTCTGTGCGACTGTTGACAAACGCCGTCAGAGTCATACAAAACTTGTTTTTTCATTCACTAGAAACCACCCATTTTCTAAAATTTCCCAACGAGATCTTACCCAGTATTCATCGTTACCCAGAATTTCACATTTCAGGATCTACTGCAAAGCAAAATTCTAAACACCAGCACCCACGTGATTCGTGAAACCAATAAAGAAATTCATTTTTAACTGGTTCGTGAAAAAAAAAAAAAGTTTCGGATTCAAATTTAGAAAAAGTTAAGATTTTAATAAAGGGATTTTCGTTTTTGTGGTTTTTGCTGCGGAGAGCGTCATGTCTTTCTTGTAATGGGATTGACTAATTATTGCAAGTTTTAAATTTAAACAATCATGGTGGTGAAGAAAAGAAAAAACAAAAAGAAGAGTATACAACTATACATGGTTTAGCTTTAATGGGATGGTCGTTAAATGATGGCATATGTCGGTATGAAATTTTTTCTCCGGGAACTCCGGTTTATCAATCCTCAAAGGAGTGGGCAAATCCCATTTCTATAGTTTCGGCGGAAACAGTGATGTAATAAAATCTTAAGTAAAGATGTTATAGGAAAAGATATATAATAAATTGTCTCATTAACAGCCCGAAAACCCCCTCGAATTAATGGATCAATGATTCTTAGTGGGGTTTTGCTATCATCTTGTTGGGTGGTAACACTTTTAGGTAAAGATTAGAGTAAAATTCCCATCTTAAAGACGTCACACTGACCTCGTAAAGATGTCACAGATCATATTAGGGGGGAAAAATTGTTCTAGAAAAGATGAGCACTTAGTGATTGTTGTGAAGATGATGAGTCAAAAGACTTCAAATTTTTCTCAATTGAAACTAAAGGGTCAGCTTCAATTTAGGCATTAAAATTGTTACGTGGCGGAAATGTGTGAACACAAAGTGGCTAGATTAGATGTTTTGTGGATGATGATAAAGCTTTTGACTTGAAAAGAGTAAAAGCCAGGAACAGTTTTGGAGTTATTCCAAGTAAGAAGAAGTGGGTCTCTGAAATTTGCTTAACCGAAAGTATATGTTTCCCCTTAATTTATTCATATAATTATTCTATTGGTTTAAAGTACTTGGGAATTTGGTTTTGAACTGATTCTGGTCAGCCTTGTTGATTACTATAATCACCTCTTTTTCTGAATTTCGAGGTTTTTGGGTCAACATAGTTTAGGGAAAATACACAGAAACCCATTTCTTAAAGCAGTTGACTCACTCTATTGTTTTGACTATCTCAAGGGTTTAAGATTATTAAGTGTTTCTAACCTTGTTCTAGGTAAATTCTATGGGCACACCTAACTTATTTTAAAAGTTAATATAACAAATTCATTTGAGTTAGTGTCTAAATCAAGTAATATCTATTCAATTGGGTCTAAACTATTATAAGTCGATGATTGTGTAATGTAATAATTACACAAAAGACAATAGATCTCCAACGTAACAGTTCGTAAATTTGATAACCCTCGTAACATAGCCTAAGACCTTTGAAATGTAAATTGAATTCTAGAAGACGTGATGCTAAGTGATGGAGGAAAACTAAAAGTGGGGGTGGTCCTGTTTATTCCAAATGAAGATGAAAACAAAAAATGAGAAAAAGATTGTGATTCAAGTGATGGATGGATGTAGCTGGAAAGTTGAAGATGACTAAAAAGCAAAGATGAGATTCAGTTGCGGCCAGGCCAGCCACTGGTAAGAAAGAAGGAATAGCTGCCTGCCACCGACTCGTTCAAAGGATAAAAAAAATCCATCTATCTGTCTTGAGAATAGTGATTTAGATAAAACGACTTTCACTTTATCATCCAAAAGAAGGTAATGGAGGAGAGATGGCTGCAACAAAAAGTAACCTTTCATAATTGGAATTGCTTCAATCTCACTCATACGTATACGTCTAATCATCAGTATGAATCACTTTTGCCTTAAATTAATGAAGAATTAGACGACTAAAACCCAGTTTTGTAATATCAAATTCAATTCAAAAATCTTGATTGATTCTTCACGTCAAAAAGTATACTTATGCATGAGAAGAGTGGCCATGTGAAATTCACGCGGTTTCATTTGGTAATAGGAGTATATAATAATGCCCCATCAAAATAAAAATTATTATGTTCAATTTGTTCTCACATTGGAACATGATTAAAGTAGTAATTTTTAAATGCCGGGGTGTTGAATTTATGTGGCGGCAGGCAAGTCACCAAACCTATTATACCACATCATTTTTATTTTTTTTAATGGCCGACGGTGTTCAGACCCTGATAAGAGTTTTGGTGGTCATGCCTATTAGGGGTGATGGGAACTCAAATTCAAGATACCATATTAGATCTTCCTCTTACTTTTTTTATTGGTTATCGGGAATGTTCGGACTAACTTACGTGTATCTTGACCAGTCTCTCGACCTTAAATAAGACTTCCGGAATAGGGTAACTCCTTACAGTTCATGACCAACAATATTAATAACTGTTCTTGTGATTCGAACCTGAGACTACAAGGGGAGCAAACCCCTTGACGTCAAGCCTTTAGGCACTCAACCAATCCATTGTTACTCTTTTTTTTTTTTTTGGTTATCGAGAGTGTTCGAGCTAGCTTACGTGCACCTTGCCCAATCCCCCGACCCTGAATAAAGCTTTCAGAACAGGGCAAGCCCTACAGTTCATGACCAACAATATTAATAACTGTTCTTGTGATTCAAACATGAGATCATAAGGGGAGCAAACCCCTTGGCGTCAAGCCTTTAGCACTCAGCCAACCCATTGTTGGTTCTTCTTTTATTCTTTTACCATTAAGAGGACTTGAACTAAGAAGATTATGTTAATTATAAATAGGGTTTTCTTAATTTCATTCATCATCAACAAATTTAATCAAAATTTGGTCTTGTATTCTAGATTCAATACTTTTCTTAGTTCACACTACATTTATCCCTTATCCATCTAGAAAGTAAAAAAAAAAAAACCCTATAATATTAAAGTCTAACCTAATCAATTCTGACCTAGATATAACATTCTGATTTATTTAATATATTTATAGTTTTTCTTTCTCAAAGATATTCGTAATTCTCTTAGGCAAAAATAAATTATTTATTACAAGGATTTTTATTCTTTTCTGAAAATTGATCCAATCTTAACATTCCTCTAAACTTAGAAAATGTTTTACTACTAAAAAAAATCAATAAGTTAAATAAATGTTTTTAATAGTTTAATAGAAAGATTGAATTGGATGCTCTAAAAATCAATAAATAATTATAAAAATCATGGTGCTACGTATCATACCATCATGTTACAAATTACAACTACATACACCTGTACAAATAACAATGCTAAAAAAAGAACATACATTTTAAAAATAAAATATTCAAAAGAATACAAATCAAGCTAGGCTATGAATCTAGAAAGCTTAAGAAATAATTAAATAAATAAAAAACTATAGGATAAACAGCTTGCATACACATTACACAAAAAAAAAAAAAAAAGTGTAACGCGATTTTTAATTTTTGGTTTCACATTGTGTTAATTGCCGCCGCAAAACCCAGTTCCTTAATTAAGGATATTCTCTCTTTCAATCTTCCGCCATTAACGCAATCTCGCCACGTGCTCACGTGTCTTCATGTGCCCGTCTTTACTCTTTGTAGTTTTTAACTTTTTATTCCTTCCCCAAGTTACCGGCTTACCGCCGTCCACAGGCGGCCATTCACGCGCCTCTTTTCACTTCCTCTCCCCTTTCGCCACGTGGCCCATTTTCCAATTCTGTTATAACTATGGGATATTTCCTTCACTCCCTCAAGGTTTGGGTTTAAACATTCACATACCCGAAGAAATTTAGAAAATATCTTGTGTAGAATTAGTGAAGATAATAGTGGGTAGAGTGATAGAATGGGTAGGAAATGTGTGATTTATAACATTTTTCCAAATTTAACTATAATAAGATAATTATATAACGTTATCAATATAGTAGTTAAATCCAGTAAATTAACTGAATGAAATAGTGGCTAAAATGAAAAAAGAAAATAAATAAACGAGTGAAAATTTATATGTATGTTTGTTTTATCTAAGATATTTTCGAAAAATTAATGATAGCATCTCTCTGTTTGAGTATTTTGTTATAGTTCTTTTTGACTATTTGTTAGGACTGGGTGTTTTTGTTATTTAATAAAGTATGTGGGAGTTAATTGTCATCAAAATAGACAAATGACACATCTCAAACGTATTTAAATACCAACTAAATTACAGATTTTTCACTACAATTGTGAGTTCTGTGTTTTGTGTATTGTTTTATTCTTTATGGAGTGGAGAAGAGGACCCGTCATTGGCCGTGGCTCCACCGCCACGGTGTCACTGGCCACGGTGGTTCCTTCTGGCGAGCATATAGCGGTGAAGTCCACGGAGCTTTCCAAGTCTGAGTTTTTACAAAGAGAGCAAAATTTCTTGTCCAAAATGAACTCTCCTTACATAATTAAGTACGGAGGGTTCAGTGTCACAGAACAAACGTACAATCTTTGCATGGAGTTTGCGCCCGGCGGCTCACTTTTCGATGAAATTCAAAGGCATGGAGGAAGATTAAACGAGCAGAGGATTAAATTCTACACGAGCCAGATCCTCGAAGGCTTGAATTATCTTCACATGAATGGATTGGTGCATTGTGACATCAAAAGCAAGAACATTTTGATAGGCAAAGATGGTTTTGCAAAGATTGCCGATCTGGGTTGTGCTAAATTTGTGGAGAAATTTGATGACAATAAAAATTTTGCAGTGTCAGAATTTTGTGGTACACCGGTGTTCATGGCGCCGGAGGTGGCAAGACGAGAGGAACAAGGGTTTGCAGCTGATATATGGGCTGTTGGGTGCACAATTATTGAAATGGCCACTGGAACTAATCCTTGGCCGGAGCTGAATGACCCGGTTTCCGCCCTTTACCGGATCGGATTCTCCGGTGAGGTACCAGAGACACCGCGGTGGTTGTCGGGGGAGGCGAAGGAGTTCTTGAGCAAGTGTATGAGAAAAGATCCCAATGAGAGATGGACAGCTAAAGAGCTTCTTGAACATTCATTTGTTAGTGAAGTATTTGAGTCTCACAGTTGCTTTAATGAAGAAGTTGATATGAGTTCTCCATGCACAGTTTTGCATCATGGCATTTGGGATTCCACATTAAGCCCAGAAAACTCAACACATAGAGTTAGCTCTTTGAATTCTTCCGGCGAAAAGATTCAGAAATTGTTTGGAAGTGCCGCAAATTGGAGCTGGGATGATGAAGATTGGATCACAGTTAGAACAAATGAGGATCATACTATTGAAGAAACAAATGAATTATCAGCTCCAACAACATTAGTTTTAGATTTTGCTTCTGCAGAAGAAGTTCAAAGTTCAATTTTTTATGAAGATTTATTGTTAGAATCCTCTGTTGAAAGTACTACTTTCACAGATGATTATTTTGTATTGAGAAATATTTGTTTTGAGACAGATAATAATGAAGATTCATGTTTGATTCAATCTCAGTTATATTTTCCTTTACTATTTTCATTTCAGATTCCATTTTTCTGGTTTAATTTTGGTTTCTTCACTGTTCCTACTGATGAGTTTTGAACAAAGTCATCTCATGGGTCGTTGGGTTTAGATTTTTTTAAGTGTGTGAACAGAGGAGACTTTTGATTTTGACAAACTGTGCAAGTCAATGGTGGTTCCTTGCAATTAATTTAAGTCCATGAAAGTCTAGGAACATGATCCAATTGAGATGGCCAAATTGGCCAAGTTGGAACCAGTCAGAATGGCACTGCCATGACCATGTAATGCCCAGAGACGACTGGCATTTAGCCCACAAGAACAGAAGTAGAAATTAAATTAATTATAAATGCTGGATGGATCCACAAAACTTTCCCTTGTAGTTTATTTTACTGAGTCTTGGCTGATGAGTAGATTATTTGCATTGATGAATACTAGTATAATCTGTAATCTCAACATCCAGAACTCGTATTTTTCACATCCTAGGAATTACAACCCCGGTAACCCAGTAACATTACCGGAGGGGTAACGAAGTAGTGTCATAAGCCTGTTGGCTAAACAATAGTCCAAACTTGCACAACATGAGAGGGGAAGGATTTGAAGCCTTTTGACTTTTAATTTCTTATATTAATATGATGAAAATAAAGAAACTTCGAAGTTTAAAAAGTCAACTACTTTTTTGGTAATGTGAACTCAAGAGATTAGGTGTATTAAAAGCAAAGTGGTGGAGGGTCAACAATGTTTTTGAGTTTATCTCTTCTTCTTCCAAATTTCTAGAATTGGTGGTTGAATTATGACCAAGTGTTTTAAAATTTGAGGGATTTGGTCATGACTCATGATGGGAAGAGGGAAGTTTTCTGTGGTTTGGTAATGTGCGCCAGCTTGACCATTCCGCTTTGCTTATGATTTCAGGGCAAACTTGGGTTGGTGATATAACAGATATGGTGAAACTTTTCTCCAACCAAATCATTTGGCCCCATTTTGTTGAGTCTTGTGTTTACATTGGTTAAGATTTACAGGTTTAAATTGGAAGCTTCATTGACTCATCTTATTATAGCTTAGGTAACTTGTTATTCTGGTTGTTTTCTCATCAATTTGCTCAACCCTCTTGGCTGATATTCTGTTGTTTCAATGTTACAATAAGAAGCTCCGCTGGTAGGATCAGCAAATTTCATATAGCTTTATATATAATGTCACAGAACAGTTGTCAAACATCGAAAATATTAGTTAATCACGACTCACCTCTGAGTTGTTTTAGGGAACTAACATAATAAGCTCAAATCTTCCCTTTTATTGGTTTAGGGAGCTTGCGGAACTTTTGTCGGACGTTTGTCAACTACTATCTAAAGACTAGTGTGTACTCAACTCACCCCTTACTCAATTTAGGGCGTTTCCAATTCTATTTCTAGTCCGATTCAACATATGTTGGTTTGGTTGCTTGCCCACCCTTATAAACTCAAGTTCTAACTCATTCCTATCCTACGAGGGATCGCAACAGTAAGTTATATACTTATTTTTAGATAATCAGGATCATTATCGGCTACTCAGAATGCATGAGCATAGATAAACTATTAAGGCATCAATCTGTGTTAGTAGGGGACTGCATTCTTCATATTTGTGATGTTATTATCATATGTATGTACAATAATTATATTATTACAATATACATTTTTATCTATTCTCAATATAAACTAATACATAAGTTATTTAAATTATTATTAAGGGAAAGAAACATTCATGTCCAAAGTTTAATCTTGCATCAATGTTGCTTGAAGAACCTGCTTGCCTTTGCCTAGCTTTTGTCTTCAGGATCTAGTTGGCTAACTTTCGCCTTCTTGCTCTCTTCATGATCCTTGTTGATGTTCATTGCTTGTTCCAATTGCCTCCTCACCAAATGGACCTCTTTGATATAGTAGTGTAGTCTATCTACCATTAGTGCAAGGAAAAGAGAAAATCCTGCAAAACATACATTGAAGGAAGTTTAAATAACGGACTCTTGCGACGTTGACAACGCCGTCAGAGTCATACAAAACTTGTTTTTTCATTCACTAGAAACCACCCATTTTCTAAAATTTCCCATCGAGATCTTACCCAGTATTCATCGTTACCCAGAATTTCACATTTCAGGATCTACTGCAAAGCAAAATTCTAAACACCACACCCACGTGATTCGTGAAACCAATAAAGAATTCTTTTTACTGGTTCGTGAAAAAAAAAAAAAGTTTCGGATTCAAATTTAGAAAAAGTTAAGATTTTAATAAAGGGATTTTCGTTTTTGTGGTTTTTGCTGCGGAGAGCGTCATGTCTTTCTTGTAATGGGATTGACTATTATTGCAAGTTTTAAATTTAACAATCATGGGGAAGAAAAGAAAAACAAAAAGAAGAGTATACAACTATACTGGTTTAGCTTTAATGGGTGGTCGTTAAATGATGGCATATGTCGGTATGAATTTTTTCTCCGGCTCCGGTTTATCAATCCTCAAAGGAGTGGGCAAATCCCATTTCTATAGTTTCGGCGGAACAGTGATGTAATAAAATCTTAAGTAAAGATGTTATAGGAAAAGATATATAATAAATTGTCTCATTAACAGCCCGAAAACCCCCTCGAATTAATGGATCAATGATTCTTAGTGGGGTTTTGCTATCATCTGTGGTGGTAACACTTTTAGGTAAGATTAGAGTAAAATTCCCATCTTAAAGACGTCACACCGACCTCGTAAAGATGTCACAGATCATATTAGGGGAAAAATTGTTCTAGAAAAGATGAGCACTTAGTGATTGTTGTGAGATGATGAGTCAAAAGACTTCAAATTTTTCTCAATTGAAACTAAAGGGTCAGCTTCAATTTAGGCATTAAAATTGTTACTGGCGGAAATGTGTGAACACAAAGTGGCTAGATTAGATGTTTTGTGGATGATGATAAAGCTTTTGACTTGAAAAGAGTAAAGCCAGGAACAGTTTTGGAGTTATTCCAAGTAAGAAAAGTGGGTCTCTGAAATTTGCTTAACCGAAAGTATATGTTTCCCCTTAATTTATTCATATATTATTCTATTGTTTAAAGTACTTGGGAATTTGGTTTTGAACTGATTCTGGTCAGCCTTGTTGATTACTATAATCACCTCTTTTTCTGTATTTCGAGGTTTTTGGGTCAACATAGTTTAGGGTAAATACACAAACCCATTTCTTAAAGCAGTTGACTCACTCTATTGTTTTGACTATCTCAAGGGTTTAAGATTATAAGTGTTTCTAACCTTGTACTAGGTAAATTCTATGGGCACACCTAACTTATTTTAAAAGCTAATATACAAATTCATTTGAATTAGTGTCTAAATCGAGTAAATATCTATTCAATTGAGTCTAAACTATGTAACGATTATACAAAGACAATAGATTTCCAACGTAACAATTTGCAAATTTTGTATCAAACGATAACACTCGTAACACACCTAAGACCTTTGAAATGTAATTGAATTCTAGAAGATGTGATGCAAGTGATAGGAAAACTAAAAGTGGGGGTGGTCCTGTTTATTCCAAATGAAGAAAACAAAAATGAGAAAAAGATTGTGATTCAAGTGATGGATGGATGTAGCTGGAAAGTTGAAGATGACTAAAAGCAAAGATGAATTCAGTTGCGGCCAGGCCAGCACTGGTAAGAAGAATAGCTGCCTGCCACCGACTTTGTTCAAAGTATAAAAAAAAATCCATCTATCTGTCCTGAAATAGTGATTTAGATAAAACGACTTTCACTTTATCATCCAAAAAAGGTAATGGAGGAGAGATGGCTGCAACAAAAAGTAACCTTTCATAATTGGAATTGCTTCAATCTTACTCATCCGTATACGTCTAATCATCAGTATGAATCACTTTTGCCTTAATTAATGAAGAATTAGACGACTAAAACCCAGTTTTGTAATATTAAATTCAATTCAAAAATCTTGATTGATTCTTCACGTCAAAAAGTATACTTATGCATGAGAAGAGTGGCCATGTGAAATTCACGCGGTTTCATTTGGTAATAGGAGTATATAATAATGCCCCATCAAAATAAAAATTATTATGTTCAATTTGTTCTCACATTGGAACATGATTAATAGTAATTTTTAAATGCCGGGTGTTGAATTTATGTGGCGGCAGGCAAGTCACCAAACCTATTATACCACATCATTTTTATTTTTTTTAATGGCCGACGGTGTTCAGACCCTGATAAGTTTTGGTGGTCATGCCTATTAGGGTGATGGAACTCAAATTCAAGATACCATATTAGATCTTCCTCTTACTTTTTTTATTGGTTATCGGGAATGTTCGGACTAACTTACTGTATCTTGACCAGTCTCTCGACCTTAAATAGACTTCCGGAATAGGGTAACTCCTTACAGTTCATGACCAACAATTAATAACTGTTCTTGTGTTCGAACCTGAGACTACAAGGGGAGCAAACCCCTTGACTCAAGCCTTTAGGCACTCAACCAATCCATTGTTACCTTTTTTTTTTTTTTGGTTATCGGAGTGTTCGCTAGCTTACGTGCACCTTGCCCAATCCCCCGACCCTGAATAAACCTTTCAGAACAGGGCAAGCCCTACAGTTCATGACCAACAATATAATAACTGTTCTTGTGATTCAAACGAGATCATAAGGGGAGCAAACCCCTTGGCGTCAGCCTTTAGCACTCAGCCAACCCATTGTTGGTTCTTCTTTTATTCTTTTACCATTAAGAGGACTTGAACTAAGAAGATTATGTTAATTATAAATAGGGTTTTCTTAATTTCATTCATCATCACAAATTTAATCAAAATTTGGTCTTGTATTCTAGATTCAATACTTTTCTTAGTTCACACTACATTTATCCCTTATCCATCTAGAAAGTAAAAAAAAACCCTATAATATTAAAGTCTAACCTAATCAATTCTGACCTAGATATAACATTCTGATTTATTTAATATATTTATATTTTTTCTTTCTCAAATATCGTATTCTCTTAGGCAAAAATAAATTATTTATTACAAGGATTTTTATTCTTTTCTGAAAATTGATCCAATCTTAACATCCTCTAAACTTAGAAAATGTTTTACTACTAAAAAAATCAATAAGTTAAATAAATGTTTTTAATAGTTTAATAGAAAGATTGAATTGGATGCTCTAAAATCATAAATATTATAAAAATCATGGTGCTACGTATCATACCATCATGTTACAAATTACAACTACATACACCTGTACAATAACAATGCAAAAAAAGAACATACATTTTAAAAATAAAATATTCAAAAAATACAAATCAAGGTAGCGATGAATCTAGAAAGCTTAAGAAATAATTAAATAATAAAAAACTATAGGATAAACAGCTTGCATACACATTACACAAAAAAAAAAAAGTGTAACGCGTTTTTTTACTTTGATTTTAATTTCACATTGTGTTAATTGCCGCCGCAAAACCCAGTTCCTTAATTAAGGATATTCTCTTTCAATCTTCCGCCATTAACGCAATCTCGCCACGTGCTCACGTGTCTTCATGTGTCCGTCTTTATAGTTTTTAACTTTTTATCCTTCCCTAATTTACCGCCGTCCCGCAGGCGGCCACTCACGCGCCTCTTTTCACCTCCTCTCCCCTTTCGCCACGTGGCCCATTTTCCATTCTGTTATAACTATGGATATTTCCTTCACTCCCTCAAGGTTTGGGTTTAAACATTCACATACCCAAGAAATTTAGAAAATATCTTGTGTAGAATTAGTGAAGATAATAGTGGGTAGAGTGATGGAATGGGTAAGAAATGTGTGATTTATAACATTTTCCCAAATTTAACTATAATAAGACAATTATATAACGTTATCATATAGTAGTCAAATCCAGTAAATTAACTGAATGAAATAGTGGCTAAATGAAAAAAGAAAATAAATAAACAGTGAGAATTTATATGTAGTTTGTTTATCTAAGATATTTTCCAAAAATTAATAATAGCATCTCTCTGTTTGAGTATTTTGTTATAGTTCTTTTGACTATTTGTTAGTATTGGGGTGTTTTTTTGTTATTTTATAAAGTATGTGGGACTTAATGTTATCAAAATAGACAATGTGTGCATCTCAAACGTATTTAAATACCAACTAAATTGCAGATTTTTCACTACAATTTTGAGTTGTGTGTTTTGTGTATTGTTTATTCTTTATGGAGTGGAGAAGAGGACCCGTCATTGGCCTGGCTCCACCGCCACGGTGTCACTGGCCACGGTGGTTCCTTCTGGCGAGCATATAGCGGTGAAGTCCACGGAGCTTTCCAAGTCTGAGTTTTTTACAAAGAGAGCAAAATTTCTTGTCCAAAATGAACTCTCCTTACATAATTAAGTACGGAGGGTTCAGTGTCACAGAACAAACGTACAATCTTTGCATGGAGTTTGCGCCCGGCGGCTCACTTTTCGATGAAATTCAAAGGCATGGAGGAAGATTAAACGAGCAGAGGATAAATTCTACACAGCCAGATCCTCGAAGGCTTGAATTATCTTCACATGAATGGATTGGTGCATTGTGACATCAAAAGCAAGAACATTTTGATAGGCAAAGATGGTTTTGCAAAGATTGCCGATCTGGTTTGTGCTAAATTTGTGGAGAAATTTGATGACAATAAAAATTTTGCAGTGTCAGAATTTTGTGGTACACCGGTGTTCATGGCGCCGGAGGTGGCAGACGAGAGGAACAAGGGTTTGCAGCTGATATATGGGCTGTTGGGTGCACAATTATTGAAATGGCCACTGAACTAATCCTTGGCCGGAGCTGAATGACCCGTTTCCGCCCTTTACCGGATCGGATTCTCCGTGAGGTACCAGAGACACCGCGGTGGTTGTCGGGGGAGGCGAAGGAGTTCTTGGCAAGTGGGTATTGGCAGGTTTGTGGTCTTCTTTTGCTATTTATTTTACGATGTGTCCATCTCAATTTTTTAAATATGATCTGCTTGTCTTTGTTGGCAGTTTGATATGGGTGATGTCTTGATTGATGGTAAAACAACTGGTTAGTAAAATATTTATCACTTTTTTTATTTTGTTATATGGAGTCACTGAGTGCAGTTCTTGGTCATGAATTGGTTTTCTTCCTAACTGTTGGCTTTCTTTTTCCAGGGTTTTGTGCTAGTGGATGTGCAGCAATCGCTGATTCAGGAACCTCTTTGTTGGCTGGCCCAACGGTGTGTATCAATATTTTTGTGTAGTTTTTACGATTTTCAGCCATCGACTGCAGTTTTTACATACATAAGTGTACATACTGCTGTTACATGGTTGATTGAAGTACCTTTTATCTATTTAACTTGCAGACTATCATAGCTGAAGTCAACCATGCCATTGGAGCCTCTGGGGTTGTTAGTCAGGAATGCAAGGCTGTAATTTCACAATACGGAGAAACTATACTTGATATGCTTTTAGCTAAGGTATCTATAAGCAGCTGGCATGCCTTTACTAGAAATGTTTTAGAATAAATTATCGTGTTCATGTTTGGTTTTTAATTGTCATTGATATGTTTGCCAGGATGGGCCTAAAAAAATTTGTTCACAAATTGGTTTGTGCACATTTGACGGGACTCGAGGTGTAAGGTGAAACTCTTAACATGCATCTTCTTGTTGGATGTCTTAAAAGAATATATTTGTTTTAATTGCTTTATGAATTGTTTCATAAATGTGATGTGATCAGTATGGGAATTGAGAGCGTTGTTGATGAGAATTCGAAGAGATCATCTGGTGGTGTGCGTGATGCAATGTGCTCTACATGCGAGATGACAGTTGTATGGATGCAGAATCAGCTCAAGCAGAACCAAACACAGGAGCACATCATTAGCTATATCAATGAGGTGAAATAATGTTGTTTTTATTCGGTATATTTTCTGAGTGTACCAGTTTTGTGTTTTCTCACAACTTTCCTTCGATAATCCAGCTCTGTGATCGGCTGCCTAGTCCAATGGGAGAATCAGCTGTTGATTGTGGCAGTTTGTCTTCCTTGCCTAATGTTGCCTTTACAATCGGTGGAAAGACATTCGATCTGAGTCCTGAGCAGGTATATATTATAAATTAGTTTGGACTAGTGATTGTGTTTATTGCATTTGTCATGATAAACCGAGTATTAACAAATTTCATTTGGTCGATGGCAAAACAGTACATCCTCAAAGTGGGTGAGGGAGAAGCAGCCCAATGCATTAGCGGATTTACAGCTCTGGATGTGCCCCCACCACGCGGACCTCTCTGGTACGGCTATTCTTATAAATTGTTGTTTTATCTGTATCTACGTACATTGTTATGAAATGCCCCACTAACTGGAACCTTGCCATTTGTATTTGTTGCAATGCAGGATCTTGGGGGATGTTTTTATGGGCCCCTACCATACGGTTTTTGACTATGGCAATATGAGAGTGGGATTCGCAGAAGCCGCGTAAGTATATATAGCTTTTCTTTGTCTGTCTAAGGTGTCGGAGTGAACGTTAAATGACTATCGCAGTGTAAATAGTTGTACTGTCTGTATTACGTTCTATTTTAAGTTGCAATTTGTTAGACGGAGATATAATCACGTAATATCCGTGTGAAGTACTTAATTATGTTTAAACCTTTTTATATAGAATACCTTATTTTATATAGAAATAATTTTTATGCAGTTATAAAAAATTATAATCTTAAATAAGAATAAATTTTATATTGTAATAAGTTAATATTTTTTTTAATTGTCAACTTAAAAAAAAAAAATTGTTTTTATATGATAATAATTATTTTTGTATTATAAAAAAAAAAATATTATATATTATATTAAAAGTTTAAGATGAAGTAAAATATTTATCTAATATTATTAAACACAATAATTTATATTTAAAAGATATTATATTATTTTTTAATTTATTAATATGTAATAACTTGTTAAAATAAATATTTTGTGTAGATATCTTTTATTGAAGTGAAAATATTTTTAATTTTTTAAGCATGTTACGAGTTTTTTGACAGTAAATTTTATTATGATTATGAAAAAAAAAATTGAAATCTTAATTCGTCTTACTGAAATGTGAATATAGAATAAGAAACTAAAGCAGTAATTACATAATAACTTTTTTATAGTAATAAACTAGCTTAATTTCAACGTTATAACTGTAGAGGAGCTTTATTGTATAGCCGTGAACTTTTTGTCATATTCACTTAACATTGGAATTTTTTGTCGGTAAGGTGGAATTATGCTTTTCAGTATGTGACGTTCGTTATGGAACCTATGGTCACCATATTATATTCGTGTCCAAAAAGTAGTTACGTTGACTAACAGAAGTTGATTTTGCTCACTCAACAACGTTAGTATGACCGTCAAAGCGTAAGTAACCTTTATCGGTATCAACAGACGTCAATTCATTTGTGTATAGTTAAATAACGGACTCTGTGCGACTGTTGACAAACGCCGTCAGAGTCATACAAAACTTGTTTTTTCATTCACTAGAAACCACCCATTTTCTAAAATTTCCCAACGAGATCTTACCCAGTATTCATCGTTACCCAGAATTTCACATTTCAGGATCTACTGCAAAGCAAAATTCTAAACACCAGCACCCACGTGATTCGTGAAACCAATAAAGAAATTCATTTTTAACTGGTTCGTGAAAAAAAAAAAAAGTTTCGGATTCAAATTTAGAAAAAGTTAAGATTTTAATAAAGGGATTTTCGTTTTTGTGGTTTTTGCTGCGGAGAGCGTCATGTCTTTCTTGTAATGGGATTGACTAATTATTGCAAGTTTTAAATTTAAACAATCATGGTGGTGAAGAAAAGAAAAAACAAAAAGAAGAGTATACAACTATACATGGTTTAGCTTTAATGGGATGGTCGTTAAATGATGGCATATGTCGGTATGAAATTTTTTCTCCGGGAACTCCGGTTTATCAATCCTCAAAGGAGTGGGCAAATCCCATTTCTATAGTTTCGGCGGAAACAGTGATGTAATAAAATCTTAAGTAAAGATGTTATAGGAAAAGATATATAATAAATTGTCTCATTAACAGCCCGAAAACCCCCTCGAATTAATGGATCAATGATTCTTAGTGGGGTTTTGCTATCATCTTGTTGGGTGGTAACACTTTTAGGTAAAGATTAGAGTAAAATTCCCATCTTAAAGACGTCACACTGACCTCAAAATGCCCTCTCGTATGGATGCCTACATGCGAGATGACAGTTGTATGGATGCAGAATCAGCTCAAGCAGAACCAAACACAGGAGCACATCATTAGCTATATCAATGAGGTGAAATAATGTTGTTTTTATTCGGTATATTTTCTGAGTGTACCAGTTTTGTGCTTTCTCACAACTTTCCTTCGATAATCCAGCTCTGTGATCGGCTGCCTAGTCCAATGGGAGAATCGGCTGTTGATTGTGGCAGTTTGTCTTCCTTGCCTAATGTTGCCTTTACAATCGGTGGAAAGACATTCGATCTGAGTCCTGAGCAGGTATATATTATAAATTAGTTTGGACTAGTGATTGTGTTTATTGCATTTGTCATGATAAACCGAGTATTAACAAATTTCATTTGGTCGATGGCAAAACAGTACATCCTCAAAGTGGGTGAGGGAGAAGCAGCCCAATGCATTAGCGGATTTACAGCTCTGGATGTGCCCCCACCACGCGGACCTCTCTGGTACGGCTATTCTTATAAATTGTTGTTTTATCTGTATCTACGTACATTGTTATGAAATGCCCCACTAACTGGAACCTTGCCATTTGTATTTGTTGCAATGCAGGATCTTGGGGGATGTTTTTATGGGCCCCTACCATACAGTTTTTGACTATGGCAATATGAGAGTGGGATTCGCAGAAGCCGCTTAAGTATGTAGCTTTTCTTTGTTTGTCTAAGGTGTTGGACTGAACCTTAAATGACTATCGCTGTGTAAATAGTTGTACTGTCTGTATTACGTTCTATTTTAGGTTGCAATTTGTTAGACGGAGATATAATCACGTAATATCCGTGTGAAGTACTTAATTGTGTTCAAACTTTTTTATAATGATATTCTATATAGGGATAATTTTTATATAGTCATAAACAAATTATAGTTTTAACTTAGGTGGATATAAATAAGAATAAACTTTATAAGGTAATAAATTAATATTTTTGTTTTAATTCTTAACTTAAAAATATATTTTTATATAATAATAATTACTTTTATAAAAAAGTATTATATTATATTAAAAATTTAAGATAAAGTAAAATATTTATTTATAGTTGTTTAACATAATAATTTATATTTAATGTTATTATCTGATCTTTGAATTTGTGGATATATAGTAACTTGTGAAAACGAACATTTAGGGTAGACATTTTGTTGAAGTGAAAAATAATTTAAATTTTTCAAGCATGTTTAAATTTTTTGTAGTAAATTTTAATATGATTATTAAAAAATAAATTGAAATCTTAGTACGTCCTGTTAAAATGTGATTATTGAATATTAAATAAGAAACTAAAGCAGTAATGACGCTTTTGATAAGTAATAATTTTTTCATAGTAATAAACTAGCTTGTTTTCAACATTATGATAGTAGAGAAGTTTTATTGTATGGCGGTGAATTTTTTGTTATATTTACTTAACATTGGAATTTTTTGTCGATAAGGCGGAATTATGCTTCCAGTAGACGTTCGTTATGGAACCTATGGTCACCATATTATACTGATGTCCAAAAAGTAGTTATGTTGACTAACAGAAGTTGATTTTGCTGTCAATCAACAACGATAGTATGATAGTCAAAGTGAAATTTACCTTTATAGGTATCAACAGACATTAATTCATTTGTTAATGGAAAATAATATAGTTATCGATGATAATACATCAAATTTATATATCGAATAACGTAATAAAATCTTGATTATTGATTAATTTTAATTTAATATTAATTAACTGTTAGAATTTTGTTATATCATCTGATGCATAAATTTGATATACTATTTCAATGATTATAACATTACTTTTTGTCAAGTAACTTAATTTTGACCTCAATTGACGGATATTAAGAAGGGGTTGACTGATGATATATGTGTACAGTTAAATAACGGATTACTGTTGACAAACGCCGTGGGTCATTCAAAATTTGTTTTTCATTCACTAGAGCCACCCATTTTCCAAAATTTCCCATCGAGATCTTACCCAGTATTCATCACTACCCAAAATTTCACATTTCAGGATCTGCTGCAAAACAAAATTCTAAATACCAGCACCCACGTGATCCGTGAAACCAATAAAAAAATTCGTTTTGAACTGGTTCGTGAAAAAAGAAAAAAAAAGTTTCGGATTCAAATTTAGAGAAAGTTAAGATTTTAGTAAAGGGATTTTCGTTTTTGTGGTTTTTGCTGCGGAGAGCGTCATGTCTTTCTTGTAATGGGATTGACTAATTATTGCAAGTTTTAAATTTAAACAATCATGGTGGTGAAGAAAAGAAAGAACAAAAAGAAGTGTATACAACTATACATGGTTTAGCTTTAATGGGATGGTCATTAAATGATGGCATATGTCGGTATGAACTCCGGTTTATCAATCCTCAAAGGAGTGGGCAAATCCCATTTCTATAGTTTCGGCGGAAACAGTGATGTAATAAAATCTTAAGTAAAGATGTTATAGGAAAAGATATATAATAAATTGTCTCATTAACAGCCCGAAAATCCCCTCTAGTTAATGGATCAAGATTAGAGTAAAATTCCCATCTTAAAGACGTCACACTGACCTCGTAAAGATGTCACAGATCATATTTGGGGGAAAAATTGTTCTAGAAAAGATGAGCACTTAGTGATTGTTGTGAAGATGATGAGTCAAAAGACTTCAAATTTTTCTTAATTAAAACTAAAGGGTCAGCTTCAATTTAGGCATTAAAATTGTTACGTGGCTGAAATGTGTGTGAACACAAAGTGGCTAGATTAGATGTTTTGTGGCTGATGATAAAGCTTTTGACTTGAAAAGAGTAAAAGCCAGGAACAGTTTTGGAGTTGTTCCAAGTAAGAAGAAGTGGGTCTCTGAAATTTGCTTAACCGAAAGTATATGTTTCCCCTTAATTTATTCATATAATTATTCTATTGGTTTAAAGTACTTGGGAATTTGGTTTTGAACTGATTCTGGTCAGCCTTGTTGATTACTATAATCACCTCTTTTTCTGAATTTCGAGGTTTTTGGGTCAACATAGTTTAGGGAAAATACACAGAAACCCATTTCTTAAAGCAGTTGACTCACTCTATTGTTTTGACTATCTCAAGGGTTTAAGATTATTAAGTGTTTCTAACCTTGTTCTAGGTAAATTCTATGGGCACACCTAACTTATTTTAAAAGTTAATATAACAAATTCATTTGAGTTAGTGTCTAAATCAAGTAATATCTATTCAATTGGGTCTAAACTATTATAAGTCGATGATTGTGTAATGTAATAATTACACAAAAGACAATAGATCTCCAACGTAACAGTTCGTAAATTTGATAACCCTCGTAACATAGCCTAAGACCTTTGAAATGTAAATTGAATTCTAGAAGACGTGATGCTAAGTGATGGAGGAAAACTAAAAGTGGGGGTGGTCCTGTTTATTCCAAATGAAGATGAAAACAAAAAATGAGAAAAAGATTGTGATTCAAGTGATGGATGGATGTAGCTGGAAAGTTGAAGATGACTAAAAAGCAAAGATGAGATTCAGTTGCGGCCAGGCCAGCCACTGGTAAGAAAGAAGGAATAGCTGCCTGCCACCGACTCGTTCAAAGGATAAAAAAAATCCATCTATCTGTCTTGAGAATAGTGATTTAGATAAAACGACTTTCACTTTATCATCCAAAAGAAGGTAATGGAGGAGAGATGGCTGCAACAAAAAGTAACCTTTCATAATTGGAATTGCTTCAATCTCACTCATACGTATACGTCTAATCATCAGTATGAATCACTTTTGCCTTAAATTAATGAAGAATTAGACGACTAAAACCCAGTTTTGTAATATCAAATTCAATTCAAAAATCTTGATTGATTCTTCACGTCAAAAAGTATACTTATGCATGAGAAGAGTGGCCATGTGAAATTCACGCGGTTTCATTTGGTAATAGGAGTATATAATAATGCCCCATCAAAATAAAAATTATTATGTTCAATTTGTTCTCACATTGGAACATGATTAAAGTGGTAATTTTCAAATGCCGGGGTGTTGAATTTATGTGGCGGCAGGCAAGTCACCAAACCTATTATACCACATCATTTTTTTTTTTTTTAATGGTCGACGGTGTTCAGACCCTGATAAGAGTTTTGGTAGCCATGCCTATTAGCGGTGATGGAAAGTCAAATTCAAAAGACCATGTTAGATCTAAGGGTGTTAAAAAAAATTCAAAAACTGAACCGAACCGGTAACCAAACCAAAAAATCGGTTAACAGAAAAAACGGTTTGATAACGGTTTGATTACGGTTTAAAAAATTCAAAGAACCAGATTTTCAGTTCAGTTACCAGTTCGGAAAAAAAATAAAAAACGGTTAACCGAAACCGGTTTTTTGAACCCCATATATATATATTAAATAAAAAAATAATTTCATTTTGGACTTTTATTTGTATCAATTTTTAATGTATTGTTAATAGTGGTCAATGGATATGTATGAATGTTTAATTTTTATTTAGGAAAAAATTTAAAAAAAAAATGAAAAATTGGTTCAGAACCGGTTAACCGCTTTTTTTAAAGTGGTTTATCAAAAAACCGGTTTTCCCTCCAAACTGGTTCGGTTTCGGTTCAGGAATCTTCTCGAACCGAAAAATTGGTTCGGTTAAAAAAAGCGGTTAACCGCTTTTAAACACCCCTAGTTAGATCCTCATCTTACTTTATTTATTTATTTTTCTTTTGTTATCAGGATTGTTTGGACCAGCTTACATGCACCTCGACCAGTCTCCCGACCCCGAATAAGGTTTCCAAAACAGAGCAAGCCTTGTAATTTATGGCCAACAATAGTAGCAATCGTTCTTGTGATTCAAATCTGAGACCACAAGGGGAGCAAACCCCTTGGCATCAAGCCTTTAGCACTCGGCCAGCCCATTGTTGGTTCTTCTCTTATTCTTTTACCATTAAAACAACTTGAACTAGGAAGACTATGTTATATACTCTTTGACTGTTTTACCATCAGGTCACCCACTGTCTACTGGTTGTTTACACCACATCATTTTAATTATATATAGGGTTTTCTTAATTTCATTCATCATCAACAAATTTAATCAAAATTTGGTCTTGTATTCTAGATTTAATACTTTTCTTAGTTCACACTACATTTTATCCCTTATCCATCTAGAAAGTTAAAAAAAAAAAAAAAAAAAAAAAACCCTATAATATTAAGTCTAACCTAATCAATTCTGACCCAGATATAACATTCTGATTTATTTAATATTTTATACTTTTCTTTCTCAAAGATATTCGTGATTCTCTTAGGCAAAATGATATTTCATTCTTTTATGAAAGTTGATCCAATCTTAACTTCCTCTAAACTTGAACAAATTTTACTACTAAAAAAATCAATAAGTCAAATAAATGTTTTTAATAGTTTAATAGAAAGATTAAATTGGATGCTCTAAAGTCAATAAATATTATAAAAATCATGGTGCTACGTATCATACCATCATGTTACAAATTACAACTACATGCACCTATACAATAACAATGCTAAAAAGAAAATACACATTTAAAAATAAAATATTCAAAAGAATACAAATCAAGCTAGGCTATGAATCTAGAAAGCTTAAGATAATTAAATATAAAAAACTATAGGATAAACAGCTTGCATTAAAAAAAAAAAAAAGTGTAACGCGATTTTTAATTTTGGTTTCACATTGTGTTAATTGCCGCCGCAAAACCGAGTTCCTTAATTAAGGATATTCCTCTTCAATCTTCCGCTATTAACGCAATCTCGCCACGTGCTCACGTGTCTTCATGTCCCGTCTTTACTCTTTGTAGTTTTAACTTTTTATTCCTCCCCAAGTTACCGCTTACCGCCGTCCACAGGCGGCCATTCACGCGCCTCTTTCACTTCCTCTCCCCTTTCGCCACGTGGCCCATCTTCCAATTCTGTTATAACTATGGGATATCTCTCTTCACCTCCCCAAGGTTTAGGTTTAAACATTCACATAACCGAAAAATTTAGAAAATACTTGTGTAGAATTAGTGAAGATAATAGTGGGTAGAGTGATAGAATGGGTAGGAAATGTGTGTTTATAACATTTTTCCAAATTTAACTATAATAAGAATAACATATAACGTTATCAATATAGTAGTTAAATCCAGTAAATTAACTGAATGAAATAGTGGCTAAAATGAAAAAGAAAATAAATAAACGAGTGAAAATTTATATGTATGTTTGTTTTATCTAAGATATTTTCGAAAAATTAATGATAGCATCTCTCTGTTTGAGTATTTTGTTATAGTTCTTTTTGACTATTTGTTAGGACTGGGTGTTTTGTTATTTAATAAGTATGTGGGATGTTATTGTCATCAAATAGACAATGACACAGCCAACGTATTTAAATACCAACTAAATTACAGATTTTTCACTACAATTGTGAGTTCTGTGTTTTGTGTATTGTTTTATTCTTTATGGAGTGGAGAAGAGGACCCGTCATTGGCCGTGGCTCCACCGCCACGGTGTCACTGGCCACGGTGGTTCCTTCTGGCGAGCATATAGCGGTGAAGTCCACGGAGCTTTCCAAGTCTGAGTTTTTACAAAGAGAGCAAAATTTCTTGTCCAAAATGAACTCTCCTTACATAATTAAGTACGGAGGGTTCAGTGTCACAGAACAAACGTACAATCTTTGCATGGAGTTTGCGCCCGGCGGCTCACTTTTCGATGAAATTCAAAGGCATGGAGGAAGATTAAACGAGCAGAGGATTAAATTCTACACGAGCCAGATCCTCAAAGGCTTGAATTATCTTCACATGAATGGATTGGTGCATTGTGACATCAAAAGCAAGAACATTTTGCTAGGCAAAGATGGTTTTGCAAAGATTGCCGATCTGGGTTGTGCTAAATTTGTGGAGAAATTTGATGACAATAAAAATTTTGCAGTGTCAGAATTTTGTGGTACACCGGTGTTCATGGCGCCGGAGGTGGCAAGACGAGAGGAACAAGGGTTTGCAGCTGATATATGGGCTGTTGGGTGCACAATTATTGAAATGGCCACTGGAACTAATCCTTGGCCGGAGCTGAATGACCCGGTTTCCGCCCTTTACCGGATCGGATTCTCCGGTGAGGTACCAGAGACACCGCGGTGGTTGTCGGGGGAGGCGAAGGAGTTCTTGAGCAAGTGTATGAGAAAAGATCCCAATGAGAGATGGACAGCTAAAGAGCTTCTTGAACATTCATTTGTTAGTGAAGTATTTGAGTCTCACAGTTGCTTTAATGAAGAAGTTGATATGAGTTCTCCATGCACAGTTTTGCATCATGGCATTTGGGATTCCACATTAAGCCCAGAAAACTCAACACATAGAGTTAGCTCTTTGAATTCTTCCGGCGAAAAGATTCAGAAATTGTTTGGAAGTGCCGCAAATTGGAGCTGGGATGATGAAGATTGGATCACAGTTAGAACAAATGAGGATCATACTATTGAAGAAACAAATGAATTATCAGCTCCAACAACATTAGTTTTAGATTTTGCTTCTGCAGAAGAAGTTCAAAGTTCAATTTTTTATGAAGATTTATTGTTAGAATCCTCTGTTGAAAGTACTACTTTCACAGATGATTATTTTGTATTGAGAAATATTTGTTTTGAGACAGATAATAATGAAGATTCATGTTTGATTCAATCTCAGTTATATTTTCCTTTACTATTTTCATTTCAGATTCCATTTTTCTGGTTTAATTTTGGTTTCTTCACTGTTCCTACTGATGAGTTTTGAACAAAGTCATCTCATGGGTCGTTGGGTTTAGATTTTTTTAAGTGTGTGAACAGAGGAGACTTTTGATTTTGACAAACTGTGCAAGTCAATGGTGGTTCCTTGCAATTAATTTAAGTCCATGAAAGTCTAGGAACATGATCCAATTGAGATGGCCAAATTGGCCAAGTTGGAACCAGTCAGAATGGCACTGCCATGACCATGTAATGCCCAGAGACGACTGGCATTTAGCCCACAAGAACAGAAGTAGAAATTAAATTAATTATAAATGCTGGATGGATCCACAAAACTTTCCCTTGTAGTTTATTTTACTGAGTCTTGGCTGATGAGTAGATTATTTGCATTGATGAATACTAGTATAATCTGTAATCTCAACATCCAGAACTCGTATTTTTCACATCCTAGGAATTACAACCCCGGTAACCCAGTAACATTACCGGAGGGGTAACGAAGTAGTGTCATAAGCCTGTTGGCTAAACAATAGTCCAAACTTGCACAACATGAGAGGGGAAGGATTTGAAGCCTTTTGACTTTTAATTTCTTATATTAATATGATGAAAATAAAGAAACTTCGAAGTTTAAAAAGTCAACTACTTTTTTGGTAATGTGAACTCAAGAGATTAGGTGTATTAAAAGCAAAGTGGTGGAGGGTCAACAATGTTTTTGAGTTTATCTCTTCTTCTTCCAAATTTCTAGAATTGGTGGTTGAATTATGACCAAGTGTTTTAAAATTTGAGGGATTTGGTCATGACTCATGATGGGAAGAGGGAAGTTTTCTGTGGTTTGGTAATGTGCGCCAGCTTGACCATTCCGCTTTGCTTATGATTTCAGGGCAAACTTGGGTTGGTGATATAACAGATATGGTGAAACTTTTCTCCAACCAAATCATTTGGCCCCATTTTGTTGAGTCTTGTGTTTACATTGGTTAAGATTTACAGGTTTAAATTGGAAGCTTCATTGACTCATCTTATTATAGCTTAGGTAACTTGTTATTCTGGTTGTTTTCTCATCAATTTGCTCAACCCTCTTGGCTGATATTCTGTTGTTTCAATGTTACAATAAGAAGCTCCGCTGGTAGGATCAGCAAATTTCATATAGCTTTATATATAATGTCACAGAACAGTTGTCAAACATCGAAAATATTAGTTAATCACGACTCACCTCTGAGTTGTTTTAGGGAACTAACATAATAAGCTCAAATCTTCCCTTTTATTGGTTTAGGGAGCTTGCGGAACTTTTGTCAGACGTTTGTCAACTACTATCTAAAGACTAGTGTGTACTCAACTCACCCCTTACTCAATTTAGGGCGTTTCCAATTCTATTTCTAGTCCGATTCAACATATGTTGGTTTGGTTGCTTGCCCACCCTCATAAACTCAAGTTCTAACTCATTCCTATCCTACGAGGGATCGCAACAGTAAGTTATATACTTATTTTTAGATAATCAGGATCATTATCGGCTACTCAGAATGCATGAGCATAGATAAACTATTAAGGCATCAAGCTGTGTTAGCAGGGGACTGCATTCTTCATATTTGTGATGTTATTATCATATGTATGTACAATAATCATATTATTACAATTTACATTTTTATCTATTCTCAATATAAACTAATACATAAGTTATTTAAATTATTATTAAGGGAAAGAAACATTCATGTCCAAAGTTTATTCTTGCATCAATGTTGCTTGAAGAACCTGCTTTCCTTTGCCTAGCTTTTGTCTTCAGAATCTAGTTGGCTAACTTTCGCCTTCTTGCTCTCTTCATGATCCTTGTTGATGTTCATTGCTTGTTCCAATTGCCTCCTCACCAAATGGACCTCTTTGATATAGTAGTGTAGTCTATCTACCATTAGTGCAAGGAAAAGAGAAAATCCTGCAAAACATACATTGAAGGAAATTAGTCTGATATTGCTTTAAACCATGCGCCCTTCTATCCATCTGGCCACAAGTGGATGGTTTGAAAGATCGATTTTTTGAGATTTGAGTGTTGAATTACTTGATAAAAGACTAACGTAACTTAGAATAAAAAAATTATACATCCTAGGACTAATATTCAAAGGCTATGAAAATAAGTTACCCATAAGAGATGATTGAAGAAGGAGATTAGCCATGAGAACTTCATCTGTTGGATTGATAACACCACCATCCTTTGAACGTTTCTGAATCTCCATTGCAGTGAATAAGGTTGAGGTAAAAACAACCACTACAGTTGCTCCAACAGTCCTTGCAATCAAGGGACCTGTCCCCTGCTTCAGCAGGTCCAACCCCATGACCAGCAAATTCCTTAGAGGGTTTCTGAACAGAAGGATCAGAATCAAACTCATTTCTGTCAACACAATTGTAAACAGAAGATAAATCATCTCTTCAGAGTTCTTGAAAAAACTTTCAATTTGGTTTCAGAGAAGTGCAATGAATTTTTATATGGAGAATTTTGGGATGAATAGTTGCCCACATTTTGGTTCTTGTCAAGAGTTTTTGGAACACTTCAACTGCTTTTTCTAAGCTTACAGTTCAATTAAGGAACTTAATACTTTTCGCTACTTGAGAGGTACAGAATTTCTTTACAGGAGGAAAGTTGAATAAAAAAACAAAAAAAGAAAAAAAAAATTCTCAAACTTGTTTCAAAAACTAAAACCTTCCCTGAACCCTACTGGGAAGCTGAAAACCCGGATTCGAAACTAAAACCTTCACCAAACCCTACAAACTTCATCATCCAACTAACCTGTCCGGGTAATTACAAGGTTCTTTTTATCAAGTAATGAAGATAATTTTGTAAAGTAATCCTACTGATTTGCATTATAGGGTGGGATCAATTGTGCCTTCATGCAACAATTTGTTAAATATTCTCTCAAAAAACATTGATTGTAAGAGGCTCAAGGCATCGAGACAACGGCAATACCATTACATATAAGAGAACTTGAAACATAGATACAAATACTATATGCTACGGAGAATTATATAAAACTCTTATCCAACAAATTTGAACTCAAAATTTATATGAAATTCTGGTCAAGTTTAAAAGTAATTAAAAATCTTCATGAACACAGATTCTTTCTTTGGTTGAGCATTTCCACGCCACAAATCCAGTTCAACCATTCCATTCTTCTGTATTCCTCTTCTCAATGATTAAATGCCTTCTCTATCTATGAACATTGTGGTTTGGTTTCGCTCTTTAGCTTAGGTAAAGAAGACGAGAACAAATAGGATGATGAACAGAGCTAGCAAAAAACATATCATCATTATCTGACCCTTGACACCAGCCTTCTTCATGACCATAGCCACTTTTTTCTGCAAAGGAGAATAATGGTAACTTTAATTTAACACTAAATTAATTTAATTAAACGACTGCAATTTATTTCAAGTTATCATTAGAGGACTCAAAGACAGTGTCCTCTATTTCATATCATGGATAAGATGGTTTCATCATATGCAAATGAAGATAACTCACAGAACGAAAAGTACATGAAGAAAATAACCTGAACAAAATCCAGACGAGTTGATGTACTATCCATTTCTGTACCCAGTTCATCAACAATCTTCTCCTGAACACCAAAATATTTGAAGTTTACCATTTAAATCAGCAAAAATGACCCTCAACTGGAGTTGAACAAAGATAGTTCACACATATTTATTGTTTGTAACTTAACCAAAATGCATGAAGAAACACACACGAACTACAACTTTTCTGCCAGCTCCTACCAGAGGGATGGTGGTGGAGGGCCTGAAGGCATTAAAAATAACAGAAACTCATTAATCCAAACCTGTGCAAGGAGTTCATCGTGTATGGTAAGCCCAACGCCTCCAATTCTCTCCACACTTGCACTAAGCTCATCCAACTCCTCATCTTGTTGCCTAAAATCAACAAATTAGGAGGTCATCAGAGACAAATCCAACATAGTTCAAAATTGAAACACTTTTACAGATAGAAACAAAAGGAAGAACAAGAAAAAAAATATAAGGGGAACAGTAAAAAGACTTTACTTTATGAGAAGCATTTGTCTATCTGATTCTGATTGGATAAAATCATCATCTTGGGCTGCATACTGGTTGGATCTGTCTGTCTGATTATTGTTAGGCATCCTCATTAGTTCCCGGCGCATTCCACTTGCACTAGTAGACCCAAAACCATTCAGATCCCGTCCAGCTATGACAGTTTTCTTCATGTTGCCAACCTAATAAAGTACGGCAATCCTTTAGGGTTCCATAACTGAAAAAATTTAAAGCCAGGATTCACCATGCGGTACACTGTCCAAAACTTAAGATAGAACTGAGAGTGACCATGGTAGCAAACAAATTTTGTTTATCTTTACAATTAATTATTATTTAACACATCTTTACAAGTTTACTAAAACCTTTTGTGTACTAAACTTATTTAATTGATACCTGAGTACGAGCGGTGCTGGTCCATCTCCTTCGTTTTTCAAGTTCCACTTCATCAATGCCATACCAAGAAGGGTCTCTACTTGCAACACCAATTGCTTTGTCCAATTCATCCACCTTCCTATCAAGAAAGAAGGGTTTCAGTGGTTGCAGATAAAAAACCATTAGTCTAAACCAAGCTATAAAGTTGCATCAAGAATCCAACCAAAAGATTTTGAAACAAAATGGTAGCATTCGATTTAATGAAGTTCAACTAGAATGAGATTCAGTTATCAGATTAGAAAATAAGCCTGCTGAGGGTCACAGCTCGGGTGCACACACACCAGGCTTTTGTTGAACTACTCAAACTCAGCTGGATTTGTTGACAACTAGATCTAGAATGTCATTAAGCTTCATTAAGTATCACAAATAGATTGCTTAATATTCTCGAACTAGACACTAGATTTTATTTCTTTTTGCTATAAGAGAACACCATAGAGTTTGATTCAAAGCTGAATAACAAAGCCAATTCTCATCAAATCTTATACTTAATTTTTATAGTATCCATATGTCGAAAACTACCCCATTCATTCATACTCAAGTTCAAGCTTCAACTACAAAAATACAATAATTTGCTGTACCTGCCACTCAATGCTCTCGCAAGAGGCAAGTAGCTCCTTCGTGAGATGCACGTGCTCACCACTATCACCAGGACTATTTTCCCATTGACGAAAAGTAGACTGCAACTTATCAATCTGGCCAGAAAAAAAATAGAAAGGAAAGAAAGAAAGAAATAAAAATACAATTTAATTATATCAGTATCAATCATTTATTCAACAAATCCAGTAATTCAGTTTAATTTATCCATAAATCAACATTTTTAAAAAACCTAATAACTACTCAGTAAAAATAAATAAAATCAGAGGAGCTGCAGATCTAAATAGAATTTTTAGAAGAAAAAAAAAAGAACTTACAGATTCTTGAATCTCTTCCTTGACGATGTAAAATGGATCTTGAGCGGACGACATAGCGTATTTCTACACAGCAATGATTTCATAAATTATGTTTTATGAAAAATTATTAATAAATTCGAATTCATCGAAGAATTTAAAAGAGAAAATAAATTTTACCGGCGACCGGAATAGGAGATGGCGATGGGGAGATAGATTTTGTTTCTCTTCAGTGTCTCTATCTCTCTCTGGTGCAGAGATCGCGCTCCTAAAACTGAAAAGGAATTGTAGACGAAGCCAACGATGTTTTACGAAAACTACAAAAAGACTAAAATACCACTGTGATTGTTTTCGGTTACGAGAGGTAGGAGTGTTAAAAAAAATTTAAAAACCGAACCTAACTGGTAACCGAACCGAAAAATCGATTAACTGAAAAAATGATTCGATTACGATTCAAAAAATTTTAAAAACCAGATTTCTGATTCAGTTACTGGTTTGGAAAAAAATAAAAAACGGTTTACCGAAACCAGTTTTTTGAAACAATTATATATATATATTAAATAAAAATAAAAATATATATTAGATATAAAATAAAAAATAATAATATTATATATTAAATAAAAAATAATAATATTTTTAATATATTGTTAGTAGTGATCAATGGATATATATGAATGTTTAATTTTTATTTGGATATATATTTTTTATATTTACAATTTAATTTAGGAAAAATAAAAAATAAGTTTTATAAAAAAAATAAAAAATCAGTTTAAAACCATTAACCGTTAATTGGTTTTCCTCTAAACTGATTCAATTTCGGTTCGAAAATTTTTTCGAATCAAAAAACTAGCTCGGTTAAAAAAAAAGGTTAACTACTTTTGAACACTCGTAAATTGAAAGGTAAATTTGTGGTCAACAACTTTTAATAATTAATATTATAACATAGAGTGGATCAACCCGAATCCAATACCAAATTGATCCGGGTCAAACCCTAATACATACAAAGAAATTATTTTTTACTTGGTATTTTTTATTAATGAATGAATAATTAAATTCGTCAGTCAGAAAGAGGGGATAAAAACGCTGCGTTTCATTTACAGATTAAAGTCAGTTAAGTCATTTGCTCGAGCAATAACATCAACTCAGAGACGGCGCAAACTACGCACTCCATATTACATTAGAAAGAGCCGCCGCAAATGGAGGCGGCGCCACAACCACCATTTGCTTCAGTTTCAGATTCACGACTGAACAGAAACACTCGATCATTCTCCTCCTTCTCTTCTTCTTCATCTCTTCTTTTGTCTCGCAAAAATGCTTTCTACAGAAACAAACACAGCAGAGTCAAGTTCAAATCATCCTCAACTCTCTGTCTTCGCGCCTCCTCTTCTTCTTCAGATTCGGGTCCTCTCTCATTCTCTACTTAGCTTCTTATCCTTGTTACACTACTTTTTTTTCCAAATAATTCTGAGAGACTGATAATTTTCTTTGTTATATGTATTTTTATACAGTTGTGACTTTGCTTGATTACGGTGCTGGAAATGTTCGTAGTGTGAGGAATGCAATTCGTTTTTTAGGTTTTGACATTAAAGATGTAAGTAAGTTTCTTTATTTTTTTATTAATCCGTTAATATCTGAGGTCATTGTGAATCCAGAAATAGTTTAAAGCTGAAAATTTTGGCACATTGGTTTATGATTTGAAAATTATACTAAAAATTAATATACAATTAAAAATTCTATCCGATATGTTAAAAATTTTAAATTTTTAACTCTATAAACGTGTTTGATTTATTATTTAAATATTATTATTTTTTGAAAACCAAACGCGTTTTTCTACCCCAAAAAAATTCAAAAACAGAACTTTATTTAAGTTTTATATCAAACAAGATTTTTTTCTGTAAAGTTCTTCACTATGTAATTGTTTGTTTGTTACTTAGTGTTCATATGTTGCAGCAATGTATATGTTTGACATAAGAAACGTTAAAGCCATACTGATACATGCAATTTTAGTCTCAACAAGTAGGCAATTATTCAAAAAGTTTTTTTTTTTTTTTTTTCCCTCTGTGAAGGTGCAAACGCCGGAAGATATTCTAAATGCAAACCGGCTTATATTTCCTGGTGTTGGTGCATTTGCTGCAGCCATGGATGTACTCAACAAGACAGGGTACCTTTTTTCGCTTAACTTCTGATTAATTCTTTTCTTACATTTGGTTTCAGTTTTGATCGGTTTACGACTTTCTGCTATGTGATTTAACTACTTAGTTACAAGTTTGGTATGTCAATGTGAAGGTTTTCTGCTGTTTGATGTTGCAGAATGGCAGAAGCATTATGTACTTATATTGAGAAGGATCGCCCATTTTTAGGCATATGTCTTGGACTTCAGCTTCTTTTTGAGTCTAGCGAGGAGAATGGACCAGGTTAGTTTTTGAATTTTCTGAGATGCTGCTTCTTGTTTGTTGACATGCATTTAATCTTGGTTGTCAAAGGCTTGGATAATAATGATGCTTGTCTGTACCATGTTTTCCAGTGAACCAGAATTGTAGTTTCTATTTTAGCATGTTATAAGGGAATCTTATTGTAATATTAGATTGTAGATGAAAACATCATTATTGTTGTTGTCATTACATAATAGGTGATATATTTAGATAGGGGGAGATCTGCAAGCAATCAGGAAGGTGAAAAGGATTAGTAAAAAGTTAAAAGATAACTACTTTATATTCTTAGGTAGATGTTCAAAAAGTTTCATTTTCAGCATTATGTATACGTATATAATGCTTATCTTTTTCTTCTTTGAACTCAAGTTCACATTTTTTCTAATGAAAAAAGAAATTTGAATCTGCTGTTATATATGTGTTGCAGTGAATGGTCTTGGCTTGATACCAGGTGTGGTTGGGCGTTTTGATTCATCTGGTGGCTTCAGAGTGCCACATATTGGCTGGAATGCTTTGCAAATCACAAAAGACTCTGAAATTTTGGATGATGTTGGAAACTGCCATGTTTATTTTGTCCACTCTTACCGTGCCATGCCAGTATGCTTGCCCCGCAACCTCCCTCCTTGCTCTCCTTTAATATTTTTCCTTGCTAATGTTTCTTGAGCACATCAACTATGTTTTCTTAATTTGGAATTGAGTTCGGTGATCCCGTTCTTATTTATATATTTATTTATTTTCCTAGTCAGAAGACAACAAAGAGTGGGTTTCATCTACATGCAACTATGGTGACAAATTTATAGCATCTATTAGAAGGGGGAATGTGCATGCAGTTCAATTCCATCCGGAGAAGAGCGGAGGTAAGATGTATTTTGCCTTTGAAGTTTTTTTTTTTTTTTTTCGTTTCTGATAAATATTTTTGATCTAGAGCAAGTGCTCTGAAAATGTTTAGTATCTGGTAAGCATTCTTCTTCATACTCTTAAATGAATTGAATGATTCAGATGTCGGCCTTTCCGTATTGAGAAGGTTCTTGTATCCAGAGTCGACTATGCTAAAGGTAGCCTTTGTAATTGACTTATATGTAACTCATGTTTTCCCTTGCTGTCATTCCATCTAATGATCAAATGGTTTGTATGAAGACAGAAGCCAACTGAAGGGAAGGCCTCACAGCTTGCAAAGAGGGTAATAATTGTTGAACCTTTAATCTCTTACAAGTTCTTTCTTGTTCTTCTGTGAAATTATAAATTTGGTAGTATATATCGGTTTGGCTGATAAAGACATAAAATGGCTTTATTGATTATTCACCTCTCATTATAATATGTATGCTGATTATGTGGGCCCTCAACTGTAATATTAATTCTGACAGGTTATTGCTTGTCTTGATGTGAGAGCAAATGATAAAGGAGATCTTGTTGTCACCAAAGGAGACCAGTATGATGTAAGAGAGAACACAAAAGAGAATGAGGTACTTCATAGAATTCTAGATCACTGTTCATGTGATTTGTATGGATATCAGCATGTGATATGTGGGCGAATATGGTTGCGCATAAAATAAATATATGAAGCACCCTTACTTATCATATGTATATTTGGTTGTGATAGAGAGTACATAAATTTTTGCAGGTTAGAAACCTTGGCAAGCCTGTAGAGCTTGCTGGACAGTACTATAAAGATGGAGCTGATGAGGTATGCTATCTTAGTATAAGACAAAGTTGATAGTTAGATTTTATTAAAAAGAACATACGGCTAAGTTCAATGTTGATCTCACAGTTTTGTTTATTGGATTGATCGATTTTCAGATTAGTTTTTTGAATATCATCGGTTTCCGTGATTTCCCGCTAGGTGATTTGCCAATGTTGCAGGTATTTGAAGTGACTTTGTAACAGATTTTCCCTCATAAATCATTTAATTTTGACAAGTATGACATCTTTTGTTCTGTAAACTCTTTTCATCCGCTTCTTGTGCCTTGTAGGTGTTAAGGTTAACTTCAGAGAATGTTTTTGTGCCTTTAACTGTTGGAGGTGGGATAAGAGATTTTACCGATGCAAACGGCAGGTATACGATGGGGTGTTATGGTCTGGATTGCTGTTTATATTTTTGTTTATCGTCTTCAACTCCTCTTAAGTGATTATCTTTGTATTGTAATTCTTTAGTTTCCAATAGGTTTTTATGTAACATTTTCTTGTTAAATGCATGGACGCTTATTTTAGTTGCTCTTTTTCCAGGTACTATTCTAGTTTGGAAGTAGCCTCAGAATATTTCAGGTCTGGGGCTGACAAGATTTCTATTGGAAGTGATGCAGTTTATGTTGCTGAAGAATATTTAAAAACTGGAGTATGCAATACTTTTGATCATCTGTTTCCATGATAGTTCTGGAGCTGATCTGATTGTTCATATCTACATATATGCCCCTGGTAATAGTTTTAAATGCTTTTTCAGGTGAAGACTGGAAAAAGCAGCTTAGAACAAATATCTAGAGTTTACGGGAACCAGGTAATATCCAGAGTTTGGGTAAAACTGGGTGGTTAGTTGCAATTTGCACTTAAGAGAGTGGTGATTATTGTTAGGGAGGCTGGAGATTTGACATTATTAGTTGATTGAATGCTTTTTTTGTAGGCAGTGGTTGTTAGTATTGATCCTCGTAGAGTATACCTTAATAATCCTGATGATGTGGAGTTCAAGGCTATAAGAGTGACAAACCCAGGTGAAGAAGCAATTATCTTTTTTTCTTATTCCTTCCTTTTTTTTTCATTTTTAGGTTGGATTAGCCATTAAGATGCATTATTACAGTGTCCATAAAACCCCTATTTGCCAATTTTTTTGAATTTGATCAATTCATTGTTTATGTTGAAATCAAATCAAATAATGTAAACAGTCATTACTATTACTAGTCTGGTTTTCAAAGTCTATTATGAACAGTAGTAAGGTTGGGTGTGTTCCAGACCAGAGATTATCAGCCAGTGCCATGACAAGTCCTAGATTCACCATGGATCTTTTCTGGCTACTTTTCTGTGAGCTTGCTTATCCTTCATATCTTTTCTTGAAATGGTCATCAATCAAAAATCTTTTCCCTTTGTTCAAATTGTCTTTCAAATAGCCATTGGGCAATTATAAGTATCTCTAGTTGCATGTCAAAGTTATATGACAGTTTGAAGAAAAAAATAACTTATTCTTCCTGCCTCAGTAGTTCGTGAGACTGCCTGATTAGGTTTGGATAGAAGCCACATCAAAAAAGTTAATTATACAAGTCATGTGATATTTCAATAACTTGTTCCAGATTTTACCTGTATTGTTAGTAACCATTTTTCTAATGGTGGTGTTAGGTCCAAATGGAGAAGAATATGCTTGGTATCAGTGTACAGTAAGCCTGCTTTGCTTTCTTCGTATTTGCAGTTTTATTGTTCATATGTGATTTAGAGATGACCAAGTTTCTATTGTGACATGAGTAAGATAGGCTGGGTGAAATATCATAATCACCAACTCCTTCGTTTGATTAGATTTTGTGAGGCTATAGTTTGAATTCCACAGGGCTATATTGTTGAGCATTTTAAATGACTTCCTATGATATTTTTTAGGTTAGTGGTGGGCGAGAAGGTCGACAAATTGGAGCTTATGAGCTTGCAAAAGCAGTTGAAGAGCTGGGAGCCGGAGAGATACTATTGAATTGCATTGATTGTGATGGTAGAAAGAATTCTTTGCTTAACAAGTTACAATTATATGTTTTATTTTTTAGCTTCAAATTGTAATTTGAAGCATGTGTGGATATTTTATATTATAAATTTATGAATACGTTTAATGAGTGCTTGATTCTAATATTGTAAGGGCATTCAAATCATCAAATTTTATTTTAATTTTGTTTCTGTGGATGTAATGCAATCATGTTGCTTTTTTAGGTCAAGGCAAAGGATTTGATGTAGATCTAATAAAGTTGATCTCAGATGCCGTGAGCATCCCTGTCATCGCTAGTAGTGGTGCCGGTGCTGTTGAACACTTCTCTGAAGTGTTTAGGAAAACAAATGCATCAGCTGCCCTTGCTGCCGGCATTTTCCATCGGAAGGAGGTAACACATCCAGTTTTTGTTATATAGAGTGAACTAGTTCTGTGACAATCTTTCAACATCTTTGTGACTACTATGCTCTCTAATACCCTTCATAATTCTGTGGGTTGCAGGTGCCCATTCAATCTGTAAAAGAACACTTGTTCAAGGGAGGCATAGAGATCAGGATCTAATTTAATCAAACCTGTGAAAGCAAAGAGAAATTTATCTGACTGAAGTTCGAAGAGCATAGAAGTGCATCGTTTTCACCAGGCGCCTGCTGCATGTATTAGTAGTAATTTTTTGCAGCTCCGTAATCCAGGTTCAAATAAATTCACTTTGAATTATTCACAATATAAATTATGGGAATCATCTGATGCTAAGAACTTCCCTTGAAATTTCTTTTCTGTTACTATGTATTCAACAGTTTTATCCGAAAAGTTGATAGACAATTTAAAAAAAAAAAAAAATAATGAGACATTTTTGCTTGCAAGAACATATGTTATATAACCACCATTGGATGGTCGAGTGGTCAATTAGGATTCTTGAGTGTATTACTCAAAAGGTCCCAAATTCAATTCACCTCGACCTTTAATATGGTGGTCACTAGAGTTTTTACTTGGTCAGTAGTTTTAGGGTCCCAGTGGATTAGCTGAGGTACACGTAAGCTAGTTTGACATCCCCAATCATTAAAATTATAATAATAATAATAAAACATATGATATATTCAAATTTATGGCGATTGTGTGGCTGAAAAAATGAGTTGACTTCAGTTGATATTGGCGTTCTGCTGTTGGTTTGTGTCTCTGGTGTCTGTCTCAATTCAAGTTAGGTGGTTTGTTTGACCAATTTGCTTTCAAAAATATGTGAAGTCAAAAAAGTATTTTCAGAGACTAATAGAAATTATTTCACTATTTTCTATTACTGTGAGGCTACTGGTTTAAATACATGATTGAGAAATTACTTTTGCTGCACAAATTGCAAGTATTATATTTCTTAGAACCCAAAAAATGGAGTATTAGAAATCAAAAGAGCTTGCTTGCAAGCTCTTTTTTCTCCTCCCTGTATGATGAAGGTAAATGTGAATCATCTGCAAGTTTTTTCAGCTCCAGTAAGCTCCGTCCAAGTTCAAGAGCTACTTTCACTTCAAACACTTCTCCATTTTCTCTCTTATTAACTTCCCTTTCCTTCAACGTCGATTCTATTGACTCTTCCATGAGCTTAAAGAATCCGGCGGAGCCTCGATACATCTCGAAAATCATACCGACTTGCCCGCCATGCTCCAAAGTGTTCACCACATGACCACAGTAGCCATGGCTCCAAAAACCACCCCAATTACTGCTCCCAGTGAACCACAAAAAGGTGATCCCACAAAAGCTGAAGCTATTGCAGCAGAACCAGTGAATAAAGGGCCACAAATTGCCAGAATTTTGTCAACCTTTAGTACTATTTTGCTTAGTTTCACATATTCTGCTGAATCTTTCATCTTTAGAATCCCGACAATCTCCTTCATTTCCTCTTCAAGATTCCCATTCCAACCATTTTTGTCATCCTTTTTAACAGTCCTTTCTGCTTGAGCCTTCACTTGTGGCCACCACAGAGCAGGCTCTACATGTTCTGGAAACTTATTAAGCATATTTCCCAGCAAGGGAAGTGGGTATGCTTCCTCAAGAGCCAAAACTCTCCATTGCATCCTTCACATGAACCGGAGTCGGGTTCCGAAGAGCAATGGTTGATTTGATCTCTTCATGAAGCTGCTTAAAAAGTCTTGTAGCATTCCTTTGTTCTTCAGCCAACTGAGATGGCTGAATCTTATTCATCACCAGTAAAATCCCAGTCACTGCAGTGTAAAGTAAACCAGAAGAGAGCTTCACAGCCACCAATGTTGCTCCAACTCCATTGCTGACCGCTGCAAGACCAGCCATGGTTGCAGCTATAACCGTCATTCCATTAACAGAATTCAAAAGAAGACTGTTCCAATTGTCGCGTTGCCTCCTGATGTTCTTGTGCATCTCAGCTCTATCCGCAACAATTTACATTATTGTATATAGCTCTTGCACCACCATTGAATTTGAAATTTCTTCATTTTTTCTTTCTTTCACTTCTAGTTTAGGCTTCACTCCCATATGGGTAGAATCTGCTCTCAATATTTGCAACTCATTTCGCCTATTGACACTGAGTTTATGAATTGGAAGATCTGAAGTATAGGGTATAGCTTTTACGTCATCACAAAAGGAAGAAGCTGAGGAAGAACAAACTATAGGGAAGATTTTAAGGGTGGCCATGAGAATAATTATTCTGCCTCGTTCGAGAATATTGAGGGTTCAAAATTCAAGGAAAGCCGTTATGGTGAAAATGGGAATTGTGTTACAAAGATTTATATAGGAAAATTTGGTTGGGTGTGAAAGAGAAGGTGTTTTTTCAACAATTTGAATATCAGTTTGCTTTGACATATACTTGTATCTAACGTTGTGAAGATTGACCTCAAAAGTTTATGGTTAATTATAATACGGAAGTCAGTTCTATTGAGTCCAATGAATACATTCATTCAACACGCTAGTAAAAACCGAGTTTGATCAGTAAAGGAGTCTTAAATTTTACGATTCGGACAAAAGCAGAGAGAGTCTGGCAGTTTTAGGGTTGAAATGGTGATCACTTCTCCTTTTTCTAATCCATATAACACTGAAATGCTGGTCCGCAGGACGTTTTTATTTTTTATTTTTAATATTAAAAGAGAAACTATTGGAGTAATATGTGTGACTTTTGAAGATCTCAAGAGACTCAACCTAGTCATGTTTTTCCTTCTTGAGTTTTAATAAGGATAACCATTGAAACTCTTATCCAGTTTACGGTTTCAGAATCTCAAAAAATTAATTGAAATACACATAAACTGGTTCGAACACTTCCTATCATTGAAAAAAAAAACAATCTAGTCCGACACCTCAGAGGTTTTTTTTTTTTTTTAATTATAGTAAATTAACTTTAGATTACTTGACAAAGATTTCTGTTTAACGTTGTAAAGATTGACCTCAAAATACAAGAGGTAGCTCTATTGAGTCCAATGAATACATTCATTTAACACGCTAGTAAACCGAGTTTGATCAGTAAGGAGCTTTAAATTTTACGATCGGGACAAAAGCAGAGAGAAGTCTGAAGTTTTAGAGTTGAAATGGTGATCACTTATCCTTTTTCTGATTTTGCAACCACCAACCCATATAACACTGAAATGGTAAGTGCAAACTCCAAAGGAACTCCCTTTCTTTGTTTTTTTTTTTTTTTTTTTTTTTTTTTTTTTTTTTGTTTTTTTTTTTTTTTTGAGTTTAAAACTTAAAAGAGAAAACATTGGAGTAATATATGTGACTTTGCTACCTACCTAGCAACCCCCCCCCCCCCCCTTCTTTCAATCGCTAATAAAAATAAGGAAATAATTGTAACTCTTATCTGATCAATAATTTTAATATTTATATATATGAAACACCCTCAATCATTAGAAAGAAAGAAAAACCTCCGCTTTGGTCTTTTTAAAAAATTTTATTAAATATGACTATTTTTTACTGTTCTCTTCAACCTTGGATTGCAATAAATGAACATAAAAAAATGTGTTAAAAAAAAAAAAAAAACACCTGTGGTTTATTGAGGGTAATATTCTCTGCTTCAACAGACATGCAAAAGCGAGAAAATCTTGAACACAAAAGCGTAGGTGGCCGACCAAAAAAATAAAGCACAAAAATGTCTTAGGACAAACGTGTTTAACATTGGATCATTCGATCAAAAAACAAAATGTCAATACAGGTAACCTTTTCTTCAATGTTGATGTTTATTTAGGAAAAAATATTCTATATAATTCATACACATTGGTCTTATACATGCCGCTAAAACAGAAAATAAACGTTTCCTTTATGTTTTTTTATCAAAATGAAAGTGATACACAAAATGGAACGACCATATCTTTTTTCTCATTTCCAATTCAACTTGGCCAGCCGCATTTCAAGAACTCATGAAATAAACCTTACAAAACTTCAAACTCAAGAAATTTATTTTTTGTTCCATAAATTATACGGGTATTTGATCCTAGGTTTACCAGAAGAGTGTGATATTAAACGACATAGCAGCTTGGTTTTCTATATATCAAGTAGCAGTCTGCATGGATCCTCAACGACATCTTTGATGCGATGCAAGAAGAAAATTGCCTCTTTTTCATTGTTATGCCTGAAAAAGTAAGGCTGACGTAGAGCCCTGTTAGCACAAGCGGTCAGAGCTCAGGTATATCCTGCAGCCATTCAGACGCAGCCACATCGCATGCTGGCATGAGCAGCATGCTCCTGTCAGTGCAGTGGGTGTGCGCTAGAATGACGAAGGGCTGAAGATGGTCCACGTATCCAATCCCTGCACACGTCAAGTAAATCACTCAAGCAGGTGAACAACGTGACACAAGGAAGGATTTGCACAGCAATCTGACCCACTCACAGATTTAGTAATCATTACCTTAATTCATCCCACTACAAATAGAGGGCTCCTCTCCCGTTTGTGGGATTAGCTAATTTCTCTCTAGAATAGCACATATACTCCTTCCCTCTCTCTTGTAATCACTTGTAAATCAGCTCGTTAAACGCGACCTGACCTCACATATTAATACAATATCATGGACGTAGAATTCGCTTACTCAAGCATCCGAACCACTTTAAATATTGTTTCTCCATCTTTTACTCATTTCAATACTCCCATACACGTGTGTTTTTTGAGTCAGCTCAGCATTTCCCACGTGTGTTTAGTTGGTGTCAAAATCAAGAATCAACATCCATCAATCAGTCGGTGGTCATACGTTAAAGCAACGTACATCATTGGCCTTGGGACTACATCGCCACCGACAACCATTGGGCGAGACACTATTGAGAGCATACCAAGAATGGCCAACTGCAAAATATGTTAATCAAATTAGATTTCATCTTCCAAAACACCACAGAAGGAGTAAATAAAAGAAAAAAAAAAATCCTATGCCCATAAATATGTGGATCAGCCAAAAGTCAAATGAAAACAAGGAAAGCATTTTTATGTGGCTGAGTCAGCAACTTACCCAAGGAGATTAAAGTCTCAACTTATGAAAGTTCATGAAATTTCGGTTAAAAATAAAAGCAGCCAAACCTGAGGAGGGTTAATGATGGGTGTACTCAAAAGGCTTCCATAAACACCACCATTAGATATTGTAAATGAACCTCCAGCCATTTCATCAATTGATATTGATCCATCATTTGCTTTCTTCGCAAGGGTGTTGATCTCTTTCTCTATATTGGCAAAATTCATCTTATCAGCATTGCGGATAACTAGAAACACAAGGCCCTGATGAGAAAAGAATTAAAATAAGAAGTTAAGATATACGGATCCTGCAACTTCACCATGAGCACAAGAAAATATAAACACAAGTGACACACAGCACATGTATATGCATACGCATAAAATGCTACTACAACCAAAAAGACAAGACTTCCAAGGTTGTTAGACTAACATTAATCAGTAGACACCTACAATCCCAGAAGCATTGACAAATCCATCTGATATAACTTTTCATTCAAATATTTTCACTACCACTTTCGAGGCTAATGATGTGATTGGGCTTGGAAATTTAAATATTTGGTTGTGATAGAGAGTGTATAAATTTTTGCAGGTGAGAAACCTTGGCAAGCCAGTAGAGTTTGCGGGACAATACTATAAAGATGGAACTGATGAGGTATGCTATCTTAGTATAAGACAAAGTTGATAGTTAGATTTTATTAAAAAGAACATACGGCTAAGTTCAATGTTGATCTCACAGTTTTGTTTATTGGATTAATCGATTTTCAGATTAGTTTTTTGAATATCACCGGTTTCCGTGATTTCCCGTTAGGTGATTTGCCAATGTTGCAGGTATTTGAAGTGACTTTGTAATAGATTTTCCCTCATAAATCATTTAATTTTGACAAGTATGACATCTTTTGTTCTGTAAACTCTTTTCACCTGCTTCTTGTGCCTTGTAGGTGTTAAGGTTAACTTCAGAGAATGTTTTTGTGCCTTTAACTGTTAGAGGTGGGATAAGAGATTTTACCGATGCAAACGGCAGGTATACAATGGGGTGTTATGGTCTGGATTGCTGTTTATATTTTTGTTTATCGTCTTTAACTCCTCTTAAGTGATTATCTTTGTATTGTAATTCTTTAGTTTCCAATAGGTTTTTATGTAACATTTTCTTGTTAAATGCATGGACGCTTATTTTAGTTGCTCTTTTTCCAGGTACTATTCTAGTTTGGAAGTAGCCTTAGAATACTTCAGGTCTGGGGCTAACAAGATTTCTATTGGAAGTGATGCAGTTTAAAGATTTCTATTGGAAGTGATGTAGTTTATGTTGCTGAAGAATATTTAAAAACTGCAGTATGCAATACTTCAGATCATCTGTTTCCATGATAGTTCTGGAGCTGATCTGATTGTTCATATCTACATATATGCCCCTGGTAATAGTTTTAAATGCTTTTTCAGGTGAAGACTGGAAAAAGCAGCTTAGAACAAATATCTAGAGTTTACAGGAACCAAGTAATATCTAGAGTTTGGGTAAAACTGGGTGGTTAGTTGCAATGTGCACTTAAGAGAATAGTGATTATTGTTAAAGAGTGTTGAAAAAAATACAGAATAACAAATATTCTAAACTAATACCAAGATCATGTTCATAGTCACCCATTGCAATCACATTTTGTATACAAACGAATTACAATGTATTTACACAGCATAAATACCTCTTCTCCTTAACTCTGAAGCAAAAGTTGAATCTTGGAGTGAAAACTACCGTAGAGTTTTCTTTAACTAATTTTCAGAGAGAGAGTGTGTGTGTATATTGGTGTGTATCTACTAAAAGAAAAAAAACTTTTCTTTTTATATGGACGGCGGTTAGTGAAAAACTGCCTTTGGCAGTTTCCACTTCACATGCCATTTGGGTTAATCCATCATGGGTACACTCTTATCCAATATCTCCCACTCACACATGATGAGACTATCTTCTCTGTGCTTCTTTAAGGTTCATACTTTAATAAATATGCCGTGTGACCATGCATACTTCGAGATCACATTAGTCATATATCTGTTAGGAATATATAACTTCTCGAATTGTGAAACTTATGTTGTATGTTGTATGCAATACCCTAGATTACTTATCACATTTTTTCTAACAATCTCATTTATAATAAATATTTGTTGTATTCATAATTATGTTCTGTCTTTACATAAAAGTAAAACATAATTGGTCGACTAATGAATACACGTGATTATAGTGTGATAATTTAAAAACATAATCTTCCTCTTTTCTCGATTTTTGCAACTTTCATTTAACTTGCTTTTCTAGAAATGTCTCAGCAGATTGAATTTATCTTAATCCTTTGGTAACACTCTAAGATAACAATCATTAAATGAGGTTTTCAAGAAACAAAATAGAGTAATAAGGGTATTCTATGAGATTTTATTCTTAAAAAAACTCAGGGTCTCACACAATGTTAAAGTTGAGATTTTGACTTTCATTACCCCTTTTGTCAATGTTTTGCACATGTGGTATGAATCACATGCTACAACATTTCCTCCTTTCCCATGGAGTGCATGTCTCTTTTCTTGTAAATGTTGTACAGATTTTAGTTCAGACATACCTAATGTCTAACTTGAGTTCACTTTACATACTTTTAATTCATCAGAACTCTAATCTGACAATTAGACAGATAAAGTGATCATTTATCACTTATTGTCACATTTCATTATGACATTATTTTAATTCTATTTTTTTTTCTTTTTTAGGCGACGTTAAACATTTTAAACTTGGCTCTTTATTATCACCTAGATAATAAGCTTAAAATCGTCTCATCTCCATTCCTAAGAAGTAATGGAGGCAATTGCCTGTGTAAGAAGACCAATCTTTTAACTGTCTGACATGCTTTCAAAATAGACATATATAATATTTACATAACTAATATATATATACTCCTTCATGTATGTTCCATAATAATCGAAATTGAGCATTGACAATATTGTTATTTAATATTGATAAGACAAACGTGAACAATTTTGGGAAATCTCAAAGTATGAGTACATTTAACACCTATGTAAGCCTAAAGATCTAACATGTCTATCGAAAGTATCTCTTAGTATAGGCTTTGTAATGCGTAGATATATACTTCATGTTCACCTCCTTTTGTGCCACCAAGTCTCGCACAAAATTATATTTGATATCTATGTGTTTCGTTTTACCATGATATTTGGGATCCTTAGTGTATGCTATTGCTGCTTGACTATCACAGTTTATTCTTACTGGTTCAATAGCAACATTAATTATTCCCAAATGATTCATGAACCGTCTTAACCAAACGGCTTCTTGCATTATAGCTGAAAATGCTACAAACTCAACCTCCATTGTAGATAAGGCTATACATGATTGTTTCTTACTGCTCTAAGATATGGCCCCACCATTTAGTAAGAAAACATATCCGAAAGTAGATTTCCTTTCATCCAAATCTCCTCCCTAATCAGCATCGGTTTGGCCTCTCAAATGTAAATCATTTCTTTGATAACATAATGAGTAATCAGCTATTCCTGTTAGATATCTTAAGATTCTCTTCACTACTTTCCAATGTGCTTATCCTGGGTCAGACTGATATCTACTTACCAACCCAACGGCATAGCAGATGTCGGCTCTAGTGCACATCATGGAGTACATGAGACTTCCGACGACACTTGTATAAAGAACATTCTTCATTTGTTCCTTTTCTTTTGGAGTCTTTGGACACATTTTACGACTCAAAGTCTTGCCTTTTGCAATAGGGTTGTCTATGGGTTTACAATCTTGCATATGAAATCGTTCAAGAATTTTCTTAATGTATGGTTCTTGTGAAAGAGATACTAATTTTCTTGAGCGATCTCTTGAAATCTTGACTCCAAGAATATATGCAGCTTCACCCATATCTTTCATCTCAAAATGAGATGACAACCATAATTTGATTTCATTGACAAATCCCTTATCATTTCCAACTATAAGTATATCATCAACATATAATGATAATATAACAAATTTGTTATTGGATCTCTTTGTATATACACAGTGATCTTCGTCTATCATTTTGAAATCATACGACATTATAGCGTTATGAAATCAAATATACCACTGTCTTGAGGATTGTTTGAGGCCATAAATTGACTTTAAAAGTCTACACACTTTGTGTTCTTGACCTTCTCTAATAAAACCTATTGGTTGGTCCATATAGATTTCTTCTTGTAATTCTCCATTAAGAAAAGCAGTCTTTAAATATATTTGATGCAATTCAAGATCCATGCTAGCAACTATATCTAGAATAAGTCGGATTGAGGTAAACCGCACAACAGGCGAAGAAGTTTCTTCATAATCTATTCCTTCCTGTTGTATATACCCCTTCGCGACTAAGCGAGCTTTGTATCTTTCAATACTACCATCAGCTTTACGCTTGATTTTGAGAACCCACTTGTTCCCAATGGCTTTGCATCCTTTTGGTAAATCAACCAATTCCTATACTTGGTTTGATTTCATAGACTCCAATTCTTCTTCCATTGCTTTCATCCATTTTTCCTTAGAAGGGCAATTGAGAGCCTCTTTTACATTCTTTGGCTCTTCTTCATCTTGTGGAGTAACTAGAAAAATTTCCCCCTCAATCTCAAATCATCGACGTAGAACTTGTTTCCTGTTTGATCGATGTATTGGAGATTGATTGGTGTTACTCCCACTTGGACCAGCTATCATAGTTGGATCGATAGTAGGGAATGATGGAGGATCTGAAACTGATTCATCAACTTCCATATCGCTCCCACTGGAATGTAGTATAACCTATTGATTGTCGGCAACAGAATTGCCTTGGTCTTGTGTTTCATATAGAAACAAGTCTTTACCTATCTCGTCCTTCTTAGGAAAATTGATTTCTAAGAATGTGACATCTCGTGATTCAAACTCGGTGATGCTACCACTTTCTTGTTCTCCTATGAAGATGTATCCCTTTGAATGTTCTAAGTATCTTATGAAGATAAATTTCTTCCCCTTTGGACCCAATTTTCCATATTTATAGGAAGGATCATGAACATAGGCAGCACATCCCCATGGCTTTAGGAGACTCAAATCGGGTTTTTGAGTTATCCATAACTCATATGGTGTAGTAGTAATAGATTTTGAGGGCTCGATTGAGGATATATGTGACAGTCAATAAGGCATCACCCCAAAAGGTGATTGACAAGTTTGCTTGTGCCATCATAGACCTCACCATCTCAAGTAGGGTTCTGTTTCTTCGTTCTACAATACCATTTTGTTGCGGAGTTCTTGGAATAATTAATTGATGTTCTATTCCCATTTCATCACAAAAATTTCTGAACTAATCAGATAAATATTTACGACCTCGATCGGTTCATAGAACTTTTATCTTTATCTAATTGATTCTCAACTAAGTTTTTAAACTTTTGAAAGCATTCTAAAGCTTCTGATTTTTGAGAGATCAATAAAACATAACCATATCGAGTGAAATCATCTATAAATATGATGAAGTAAACAGCCCCATGTCTAGCCCTCACATGCATTGGACCACATATGTCAGAATGAATTAATTGCAATGGAACTTCAGCTCTTATCTCTTTTCCAAATGGTTTTCTTGCTGTTTTTCTAGCTAGGTAATGTTCACAAGTAGTCAAGTCTAACTTTGTTAAGGATCCTAACAAGCCTTCTCTTGCTAGTATATTCATTCCTTGTTGGCCAATATGGCCAAGTCGTGCATGTCATATATTCACATCATTATTATTGGAAGATGTAATGAAGGAAAAAAAAACATTACTATAATTATGAGCAATGTCAAGTACTATAAAACCATCAGAAATATAACCACAACCATAGTATGTTGTGTCCAAAAATAAATGGACACTATTACTTGAAAATTTTAAATTAAAACCAAGTTTAATAAGTTCTAACACGGAAATCAAATTTCGACGAATATCGGGTACATATAACACGTCATGTAGGTATAGGATTCGACCTCCATGCATGATCAATTTGCATGTGCCGATCCCTTTAACTTCCACTTTTGAATTATTACCTACATATATCCATTTTGTTTTCCATGGTATTCATCAAAACTCCACAAAAACACTCTTGTCTTTCGCTATGTGGTCTGTTGCTACTGAATCTACAATCCACAAAGGATGAGATTCAGTTAGAAAAACAGAATTAGAAACATTTATATAACTTACTTGTGCAAACAAGTAATTTACCTTCTTCAGCTCGCTACAATCACGAGCAAAATGTCCCTTGTTACCACAGTTAGATTGTAGTAGTCTTGGTCCCTCCCTTTTCTTTTAGTAGTGGCTAGCAGTGGTGGACAATCTCTCTCTTCCCGTGGAGGCATTGCCATCTTCATCCCTTAAAGCCCCATCACCTAGACTCATTCGAAGCCTGTCCTCGCGGATAAAGAGATGTCCCTCTTTAGTCTGATTTTCCCACTAAGAAGTTAGCTTAGGAAAACAAAGAAAAAATCCCCATTTTCGACCTTGGACAAAATCGATTTCAGGTAGCTTGCACGACCAGCATAGGGGTCCGTACAAAAAAAAAAGTCAGACCATAACAAGGGAAAAGACTTCCACGATTGTTGGAATTGACATTAAAATCCCTTCCCATCATGTGAACTAGAACCAGCCATATACACATCAGTATTTGCCTTACTCACATTAAGGCGATCTTCTTCCAGTTTCAAATGTCGTGTGGCATCTTCTAAATTTCTGATGCCCTCATTGTGGATAAGGTGTATTTTCACGTGTTCCCAATTTTGAGGCAATGATCTTATGACAGCTTGAACCTATTGTTCATCAGTTAGGACATGACCTGCATCTCTTAGCTCACTAATCATGTTTGACAAGTGCCGTAAGTGTACTCTCATAGTATGTTCAAGCGTTTTCTTATATGTGTCAAACTTGATAGTGAGTGATCGGAGTTTGGTAATGGACATACCGCCAAACTTTGTAGCAAGGGCGGACCACATGTCCTTTGCTAATTCGTAATCCCGGTACTTTTTCATGAGATCATTGTCCATGCTACTCAACAAAGTGATGCAAGCAATGGAATTCTTCTTCTTCCACATGTCATAAGCTGCACGGTCTCTTCTATGTTGAGCCGTGCCTCCTTCTTCAGGCTCTTCCATGGTCGTGGTAAGAGCTTCAAGAACTTCTTGTTCTTCCAAGACATATTGGATTTTCATGCTCCATATCTCATAATTGTCGCTGTTAAATTTTTCTCCTTTATTAAGTTCGGTGACAATGTTCTTAGATGCAGATTTCATTTCTAAAAAAAATTACACATTGGATAATGCATGTTATTCAATGCTCGGAACGTATATATATATATATATATATCAATAACAATTGTATATTAGATTTGGAATCAAAAGTTAACAATGTCAACAATCATCATCCAAAATTCCAATTTCCAATTATCATAGATATAATTGATTGCAATTCTAAAATAATATTACGACACAATCATATAAGTATAATTCAACATAAATTCACATAAAAATTTAAATTTTAATAAATAAAATAAAATTAATTCCATTATGTAAATAGAATTCAACATGTAGTGAAATTAAAAACAAACAGTTTCAAAAAAAACTAAGTGTACTGCCACATTCCATAAACTGGGAAAGATCTGATAATCCTTATCCTAAGGTCTTTATCTAACTTGTAATTAACCCTAGGCAAGGGAACTCCCAGTTTTTAGTGATGTCCTTTACGAGTGGAGACTCCTATAGATGCACCAGCCGTCCTTTTGGCACCCCAATCTATGTACTCCTTGATGTAGTTGTTGACTAAACGTCTATAATCTTTATTGTCATCTTTAAGGTTTTGAACTTTCAGTTTGTTCCAAACCAGATCAAGGAGACCAACGAGACTAGGGTAACCAAGAGTCTCTCTAAGGACTTTGTATTTCAACTCATCTTCCTGTAATCCCCCTATCCAGACAATTTCCTGAATCTTTTCATTCACATGAATGAAATGATTTACGAGTTGCACAAACTCATCCTCCGTGTCTCTTAATATTAAGGTGTGAGTTTGTAGAGTTCTAATCATGTTCATAACCCTTTCCTTTTGAGTGGGTGTTCTAGCAGCCATTGCACGTCTATAATGTAACATTTTTCTGTAACAAATACAAAAATAACAATTTATTTATCAAATAAAGGTTAACTATATTTGATAAATAATATATATACGTGTTTATGGCTTAATAACTAAATTAGACTCATAATAACATACCACGTATGCATTTTATTCTTTACAACAAAGAAAGAAAAAAAAATTTAGAACACTTCACGCCCTCACGCGCTGGCAGAAGCAGCCACGCGTGGCCACGCGCCAGCAGAAGCGGCCACGCGTTGACACGTGCCGATCAGGGTCCTCCATGCGCTTACCTTGCACCTCACACTGAATTCAGGTCGATTAGACCCGTTTCACATTTAATCGGGCAATTTTGACCTGATTTGACCCGTTGACTTGTTGACCTTATGGGTCAAGCGTTGACTGGGTTTGGCTAACCCATTTGACCTTATGGGTCGAGCGTTGATTGGGTTGACTGATCCATTTGACCTTAGGGGTTGGGCGTTGATTGGGTTTGACTAACCCGTTTGGTCATAGGGGTTGGGTTTGACTAACCCGTTTGATGTACTGGGTCAAATCCGCAAGTCAACTTGACCATTTTTATTTTGGTTTTTGGGATGGGCCGAAGATGAATATATGTAGTTTGTAAGTATGGCTAACACAAATCAAACATGTAGCCCAGTGGTTAGGGAGTTGGGCTTTATTTGGGAGACTTGGGTTCAACTCTCACCACCCACAATTGTTTGCATGTTTTATTAAAAAAGGAAGTAAAACAAAACGACTTGTCATTTATAAGGCTAGGAGTAAAACGACATGTCGGTCCTTTATCATCTTCTACCTCTATCCGGGTGTGCAACTTGGTACCCGACCCGGAAATCAACCCATACAGAAATCCGAAACTTTAAAAAGGCATATCTAAGTCATTTTAACTCCATTTTTATGATTCAAAAGCCATTTTCTTCATAATTTCATAAGGAATCTAATAGTCTAATTATCATTACCAAAAAGACAACTTTTTACGCACAAAATTTGAAAATTCAGAACTGTATTTAATCAACAAGCAACATGCTTTAACATCACAGTACGAATTTAAAACAATATAAACCACGACTCTGATATCACTGTTGGAAAAAATACAAAATCACAAATATTCTAAACTAATCCCAAGATCATGTTCATAGTCACCCATTGCAATCACATTTTGTATATAAACGAATTACAATATATTTACACAGCATAAATACCTCTTCTCCTTAACTTTGAAGCAAAAGTTGAATCTTGGAGTGAAAACTACCGTAGAGTTTCTCTTTAACTATTTTTCAGAGAGAGAGAGCGTGTGTGTATATTGGTGTGTATCTACTAAAAGAAAAAAAAAACTTTTCTTTTTATATGGACGGCGGTTAGTGAAAAACTGTCTTTGGCAGTTTCCACTTCACACGCCATTTAGGTTAATCCATCATGTGTGCACCCTTATCCAATAGAGAGGATGGAGATTTGACACTATTAGTTGATTGAATGCTTTTTTTCAGGCAGTAGTTGTTAGTATTGATCCTCGTAGAGTATACCTTAATAGTACTGATGATGTGGAGTTCAAGGCTATAAGAGTGACAAACCCAGGTGAAGAAGCAGTTATCTTTTTTTCTTATTCCTTCCTTTTTTTTCATTTTTAGGTTGGATTAGCCAATAAGATGCATTATTATAGTGTCCATAAAACCCCTATTTGCCAATTTTTTTTGAATTTGATCAGTTCATTGTTTATGTTGAAATGTAATCAACTAATGTAAACAGTTATTGTACTATTACTGGTCTGGTTTTCAAAGTCTACCATGAACAGTAGTAAGGTTGGGTGTGTTCCAGACCAGAGATTATCAGCCAGTGCTATGAGGAGTCCTAGATTCACCATGGATCTTTTCCGGCTACCTTTTTATGAGCTTGATTATCCTTCATATCTTTTCTTGAAATATTCATCAATCAAAAATATTTTCCCTTCGTTCAAATTGTTTTTCAAATAGCCATTGGGCAATTATAAGTATCTCTAGTTGCATGTCAGAGTTATATGACAGTTTGAAGAAAAAAATAACTTATTCTTCCTGCCTCGGTAGGTAGTGAGACTGCCTGATTAGGTTTGGATAGAAGCCACATCAAACAAGTTAATTATATAAGTCATGTGATATTTCATTAACTTCTTCCAGATTTGACCTGTATTGTTAGTAAGCATTTTTCTAATGGTGGTGTCAGGTCCAAATGGAGAAGAATATGCTTGGTATCAGTGTACAGTAAGCCTGCTTTGCTTTCTTCATTTTTGCAGTTTTATTGTTCATATGTGATTTAGAGATGACCAAGTTATAAATGTGACATGAGTAAGATAGGCTGGGTGAAATATCTTAATCACCAACTCCTTCGTTTGATTAGATTTTGTGAGGCTATAGTTTGAATTCCACAGGACTATATTGTTGAGCATTTTAAATGACTTCCTATGATACTTTTTAGGTTAGTGGTGGGCGAGAAGGTCGACAAATTGGAGCTTATGAGCTTGCAAAAGCAGTTGAAGAGCTGGGAGCCAGAGAGATACTATTGAATTGCATTGATTGTGATGGTATAAAGAATTCTTTGCTTAACAAGTTACAATTATATGTTTTATTTTTTAGCTTCAAATTGTAATTTGAAGCGTATGTGGATATTTTATATTATAAATGTTATGGAAATTCACTATCAATTATCTGCTTAATCACATGCACAAATAACACAGACAACACACACAATATCAAATCAAAACACAACCAACTCAATAACACCAAATATACTGTGGTTCACCTTTTCACAAAGGAAAGATTACATCCACGTTGAGCTCTAAGAATTTTGGGGCTCACTATACTAGGAATAAAACGTTATTACAGATTACAAAAAACTCTCACCGATTTACCCAAATATCAATCAAGAAACCCACTCACACAAACCTGAAAAATCCCTAGAGATGACCTAACCCAGTCTCTCTAAACCTGAAGGAACAACCTACCCTCACCCAAGATTACACATATTTGCAACTGAAACAAGATTGAAACAAACTCTCAATACAAAAGGCAAAAACTAGATCTGTTGCGCAAAAGAGAAGAAGAAAAAATTACTGTTCTGTGTAAAAAAAAAAAATCTCTCTTTATATAGTTTGACCTCATGAGCCAATCTTGGCCGTTGGATATGCTTCATTTCAATGCCTGAGATTTGTTCTTATTTGCAGTGAAACGGCAGCATTTTTTTTACTAGTCTGCTGTAGAAACTTTTACGTTTTGTGCTTCAACTATTAACAATTCTCCACCTTGAAGCTCAAAATTTTTACAACTAGATTTCCTAAATGCAGCTCACCATCCTAAACTCCGTTCACAGCTTGGTTGCTGCCTATTACTTGACAAACAGTAGGTTCAAGCAATGCTTGAACTTGGCAGCAGTGACGATCTTGGTACCCATATTAGCAGGATTATCTTCAGTTGTGACTTTTTCAAGATGATCAATCATTGGGCAACTAGATCTCTGACGAAATGAAATCTCACATCCACATGTTTGGTCCTGTCATGGTTGTCAGGATTCTTGCTCAGGTGAATAGCACTTTGGTTGTTTGAATAAATTGTGGCTACTTCATCAATCAAATTCACTTCAGTTAGTATTCCTTGGAGCCACAGTGCTTCCTTGAATAATCAGCAACAGCCACATACTCTGCCTCAGTTGAGGAGAGTGCCACAATAGGCTAGAGCTGGGATTTCCAGCTCACACAGTTTCCTCCCAACATGAAGACATAAGCAGTGGTTGATTTTCTTGTGTCTTTATCCCTTACAAAATCAGAATCTACAAAACCCACAAGATCAAGTGAATTATATCTTTTACAATATTCCAAACCAATATGTGAAATTTCATTAATATATCTCAGAACCCATTTAAGAGCTGACCAATGCTCTGACCCAGGATCTGACATAAAACGGCTCAGCAATGACATAGCAAAGGAAAGGTCAGGTCTGCTGCTAATCATGGCATACATAATTGACTCTATTACATTTGCATAAGGGACTTGTTCCATTTTTATTAACTCAGAATCTGTTTTGGGACATTGGTGTTTAATAAGTGTGAAATGACTTGCTAAAGGCATAGATACAACCTTTGATTCAACTATATTAAACTTAGAAACTAGTTTTTTCAAGTAGGAGCTTTGAGTTAATCTTAATTCATGATAGTTTATGTTCCTATGTATTACCATTCCTAATATCATTTTAGCACATCCTAAGTCTTTCATGTCAAACTCAGCCTTAAGTTTACCCTTTAGTCCATCTATTCTAGATTTAGATTTGCTAATCAAGAGCATGTCATCCACATATAGAGTAAATACAAAAGGCATATCATTATCCAAAGCAAAATAAAAGCAACTATCATATTTGCTCCTATTAAACCCAATGCTTAAAACAAATGCATCAAACCTCTTATACCACTACCTAGGGGACTGTTTCAGTCCATAAAATGACTTATGAAGCAAACACACATAATTTGGAAGTCTTTTATCAACAAATCGAGTAGGTTGTCCCATATATATTTTCTCTTCTAGGTTTCCATGTAGAAAAGCAGTCTTAACATCTAGTTGCTCTAGTTCTAGGTCATAATGGGCAACTCTAGACAACATAATCCTAATTGTTTTATACTTAACTACTTGTGAGAAAATTTCATTAAAATCAATGTCTTCCCTTTTTGTGTAACCTTTAGCTATAAGTCTAGCCTTATACCTAGGAGAGTCAGAAGAGTTTATACCTTCTTTTACCTTGAATAGCCATCGACATTCAACTGGTTTCTGATCCTTTGGAGTTGGGACTAAGGACCAGGTTCTGTTGACCTTTAGAGACTGTATTTCTTCCTCCATTGCGGCCTGTTATTTGTCCTTGTCCTTTGATCTGATTGCTTCCTCATAGCTATCATGTTCTGATCTTAGTACTTCAGCTCCAGCCACCAATGCAGTGAAGATCAGACCAGCATAGGAATATCTTGTTAGAGGTCTGATCTCTCTACGGGTCTTGTCTCTGGTTAGCTGATATTGTGCCAGGGGTTCTTCTTGGGTTGGTTCTAAGTTCTCAACTGGTTCACCCTCTTGGTCATGATCCAGGGCTACCATTTCAATTTCTTCATCTGGATTTTCTTCATCAAGTTGAATACTTGAGGGCTCCACCTCAATTTGTGTCTCTGCATTTGGTTCTTGACTTATAAGATCAATGCTAGAGGTACCTGCATCAGGGTTAGTAGTTTTGCAAGGAAAAATATTTTCATTAAAAATAACATCCCTACTGATTATTACTTTAACCCCTGGTGATGTTCTTTCCCATAATCTAAACCCCTTTGTCCCTTCTTGATAATCGAGGAAAACATACTTTAGTGACCTAGGTTCAAGCTTCCCTTCATTTGTGTGTGCATAGGCTGCACACCCAAAGACCCTAAGGTGGTTTAGGTTTGGCTTTCTTTTGGACCATCTCTCCTCGGGACAGGTGAAACCTATTGCACTAGAGGGGCTTCTGTTGACTAAATATGCTGCAGTGTTGAGGGCTTCTCCCCAAAAGGTCTTAGGTAATCCTGATGTGTGAACAGTAAGCATCTCACCTTTTCTAACAACGTCCTATTTATTCTCTCAGCTACTTCATTTTGTTGAGGAGTTCCCCTGACTGCTCTGTGTCTCAATATACCCTGATCACTACGGTGTCTATCAAACTCTGAATTGTAGAACTCTAGCCCATTATCTGTCCTAAGGGCTTTAACCTTTCGGTCAACTTGGTTTTCTACAAGTGTTTGCCAATTCTTGAACCTATCTAAAGCCTCATTTTTAGATCTAAGCAAAAAAAACCCACACTTTCCTACTGTAATCATCCACTATCGATAGGAAATAACTATTACCCCATGAGATTTTATCTTTTCTGGTCCCCAAAGATCAGCATGTAAGTATTCTAAACAGTTAGTGGCCTAGTGTGTCCCCTTATGAAAACTTAGCCTATGTTGCTTCCCCATTATACAAGTTTCACATAACTTCAGATCATTAATGACATCTCTACCAAACAACCCCTGTTTACTTAGAGTATCTAGGCATTTTTGGCTCATATGTCCTAACCTTATATGCCATTTTTCAGTGTCTGTTAGATTTGTAGTAAGCAAACAATCAGAACAGTAAGCCCCACTCATGATGTACAGCCCATTCTTCTTTACCCAACTAAGTACTATGTTGTTACCCTTATAAACATTTAAGCACCCATTTTCTGCCTTATAACAATACCGAGATTCATCCAAGGTTCTTAATGAAATCAAGTTTCTCTTAAGATGTGGAATATACCTAACCTTAGTAAGTTTGACTAGTTTTCCATTATTCATCCTCAAAGATATGCTACCAACTCCCTGAACCTTGCATGCATTGTTGTTTTCCATAAACACAGTCCCACAGTCATTTGGTTCAAAATCTTGGAACCAATTTTTGTTTGGACTCATGTGGAATGAGCAACCAGAATCTAACACTCATTCCCCTATGGTATCAGCCTTAGACACTATTAGGACCTCAGATTCGTCAATGCTATGTTCGGTGATGGCTAAATTGCTCTCAATGTTAAACTATTTCTATTTCCTAATCCACTCAAAACAGTTTTTCTTTAGATGACCAGTCTTATTGCAATAGAAACATTTTCGGGTTTCCCCTTTGGATTTATTAGTGTTTTTACCCTTCCTTTTGTTCCTAGAGCCACTGCCATGATAAGGATTACTACCCACCTGACTAATTTCGCCCTTACCCTTAACAAATAGGCTATTACCACTCCTTTTTTGAACCCTAAGTTCTAACTCCCTAGCTTTTAACCCAGCAACATAATTAAATCTACACTAGTTATAGTGCCAGTGTACTGCAAAGCATTCTTTACTACCTGATATTCATCATTCAAAGAATTTAAAAGAATCATGGCAAGGTTGGAATCACTGAGTTCTTGATCAATACCCTTGAGAACCAGGGTCATTTTCAAGAACTCATCCAGGCTCTCCTCAATAGTCCTATTACTATCTATTTTATACGAAAATAGGGCACCTTTTAAGTATGCTAGATTAGGAGCTAATTGTAAAGAATAGAGAGATTCAAGCTTATCCTTGAGGTTGATTGGTGTTTCAAACCCATCTACCTTTTGCATTACACTTTCGGTAAGGTTCATGATGATTAAGTTTTAGGCCTCTTCATCCACTTTGGCTTTTTTCTCCAGCTTCTCCTCCGACCACTTGGTGGAATCCTTCTCCATCTCGATAGACACTTTGTTTTGGGACAATAAAGCTTTCTTCTTCTTCTTCCAACTGCCAAAATAAATTTTTCCATCATACTAGGTGATCTCAACCCTAGTTGTACTCATGACTGAATGTGTGTTTGTTTTTGTGTTTGGTGATTACTAAACAGAACCCAAGACAGAAACCAAGATTTGCCTCTCCTTCTCAAATTGATATCTCGAATTCACAGAATTTCTAATCCTAGACTCTCCTAAGCCTTTAATCAAGAAATCCCCAATTTATGACCAAACCCTAGATTTTGAAAAATCAAGAAACCCGAGGATTGGCAACACTAACCTCGCTTTGATACTACTGTTATGGAAATTCACTATCAATTATCTGCATAATCACATGCACAAATAACACAGACAACACACGCAATACCAAATCAAAACACAACCAACTCAAGAACACCAAATATACTGTGGTTCACCTCTCCACAAAGGAAAGATTACATCCACGTTAAGCTCCAGAAATCTTGGGGCTCACTACACTAGGAATAAAACGTTATTACAGATTACAGAAAGCTCTCACCGATTTACCCAAATATCAATCAAGAAACCCACTCATACAAACCTGAAAAATCCCTAGAGATGACCTAACCTAGTCTCTCTAAACCTGAAGGAACAACCTGCCCTCACCCAAGATTACATAGATTTGCAACTCAAACAAGATTGAAACAAACTCTCAACACAAAGGGCAAAAACCAGATCTGTCGCGCAAAAGAGAAGAAGAAAAAATTATTGTTCTGTGTAAAAAAAAATCTCTCTTTATATAGTTTGGCCTCATGAGCTAATATTGGCCATTGGATCTGCTTCATTTAAACGGCTGAGATTTATTCTTATTTGCAGTGAAACGGCAGTGTTTTATTTACTGATCTGCTGCAGAAACTTTTACGTTTTGCGCTTCAACTGTTAACAATAAATTTATGAATACGTTTAATGAGTGCTTGATTCTAATATTATAAGGGCATTCAAATCATCAAATTTTATTTTTATTTTGTTTCTTTGGATGTAATGCAATCATGTTGCTTTTTTAGGTCAAGGCAAAGGATTCGATGTAGATTTAATAAAGTTGATCTCAGATGCCGTGAGCATCCCTGTCATCGCTAGTAGTGGTGCTGGTGCTGTTGAAAACTTCTCTGAAGTGTTTAGGAAAACAAATGCATCAGCTGCCCTTGCTGCCGGCATTTTCCATCGGAAGGAGGTAACACATCCAGTTTTTGTTCTGTGACAATCTTTCAACATCTTTGTGATTACTATGCTCTCTAAAACCCTTCATGATTCTGTGGGTTGCAGGTGCCCATTCAGTCTGTAAAAGAACACTTGTTCAAGGAAGGCACAGAGGTCAGGATCTAATTTAATCAAACCTGTGAAAGCAAAGAGAAATTTATCTGACTGAAGTTAGAAGAGCATAGAAGTGCATCGTTTTCACCAGGCGCATGCTGCATGTGTTAGTAGTAATTTTTTGCAGCTCTGTAATCCAGGTTCAAATAAATTCACTTCATTTGAATTATTCACAATATAAATTATGAGAATCATCTGATGCTAAGAACTTCCCTAGAAATTTCTTTTCTGTTACTATGTATTCAACAGTTTTATTCGAAAAGTTGATAGACAATTTAAAAATAAAAAAAAGATAATGAGACATTTTTGCTTACAAAAGAACATAGGTTATATAACCACCCCTGGATGGCTGCACTCAGGAGATCATAAGTTCAATTCACCTCGACCCTTAATACAGTGGTCACTAGAGTTTTTACCTAACCGGTAGTTTTATGGTCTCAGAGGATTAGCTGAGGTACACGTAAATTAGTTTGAACACCCCGTCATCATAAAAATAATAATAATAAATAATAAATAAAAAAACATATGTTATATTCAAAATTATGGCGATTGTGTGGCTGAAAAAATGAGTTGACTTCAGTTGATATTGGCGTTTTGCTGTTGGTTTGTGTCTCTGGTGTCTGTCTCAATTCAAGTTAGGTGGTTGGTTTGACCAATTTGCTTTAAAAAATATGTGAAGTTAAAAAAGTATTTTCAGAGACTAATAGAAATTATTTCACTATTTTCTATTACTGTGAGACTACTGGTTTGAATACATGATTTAGAAATTACTTTTGCTACACAAATTGCAAGTATTATATTTCTTAGAACCCAAAAAATGGAGTATTAGAAATCAAAAGAGCTTGCTTGCAAACTCTTTTTTCTCCTCCCTGTATGATGAAGGTAAATGTGAATCATCTGCAAGTTTTTTCAGCTCCGGTAAGCTCCGCCCAAGTTCAAGAGCTACTTTCACTTCAAACACTTCTCCATTTTCTCTCTTATCAACTTCCCTTTCCTTCAACGTTGATTCTATTGACTCTTCCATGAGCATAAAGAATCCGGCAGAGCCTCGATACATCTCGAAAATCATACCGACTTGCCCGCCATGCTCCAAAGTGTTCACCACAGTAGCCATGGCTCCAAAAACTACCCCAATTACTGCTCCCAGTGAACCACAAAAAGGTGATCCCACAAAAGCTGAAGCTATTGCAGCAGAACCAGTGAATAAAGGGCCACAAATTGCCAGAATTTTGTTAACTTTTAGTACTATTTTGCTTAGTCTCACATATTCTGCTGAATCTTTCATCTTTAGAATCCCAACAATCTCCTTCATTTCCTCTTCAAGATTCCCATTCCAACCATTTTTGTCATCCTTTTTAACAATCCTTGAGCCTTGAGCCTTCACTTGTGGCCACCACACAGCAGGCTCTACATGTTCTGGAAACTTATTAAGCATATTTCCCAGCAAGGGAAGTGGGTATGCTTCATCAAGAGCCAAAACTCTCTCCATTGCATCCTTCACATGAACCGAAGTCGGGTTCCGAAGAGCAATTGTTGTTTTGATCTCTTCATGAAGCTGCTTAAACAGTCTTGTAGCATTCCTTTGTTCTTCAGCCAACTGAGATGGCTGAATCTTATTCATCACCAGCAAAATCCCAGTCACCGCAGTGTAAAGTAAACCAGAAGAGAGCTTCAGAGCCATCAATGTTGCTCCAACTCCATTGCTGACCGCTGCAAGACCAGCCATGGTTGCAGCTGTAACCGTCATTCCATTAACAGAATTCAAAAGAAGACTGTTCCAATTATCGCGTTGCCTCCCGATGTTCTTGTGCATCTCAGCTCTATCTGCATCAATTTCCATTATTGCATATAGCTCTTGCACCACCATTGAATTGGAAATTTCTTCATCTTTTCTTTCTTTCACTTCTAGTTTAGGCTTCACTCCCATATGGGTAGAATCTGCTCTCAACATTTGCAACTCATTTCGCCTATTGACACCGAGTTTATGAATTGGAAGATTTGAAGTATAGGGTATAGCTTTTGCGTCATAACAAAAGGAAGAAGCTGAGGAAGAACAAACTATAGGGGAGATTTTAAGGGTGGCCATGAAATTATTCTGCCTCGTTTGAGAATATTGAGGGTTCAAAATTCAAGGAAAGGCGTTATGGTGAAAAGGGAAGTGTCTTACAAAGATTTATATAGGAAAATTTGGTTGGGTGTGAAAGTGTTTGTTCAGCAATTTGAATATCAGTTTGCTTTGACATACACTTGTATCTGACGTTGTGAAGATTGACCTCAAAATTTTGTGGTTAATTATAATACGGTAGCCAGTTCTATTGAGTCCAATGAATACATTCATTCAACACGCTAGTAAAAACCGAGTTTGATCAGTAAAGGATTTTTAAATTTTACGATTCAGACAAAAGCAGAGAGTAGTCTGGAAGTTTTAGAGTTGAAATGGTGATCGCTTCTTTTTCTATTCCATATAACACTGAAATGCTGGTCCACAGGACTTTTTTTTTTTTTTTTTTTAATATTAAAAGAGAAACTATGGGAGTAATGTGTGTGGCTTTTGAAGATCTCAATGGCCTCAACTTAGTCATGCTTTTCCTTCTTGATTGTTAATAAGTATAACCAGTGATTTTATAATCTTGAAAAATTAGTTAAAAAAAAAAAACAACCTAGTTCTGCATCTCAGAGATTTTTTATTTTTAATTATATTGAATTAACTTTAGGTTACTTGACATAGATTTATGTTTAACGTTGTAAAGATCGACCTCAAAAAGTTTATGGTAAGTACGGGAGGTAGCTCTATTGAATCCAATGAATACATTCATTCAACACGCTAATAAACCGAGTTTGATCAGTAAGGAGCTTTAAATTTTATGATGGGGACAAAAGCAGAGAAAGTCTGAAGTTTTAGAGTTGAAATAATGATCCCTTGGTTTGCTGATTTTGCAACCACCAACCCATATAACACTGAAATGCCAAGTCCAAAGGAAATTTTATTTATTTTTTTTTATTTTTTTATTTTTTTGAGTTAAAACTTAAAAGAGAAAATATTAGAGTAATATCTGTGACTTTGCAACCTAGTCATGCACCCCATCCCCCTTGCCCCCTCTTTTCAGTCGCTAATAAGGATGAGAAAACTATTGAAACTCTTATCTAACTAATAGTTTTAACATTTATATATGTAAACCGGTCGAAACATTCCCGATCATTAGAAGGAAAAAAAAAAAAAAAAATCCTACGCCTTACTCTTCTTAAAAAGTTTTATTAAATATAACTATTTTTACTGTTCTCTTCAACCTTGGATTGCAATAAATGAACATAAAATAAAAAAGTGTCAAAATTTTAGACAAAAAAAAACTGCGGTTTATTTAGGGTAATATTCTCCGCTTCAACAGACATGAAAAAGCGAGAAAATCTTGAACAGAAAAGCGCAAGTGGCCGACCAAAAAAATCAAGCACAAAAACGTGCAAGGACAAACGTGTTTAACGTTGGATCATTCGATCAAAAAACAAAATGTCAATACAGGTAACCTTTTCTTCAATGTTGATGTTCATTTAGGAAAAAATAATCTATATAATTCATACACATTGGTCTTATACATGCTGTTAAAACAGAAAATAAACGTTTCCTTTATGTTTTTTTTATCAAAATGAAAGTGACGCACAAAATGGAACGACCATCTGGGCAAAAATATCTTTTTTTCTCATTTCCAATTCAATTTGGCCAGCCGCATTTGAAGAACTCATGAAATAAACCCTACAAAACTTCAAACTCAAGAAATTTATTTTTTGTTCGATAAATTATAAGGGTATTTGATCCTGGGTTTACCAGAAGAGTGTGATATTAAACGGAACAGCAGCTTGGTTTTCTATATATCAAGGAGCAGTCTGCGTGGATCCTCAACGACATCTTTGATGCGACGCAAGAAGAAAACTGCCTCTCTTCCATCAATCAGCCGGTGGTCATATGTAAGAGCAATGTACATCATTGGCCTTGGGACTACATTGCCACCGACAACCATTGGGCGAGACACTATTGAGTGCATACCAAGAATGGCCGACTGCAAAATATGTTAATCAAATTAGATTTCATCTTCCAAATCATCACAGAAGGCGTAAACAAAAGAAAAAAAAAATCCTATGCCCATGAATATGTGGATCAGCCAAAAGTCAAATGAAAACAAGGAAAACATTTTTATGTGGCTGAGTCAGCAACTTAGCCAAGGAGATTAAAGTCTCAACGTTATGAAAGCTCATGAAATTTCGGTTAAAAATAAAAGCAGCCAAACCTGAGGAGGGTTAATGATGGGTGTACTCAAAAGGCTTCCATAAACACCACCATTAGATATCGTAAATGAACCTCCAGCCATTTCATCAATTGATATTGATCCATCATTTGCTTTCTTCGCAAGGGTGTTGATCTCTTTCTCTATATCGGCAAAATTCATCTTATCAGCATTGCGGATAACTGGAACCACAAGGCCCTGATGAGAAAAGAATTAAAATAAGAAGTTAAGATATACGGATCCTGCAACTTCACCATAAGCACAAGAAAATATAAACACAAGTGACACACAGCACATGTATATACATACGCATAAAATGCTACTACAACCAGAAAGACAAGACTCCCAAGGTTGTCAGACTAACATTAGTCAGTAGACACCTACAATCCCAGAAGCATTGACAAATCCATCTGATATAACTTTTCATTCAAATATTTTCACTACAACTTTCGAGGCTAATGATGTGATTGGGCTTGGAAATTTAAGGGGAATATGTAATGTGCCAATGCAAAAGTGTTTCACTGCTCTATTTTGTAAAAAATGTTGCAAACAAGTTACTAAATTAAAGAAAGGCTAACAAACCTTAGGAGTTCCAACAGCTATACTGATATCTACATAATCCCTGTATATGATATCATCCCCATCAATAACTGCATTTATGATTGGCTGATTCTGGAGCCCACTAACAGCAGCCTGAAATATTTATAAGGAGAAAAATAAAATATGTTACCTCACAAAAGATGTGTGCATATTTTCATCCATATTCTATATAAGCAATTAAAAAGTTATACTACGTACTTTTACAAATCCTGACATAAGTCCCAATTTGACTCCATGCTTTTCAACAAAAGCATCTTTGTAATCAGAACGGAGTTTCATCAAATTAGTCCTACAATAAGCAAACATACGAAGAAATTAAAGAATAATCTTAGAAAAATCGCAAGAAACACAAAGATGGTATTTTAGGGATCATGCATCAAAGAAAGGAGCAGATAAGTACAGTCCTAGAACCAACCAGCCCACAAGTTTTCTGAGCACTTCAATTTACAACTCAATAAATCAATGAGTACCACTCAAAATTTAAATTCACTTAAAGCAACATGTAATCTGCAAACCACAAAACCAAGCTTGAAAGGAATTGATATATATGTAATACTATGTTGAACTAAGCAGCAGAAACACTCCTAACAAGATGCCATGCCCCGTGAAGGACAGCGGAGCTTAAAACACAGGGAGACGCATGGACATATGAAGAGTTGCTCCTTGTTTTAATTTGGAAAAAAAAAAAAAAGCATAATAAAAAAAGTTCATCCAGAAGTTGCAAGAGACATAGATTAGTTTATATAGTAGTCTAAGCACAAGGTAAGAGATATATCTAATTACAAGGTGGAGGCGGATTAGAAAAAGGAGGATAATATGTTTGCATGAATATAAAAATTAAAACAGCCTTCTATATTTGTTGGCAAGAACACATGCACACCAGATGTAGAAAATGAGAAAAAAGAAAGTTGTAATATCTAAGTACCATAAATATGAAAAAAATTGGCACAGGCACAGTCAATACAGTAGGATTGAACTTACATATCAACTTCATTGAAAGTTGTCAACATTGCAAATGTATTCTGAGAGTCCTTCAATCTTGTAGCAACCCTTTTTCGTAGCCTTGTCATAGGAACCTGCAATCATGAACATTTTGAAGTGACAAGTAAGATCATCTGGTTTCTTCAATAAGATGTTTTCTTTCCTAAATTATGTCTGTGAGAAAATAATAGTAGACGTCCATGAACTTTTTTTATCTAAGTAGAGAACCATTACAAAACTCACCCGTCTTTCCCTGTCCTTTGGGGGAAGCTGGGGCTCAGTTGCAGTGCGCTTAGGAGGTGGCGGAGATGGTGCTTTAGACTTCTCCAAGACAGGAGCTGTTTCAACTTTAGGTTTTGGCTTCTCCTCTTTTATCTTCTCAGCAGGAGATGGCTTAGGAGCAGCCTTCTCTGGTATTTTCTCTGAGGGAGCTACATGTGCTACACCTTCACCAGACTTTGAAATGATAGCAAGTTTGAAACCTGGTTCCACCGTATCCCCTTCTTTGGCTACAAGCTGCAGAAATTAAAAGACAGAAGCTAGCATCAACATTAATAAATCTAATCACAGTAGAGATGGGGGAAAAGGTAACCACTTTGAAATAAGCTAGAAAAGTAATAAGAATAGACATTTATGCGTTACCTCTTTAATCACACCTGATTCTGGACTTGCAACATCAATTGTTACCTGACAGGAAATTAACATTACAAGTATTAAGAAATATCCCAGTTTTCTAATTCACTGATAAAAGGAAAAATAGGGGGGACTGGCAGGGGGAAAAAGGTGGTGGGGTACACAGTACCTTATCCGTTTCAATTTGAGCAATAGGCTCATCAACCACAACAGTGTCACCAGGATCTGTTTTCAAAAACCAGAAGTACACACAATCAAGCAGTTGCAATGATGGATGACAAAGAGTACAAACTTGTACAGGAAAATGGATACTGAAAAACATACTTTTCAAGAATTTCGCCAAAGTTCCATCAGTTATGGATTCACCCATAAAAGGGACAACAGCATCAACTAAATCCCCTTCAACAAGCAAAGAAAAGGAAACAACAGGAAAATTTTGAGATTCAATGTAAATTTAATATAAAAAGAGTGCACAGCCCTTAAGAAAACCAATCCTTTCTCTTTGTTACTAAAGTAAACAGGATGACAGCAATCCATCCGTCCCATTATCATGAAGAGTGCCATAAAGACTACAATTTTGAAAAACATAATAAAGTCAATGTCATACCGCTTTCTGAAGAAAATAGCCTGCTCCAAATTCGCACATTAATTGCTCGCTGGGTGTTGGAAATGGAATCCCTGCCCACGAGGAATATCATGAGGAAAAAGGCTGAGTATGCGTCAAATTAGAAAGCAAAAGCAGAACCATTAACATTAACATTTTATTGTCTTAACCTCTCAATAATTAATTCCCATTTGCTTATCAATAAATTGAACCACAATACATAGTAATTGGGCCAAAGAATAAATAAAAATGAAACTCTAATAATAAAAAGGAACAAAGAAGGTTAATCAAAATTGAAAGAGCAAAAGCAGGCTCTTTTGCATAAACTTGCTTTTTAATGGCAAGTATGGATCACATAATTAGGCTTAAAACAGATGCACTCAAAATCTCAACAGCGGGGATCAAATTCACTTCTCATGAACTCACAAAGCACAAGGAAAAGGGGCATAGAATTGTAAAACTGTTTTTTCAAAAAAAAAAAAAAAAAAACTAATTTTTTAAACAATTTGTCAGTTTCTCCTCGTGATCATCGTATAAAACACCCCTACTGGGCCCAAAGGTTTGGTTTTAAGACTGGAAAATCACATTTTAGTCAGGTTTGAGAATAAGTATTTAACATCTAATCCAATGAAAAGAAAAAAAGCCATGTGCTTATATTGTGCCGTCCTAAGCTTACAACATAATCATTCTCATATGTAATCTTAAACATATCACTTAGTAAAGTCCATAAAATGATAAGTGAAACAATAAAACATCTTTACTAACCTCATTGGTCTACAACCTGCAATCACCTTTAGATTAATAGAGCAGCCTGCAATCACCAAAAATTCTTTTTCATTAATCTAAAGATGATCCACATGATATGCCTATGCATCAGCTCCTGATGCGGAGGGTACAAGGACTCATAAGATTACCTGGTAAAATAACATGACTAAATTTCCGAACATGCCCAAGTCCTCTCGGACGGAAAAGTATCTGTTCACATGCTTCAAATGTAAATCTTGTAAACAAGATAAATACAAATATAAAATTAACTCAGATTTGGATTATAAATTTCCGATGCATATAAACTTGTAGAAGTGTCATATTCAGTATTCCTCCCTGTCTTACACCAAAACAGTATTTTCATAAACTTAATCAGACATGCTTGTATGAATAAGATAGGGGCAGATGACAAGACAATGGAAAAAGGAAATTTACAGAAAGAAACACGCACCTCCCTCCCTGAAACTCTACAGGCAGACACTGAAGGCTCAACTGTCTGCATCGACTTCCTTAAAATCTGGAAAGGTTTTAAAAAAGAAAAATAACTAGTTTAGAACAGCATAGTTCACAATGGAAAACCAAAGTCCTATTTCCAACAACTTCAATCAAAACAAAATGAAAAGAACAGTTCTAACCGAAGCAGACGAGCCTCCATTGGCGACTCTTCTCCGTATAACCCCCAGCATCATGGTTTATATCTCTGCATTCACAAATATAAAAAGCTCCAATAAGATATACACAAACACATCGAAATTTTCAAATAATCTCAAAACATACACAAAGCAAACATTTCCCTAATTTGCATCACTTATAACCGTGGATAGCCCTTTGCTATTTACAAAATCAATCACAGGATAACATATTCTCAAAACACTCATAGCACAGGCCACGTTTCAATTTCACCACAATTTTGAAGCTATCCTCAGTACATGTAAAATTTGAGTACATAAATTGAATATTTACAAGTCCAATACATCCATAACATATTAAACATATTACAAATGCATTATATAGAATAGGTTGAGTACCAAATACTAAATTCTACGAAAAGGTAATTAATAGCGCAATTTAAGAAAGTTTAACAGCAGGTTTTTACTTTGATCTTATGTAAGCATATATTACATTATATAATATTTGTGATTGAATACACTTTGTTTGGTTCCCGAGAAAATGCAACAAAAATAAAAATAAAAAAAGAAAACCAAACCAAGATTTAACAATATCCGACTTATTACTATATTTCACAATCATTTGTAACTACATCAAGTGGGCGCGTGTAACTACGTACGTCTCGCGTGCGTTCTGTTTGGTAGCAGAGAAAGTGCAGGAAAAAAACACAACAGAAAACTCCAAAATTCAAATCTGAGCTGAGACAAGACAGTATAGTAGCTTCTTCCAACAAAAACGAAACGAAACAACGGACAGATATAAAAGTACGATTTCATTTTTCATTTTCTCTTTCACTTTCTCGGTAACCAACTAGAAAAATTAAAAATATATAAAATTAAAAAATTAAAAAAAATATTAAAAAAAGTGAAATATCTACATAAATAAATGTAATGAGGTTAGAGAGAGTTTGACCTGAAAGATTTATAGAGAGAGTCGTTGTATTTTGAAGAAACGAGAGTCTTGGTAAGCAGCCACTGCCAAAGTTGATGATAAATATTTAGGTAGTCTGATTTTTATATATATTTGGCTCTGACTTCTGGCCTTTTGGCCAGGAGCCGCGGAGATGCGTTTGAGCATTTCTGTTTGATCTGGTGAGCTCGTGAGGTGGCGGGATTTCATGGTTGGAATCGAACTGTCAGAAGAAGTGGCGTGTGGTTTCCTTAAGGAATTTTGGAAAGTGATAGGGACTGGAGTACGGCGTCGTTTTATGAAAATGGGCCCGTTTGGTTCAGCTGAGATCAATTTTTTATAAACTGGGCTGCCTAGGAATGATAGAAATGGGCCTGAAGAGTTTGATTTAAGATTACTAAAGCCCAAGTTAATTACCAAATTAATAAAAAGTTTTTTATTGATAATAAGAAACACTACGGTCTGTTATTTTTGAAATAATTTTTAAGAATTAAATTATAATTCAAATTTTGAGTCGTATATTAATATTTAAACGCGTGTTTGTATAGTATTTAAAAATTATTAAAAACTGTGAAAATGATATTTAATTGTTTAAATATTACAATTATTTTTAAATTGTATCTTATAATTATTTTCAAAAATTTTGACTCATTTCTGTAAATTATTTTTACATATTTTTCTCTCTCTTATTTCCAAAAAAAAATATATACATATTTAAATTTTGTCAAGATGTGGAAAACTCTTGATGCTAACTACCTTTGGGTGGACGAGTAGTTTTGATAGGGACTCTTGATATATTACTCAAGAGATCTTGAATTCGAGTATTTTCTCAGTTATTAATAAGAGTAGACACTGGGCTGTTACTTGATCATTAGTTTCAAGTTCTCGAGATATTTAAAATACATGTAAGCTGTTTCAACACTCTCAGTCATGAAAACAAAAAAAAAAATATCTTGATGCTGTAAATTAAAATGAAAGCTTTATATCTTGGTTAACATTTGGAACAACAGTATTTAGAATACAATTGGTGATCATTGAAACAATAAAAAAAAAAAACATTATGCATTATTCCTAAACAGTTGTCAAGTAATTAACTTGCTTGCATTGAAGAGTAACAATCGGTATAAATATTGTTTTCAAGGAATTGATCCACTTCCAAGTCCACCACCAAAACCAGCTCCTCCTCCAAACCCACCACCAGCGCCACCACCACCACCGCCTCCAAACCCTCCTCTACCTCCACCACCTAGTCCACCGCGAGCACCAGCACCAGCGCCGCCTCCAAATCCAGCTCCTCCTCCAAAACCGGAACCACCACCTACTCCTCCTCCACCACCAAACCCACCTCCACCTCCTCCTCCAAGCCCGCCACCTCCACCTAGTCCACCTCCAGCACCAGCACCAGCACCTCCACCAAATCCAGCTCCAAACCCACGACCGCCTCCGCCTCCAAGACCGCCACCAAATCTTGGACGTCGGAAGAAGGTTTTCTCATCCTCAAAAGAATTACCCTTTTCACTCCCAAGTTTCCTGGCATTAACGGTGCACATAAGAGCACCAACAAGCATGAGAATTATAAACTTAGCAGTCATCTCTATTGTCTGGAAACTGATAAACAGTTGAAGAGTTCGTTTGTGAGAAGTGTGAGCTCGAAAGTCGACTTATATAGAGTAGCCAAGGCCCAAGAGAGATCTAGTACGGTTGACAAGCTCTTAAATTTTACTCATCGCCACAGCTAAAACGTAAAAACCGCGTGGCGAGAATTAATACAAGCAACTGTCACTTAAAAAAAATAGAAAAACCCTAATTTGATCCAAACCTGACCAATCAGAAGACAAGAAGAGAACATTTATGATTATAAAGAAGACTTTTGATCTGGATTTGCATGGACTTGTTATTAATTTGCATGGGCTTGACGTGCAGCTTGAGACTAGCTTTTTAGCTGACTTTTTTTTTATGTAAAATTGCGTGGACTTTTGTTCGCCATTAATTGCTTGAATATGTCTGCTGCTGGATAAGTGCATAATCCCCCAAGAACCTCAAGCTAATTTTCAGATAAGAGTGGTATTGGTTACCCTTATTAGAAATAGAGAAAGAATTTGACTCAAAACCTCTTAAATAATACATCCAAAAATCTTTATTGAATCACTTAACTAGTTAAAAACTTATTATTATCTCTAAAATAACTAAAATACAAAGCCAGTTTGAATGGGGCAGAAGAGATTGCAGTGTTTGAGGTTAGGTGGGTTCAATTAAAACTAACGAAATATGATATCATTTCACTAACGGCAAGGGTCGAGATTTATATCCAAAACCAGAAGGTTTCAATTTTATTAAGGCAAACCGCAAACCTCAGGGGGTTGAGTTGAGGATATTCCCTGAACTTTATTTCTTCATTAACTTATGTTCCATTACAATTCTTGATGAGGAAGCGATAATAAAACAGTAGAAAGCATAATGCATCATTCCTGAACAATAGGCAATGAATTAATTAACTTGCTTGCATTGAAGACTAATAATCACTAATGTTTTCCAGGAGGTACAGCCGTACAGGTCCAGCTTGAAGCAGTCCAAAACCAAAACCAGCACCACCTCCTTCTCCACCAGCTCCACCACCTAGTCCACCACCACCACCACTACCACCGAAACCGAACCCCACATTCATTCCAAATATTAGTGTTGCATATGTCTTTAATATTACGTGGTTTCACAAAAATGTGAAAAGAATTGTTAGGTTACAAGTTATGAATAAATATTCAAAACCTAAACTGGTTTCGTATTTCAGTAATGGTTTGGTTGATATATGAAGAAGGTATAATATTCTAACCTTGATTAATTAATTAGTTCGATGTACATAGAACTAAAAGTCTAACGTTTGCCAGTATTAACACAAAATTAGCAGCGACAAAATTATTAATTAGTTAGAAAATACGTTAATTTCATGTATATATTTATTCAATAATTATTTTGTTAACCTTTTATTTATTCGAAAAACTGTAAATCCTGATGGTGATTAGAAAACTTAGATCAATTATGTGGAATGAATTTTTTATATAGACAACTAAAAGAGAATTTCATGTATGAATAGTCCAAATGGTTCTAATAAATTCAAAATAGTATAGGTAAACGTATAGTTTTATGTTCGATTCCCGTCTAAGTATTTCCGCCAGTGTGGATATATAGCATAAAGCAAATCGGATACTTGCATGGTGTGATAACATATCACTAGTTTTTCTTTTTCCTTTTTTTGATAAATCAAAGAATAATTTAACAACAAAAATATATGTTCTAACGGCTCATTAAAGATCTATTAACAGCAACAACAACAACAACAAAAATATTATTTCGGAAACTTCAAAGAAATGTTTGTTATTAAATACCAAACATATCGGGGGTTGATGCTTTAACTGTATTAATTATTAAGTTGTTTCACAAAAAGTGAAAAGAAATGTTAGGTTCTCCTCAAGTTATGTTAATCTATACGAAGTTGGAATTTAAAACCCATATATGGGAAATCTGCACGTAAAATTTCATGGTGTTTCAAAAAAAAAGTACTGAACAAGTTATGAATAATATTTTTATTTTATAAGCTTTTGAACCCAGTGGTTCCATATTTCAGTAAGGATTTGATTGATATATGAAGAAGGCTATAATTAATTGTATGTACTGAGTTTATACTTTATGGACAATTCACAAGGTTAAATAGGATAATGCCAGTTTCCTGCTGCTTTATTAAGCCCCCCCAATTAATCTTTCATTAAATGAGATAATCCAGAAACTTATTTGAAGGAATTGAAATTTGAAAGCCTGATCATCAATTTCCTGATTATAAAGTAACAAGTTCTGCATAATTAAGTACTATGGTAAAGAATATTAAGCTTGATTATTTGTTTATCTCAAGTTCTTTTTTTTTTTTTTTTTTTTATGATAGAAAGTGTTCAGACTAGCTTATACGTACCTCAACAAATCTCCCGAGACTCTAAAATTACTGGTCAAATAAGACCTTGAAACTACCAACCATATAAAAGCTTTAATGACTACCCTTATTAGCAACCGATGAGGACTCAAACTCAAAATTTCTTTATTAATATACACAACAGTTCATATCGAACCACTCCATCACCCAGAGGTTAATATGGTATTCTCAAGTTCCCAATCTGGTAAGTATGCCGACAGCAACTAATAAATATGGATCAATTATGTACAAGTAGATCATTGGATCTCCATTTATTAACACACCAACTTTTTCAACTGCACAAATTGTATTCAAACAGCGAAACTCTTTCAATCCCTTCTGGTTTTCAGCTGTTTAATTAGCATAACTTCAACTATCTTGCTTAATGCATGCTTAATATAATTTCACGTACATCTTAAAAGACAAAAGTTATTAATATTAATGGTGGGAGATTAATGTTAGCTAATTAAGTAATTAATGCAAAGGGAGAGAGAGTAATTAACAAGGAAAAACAGTAATTATCGTACATTTGATTTGGTACAATACAATAATTAAACTACAAATTAAGCTCATTTCTGCTGCAAAGAACTTATTTAATTTCTCCATTAACATTTGGAACGAAGATAATTAAGAAAAAACACTTAGAAAATCAATGGTACATATTCGTAAAGAGTAACAATTGCTTAAAGAGTACTGCCTTCAAGGAAGTCCGCCGCCAAGGCCGCCACCAGCGCCACCTCCAGCTCCAAAACCACCACCAGCACCACTGCCAAGCCCGCCGCCACCGCCGCCTCCAAATCCTCCACCACCACCTCCTCCAGCTCCCCCACCTAATCCACCACCAGCACCAGCACCACCTCCAAATCCAGCTCCACCTCCAAAACCGGAACCACCACCGACTCCTCCTCCACTGCCTCCACCAAATCCTCCACCGCCACCTCCCCCAAGTCCCCCTCCTCCACCTGATCCACCTCCAGCACCAGCACCCCCACCAAACCCTGCTCCACCTCCAGCACCACCACCTGACCCACCTCCACCGCCGAGCCCCCCACCACCGCCTCCACCTTGTCCACCACCACCACCAAACTTAGGACGGTGTCTGAAGTTCTTCTCCTCCTCAAAACCACCCTTTTCACCCCCGATTAGCTTCCTCCCATTAATGTTGCATACCAGGACACCAAGAATAAAGAAAACAAGAAACCTAGAAGAACAAGAAGCCATCTTTTTTTATGCAGACACTTTAAAAAGGTGACTTTTGGGTGAGAAGTGGAAGCTTGAAGGCGGATTATATAGAGATTTATGAAGCGGGTAGCACGGTTGAGGTCTTAAATTTTGTTCATCGGCTCATGTAGAAACCGTGTTGAGATAGTTAATGCACACAACTGTCACTTTTGAAAAAGAAAACCCTAAAGCTGCCCCACTGGGGTCGATCCTGACTAATCGGGTGAGCTTGTTTTGGTGATCTTTTATGATTATTACGAGACTTTTGATCTGGATTTGCATGGAATTTTTTCTACGTTTGCATGGTTATTAGCTGCTTCTGCAACTTTTTAAGGCAAGTTAGCTTTTATCCATATTGCATGGCCTGTTGTCAATCAGTTCATGAATTTTTGGTTGCATTTTTACGGCAACTGTAGTCTCTATTCCTGCCCACATATCTCGAGATTTTTCTTTCCAAATTTTTTTTTGAGAAAAATATATGTAAATATGTAAGTGATCATATGTGGTGTGATGGTAAAAGGGAAAAAAGATAGGTTTTATGAGTTTGAGTCTCTCAAGCATTAATAGGGACAGAAGTTTTTACCTTAGCCGGTAGTTCTAGGATCTCAAATAATCAGTTGAGGTGTATGTAATCTGGTCCGAACACTTCCGTTGATTAAAAAAAAAAAAGACAATGGTGAGTAAATAGTGATGAGTTTATGAATATGGTGTGAGATTTTGCTATTATATAACACTGTATAAGTGTATGTTACAAAATTTACATATATTTTTGGTCTATTAAATTTATCTTAATGTATTAATATAACACTATACTATATTATGGTAACATCTTTTGTATGAGTTTATAAAATTTATGTTAATGTACTGGTGCAATGAGATACGGTAATAAAATGGATATGATGCTAAGTGTAAATACATAGTTGACGGTGGTCAGTGAGCCTAGCTGGTTTGGAAATTTTGAAACTTTATTTTAAAGTAAGAGATGGATGTTGCCACCATCTTGGACGTCGGAAGAGTGTTCTCATCCTCAAAAGAATTACCCTTTTCACTCCCAAGTTTCCTGGCATTAACGGTGCACATAAGAGCACCAACAAGCATGAGAATTATAAACTTAGCAGTCATCTCTATTGTCTGGAAACTGATAAACAGTTGAAGAGTTCGTTTGTGAGAAGTGTGAGCTCGAAAGTCGACTTATATAGAGTAGCCAAGGCCCAAGAGAGATCTAGTCGGTTGACAAGCTCTTATTTTACTCATCGCCACAGCTAAAACGTAAAAACCGCGTGGCGAGAATTAATACAAGCAACTGTCACTTAAAAAAAATAGAAAACCCTAATTTGCCAACCTGACCAATCAGAAGACAAGAAGAGAACATTTATGATTATAAAGAAGACTTTTGATCTGATTTTGCATGGACTTGTTATTAATTTGCATGGGCTTGACGTGCAGCTTGAGACTAGCTTTTTAGCTGACTTTTTTTTTATGTAAAATTGCGTGGACTTTTGTTCGCCATTAATTGCTTGAATATGTCTGCTGCTGGATAAGTGCATAATCCCCCAAGAACCTCAAGCTAATTTCAGATAAGATGGTATTGTTACCCTTATTAGAAATAGAGAAAGAATTTGACTCAAAACCTCTTAATAATATCCAAAATCTTTATTGAATCACTTAACTAGTTAAACTTATTATTATCTCTAAAATAACTAAAATACAAAGCCAGTTTGAATGGGCAGAGAGATTGCAGTGTTTGAGGTTAGGTGGGTAATTAAAACTAACGAAATATGATATCATTTCACAACGGCAAGGGTCGAGATTTATATCCAAAACCAGAAGGTTTCAATTTTATTAAGGCAAACCGCAAACCTCAGGGGGTTGAGTTGAGGATATCCCTGAACTTTATTTCTTCATTAACTTATGTTCCATTACAATTCTTGATGAGGAACGATAATAAAACAGTAGAAAGCATAATGCATTATTCCTACAATAGGCAATGAATTAATTAACTTGCTTGCATTGAAGACTAATAATCACTAATGTTTTCCAGGAGGTACAGGTCCAGCTTGAAGTCCAAACCAAACCAGCACCACCTCCTTCTCCACCACTCCACCACCCCTACCACCGAAACCGAACCCCACTTCATTCCAATATAGTGTTGCATATTTCTTTATATTCTGGTTTCACAAAATGTGAAAAATTGTTATTCAAGTTATGAAATTCAAACCTAAACTGGTTTCGTATTTCAGTAATGTTTTGGTTGATACTGAAGAAGGTATAATATTCTAACCTTGATTAATTAATTAGTTCGATGTACATAGAACTAGAAGTCTAACGTTTGCCAGTATTAACACAAAATTAGCACAAACAAAATTATTTTGTTAGAAAATACGTTAATTTCATGTATATTTATTCAATAATTATTTTGTTAACCTTTTATTTATTCGAAAAACTGTAAATCCTGATGGTGATTAGAAAATTTAAATCAATTATGTGGAATGATTTTTTATATAGATATTAAAGAAATTTTATCTGTGAATAGTCCAGAGGTTATAATAAATTAAGATAATATGGATAAACGTATAGTTTCACTTTTAATTCCCGTCTAAGTATCTCTGCCAGTGTGGATAGCATAAAGCAAATCGGATACTTGCATGGTGTGATAACAATCACTAGTTTTTTCTTTTTCCTTTTTTTGATAAATCAAAGAATAATTTAACACAAAAATATATGTTTCTAACGGCTCATTAAAGATCTATTAACAGCAACAACACAACAACAAAAATATTATTTCGGAAACTTCAAAGAAATGTTTGTTATTAAATACCAAACATATCGGGGGTTGATGCTTAACGTATAATTAATTATTGTTTCACAAAAAGTGAAAAGAAATGTTAGGTTCTCCTCAAGTTATGTTAATCTATACGAAGTTGGAATTTAAAACCCATATATGGAAATCTGCACGTAAAATTTCATGGTGTTTTCAAAAAAAAGTACTGACAAGTTATGAATAATATTTTATTTTATAAGCTTTTGAACCCAGTGGTTCATATTTCAGTAAGGATTTGATTGATATATGAGAGGCTATAATTAATTGTATGTACTGAGTTTATACTTTATGGACAATTCACAAGGTTCAATAGCCAAAGTTGATGGAATAAATATTTAGGGTAGTCTGATTTTTTATATATATTTGGTTCTTGACTTCTTGGCCTGTTGGCCAGGGAGGCCGCGGAGATGCGTTTGAGCATTTCTAGTTTGATCTGGTGTGGTTAGTGTGAGTGAGCTCGTGAGGTGGCGGGATTTCATTGGTTGGAATCGAACTGTCAGAAGAAGTGGCGTGTGGTTTCCTTAAGGAATTTTGGAAAGTGATAGGGACTGGAGTACGGCGTCGTTTTATGAAAATGGGCCCGTTTGGTTCAGCTGAGATCAATTTTTTTAATCAACTGGGCTGCCTGAGGAATGATCAGAAATAGGCCTGATGAGTTTGATTTAAGATTACTAAAGCCCAGAGTTAATGTACCAAAATTAATAAAAAGTTTTTTATTGATAATAAGAAACACTACGGTCTGTTTAATTTGAAATAATTTTTAAGAATTAAATTATAATTCAAATTTTGAGTCGTATATTAATATTTTTAATATTTAAACAAGTGTTTGTATAGTATTTAAAAAATATTAAAAACTGTGAAAATGATAATTAATTGTTTTAAAATATTACAATTATTTTTAAAATTGTATCTTATAATTATTTTCAAAAACATTTTGACTCATTTCTGTTAAATTATTTTTACCATATTTTTCATCTCCCTTATTTCCAACAAAAAAAATAAATACATATTTAAATTTTGTCAAAGAGACGATGGAGAACTCTTGATACTAACTACCTCTGGGTGGACGAGTTGTTTGATGGGTTACTCAATAGATCTTGAGTTCAAGTCCTTTCTCGATTATTAATAAGAGTAGACACCTGAGCTGTTACCTGATCAGTAATTCTAGGACCCGAGAGATTTGTTAAAATGTACGTAAACTGGTCTGGACAACCTCAATCATGAAAAAAAAAAAAAAAAAATATCTTGATGCTGTAAATTAAAATGAAAGCTTTATATCTTGGTTAACATTTGGAACAACAGTATTTAGAATACAATTGGTGATCATTGAAACAATAAAAAAAAAAAACATTATGCATTATTCCTAAACAGTTGTCAAGTAATTAACTTGCTTGCATTGAAGAGTAACAATCGGTATAAATATTGTTTTCAAGGAATTGATCCACTTCCAAGTCCACCACCAAAACCAGCTCCTCCTCCAAACCCACCACCAGCGCCACCACCACCACCGCCTCCAAACCCTCCTCTACCTCCACCACCTAGTCCACCGCGAGCACCAGCACCAGCGCCGCCTCCAAATCCAGCTCCTCCTCCAAAACCGGAACCACCACCTACTCCTCCTCCACCACCACCACCAAACCCACCTCCACCTCCACCTCCTCCTCCAAGCCCGCCACCTCCACCTAGTCCACCTCCAGCACCAGCACCAGCACCTCCACCAAATCCAGCTCCAAACCCACGACCGCCTCCGCCTCCAAGCCTCGCCACCAAATCTTGGACGTCGAAGAAGGTTTTCTCATCCTCAAAAGAATTACCCTTTTCACTCCCAAGTTTCCTGGCATTAACGGTGCACATAAGACACCAACAAGCATGAGAATTATAAACTTAGCAGTCATCTCTATTGTCTGGAAACTGATAAACGTTGAAGAGTTCGTTGTGTGAGATGTGAGCTCGAAAGTCGACTTATATAGAGTAGCCAAGGCCCAAGAGAGATCTAGTACGGTTGACAAGCTCTTAAATTTTACTCATCGCCACAGCTAAAACGTAAAAACCGCGTGGCGAGAATTAATCAGCAACTGTCACTTAAAAAAAATAGAAAAACCCTAATTGATCCAAACCTGACCAATCAGAAGACAAGAAGAGAACATTTATGATTATAAAGAAGACTTTGATCTGGATTTGCATGGACTTGTTATTAATTTGCATGGGCTTGACGTGCAGCTTGAGACTAGCTTTTTAGCTGACTTTTTTTTTATGTAAAT